TGATTTAAGTTAATCAATGAGAGTTAATTTATTATTTAATCAAATCAATTAGCCTGTAGTTGATTTAAAGGAGTGCTCAGTGTATTAAAAATTTAAATAGGAATCTGGTTGATTAAGTAAATTGTGTTGTGATGATTAACTAGATTCAGAAATTATCATGTTCATATCAGATTAAATTGAAAGGAACAATTAATTAACTTAATTAAAATGAGCAAAGAGCAAGAAAATTACTCAGTTGAAAGTGAACTGGATTAACTTTTATCATCAGATAATCAACTATGGTGATGATAATCACCCTGAATTATTAAGGGTTAAGGTTGAAAAGTTATTAGTTAAAGGAACAATTTAATTAATAGTGTTACCAATCAAGATAATTATCAAATCAAATGTCCAAAGATTATAAGTTGATTGTTGATTCATTGATTAACTGATCATGTTGATTGTAAATGACCATAAGATTTATATGTTTTCACCATGAAAATGATTACAATTAGATGACCAATCATCATGTTTATCATGAATCGAAATTCAGATGAATCATGAGAAAAAATTCTTATTCTTTGAGAATTTTTTTTCTTCAGGTATTATTTTATTCTGTTCGTTATTCACAAACTGGTTTCTTGTTTATCCAATAATTCACATGAAAATTACTCAGGTATTCAGATAATTCCAGGGGGAAAGTGGAGATAAATCTCAAGCTCATATTGTTGTTTTCTTATTCTTATTCAGTGAATTGATTACGAGAAGAGAGAAAATAGATATTCGAAAAAAAAGAAAGAAAATTAAGAGAAAAAAATAATCAAATTCTATTTTCAAGGTCACCTTAGGTTAATATTAATTCTATCAACTACCTGTAGAATTTACTAAATTATTATTATTAAATTAGTAACCGAATTAAGGAATAAGAGAAATAAAAAAGATTAAATTACATTTGGAAGCCGTTTAATTGCAATTAGCTTAATCCTCATGATAGTTAATAAATTGTCAGATTAACAAAGTACTAATAATGATGATAAAAGTGAAAGTGTTGAATTGGTTGTATTATTTTGACAGGTAGTATTAAATGTTATTGTCAAAAGTAATCAAACAATTTGATTGTTGATGTGTTGATATTTTCTAACAATTAGATTGATCAAAAATTGGAAATCAAGGGATTCCAATGGTGAAACTATTAATATTTACGTTTCACTTTTCATTTTCATTCATAATTTTTTTTTCCCATTCATTTAAAGTGTTGATTGTTGTTATTGTCTTGGAAATAGTTGTTACAATGATAAGTAAGAAATAGTTAATCGCAGAAATTGATTGTTGATTGTAGTTTAATGATACATGTATTACATGATTTACCTTGAGATGACTCCTGTTGATTCATGAATACACTTTGATCAGTAAATGTTAATCATTAGGTTGAGGATGAAGATGAAGATGATGATTAACATGGGGAAGACCCGATTCTCAAAATTTCATAGACATTTAATTTTCTTCACGATTTTTGACTCATCCATTCATTCAATTAGTTAGTTAGTAAAATTCACAATTTCCGAGTTCCATTGATTACAAATTTAAACTCTTAAATTGGTATTGTAATCAACAGACTAGAAAATAATTCCCAAACAATTAACTCTAAGTAAAAGTCTAATCGTAATTGTAAAACTTGATATCGTTTGTATTATCACCTTGATTACAGATTAAATCAGCTTACATATTTAAGCTAATTGTTGTCTACCAATCAACTGATTGTCAAGTTAACATGATTAACTGGTTAACTTGATTCAAATTAGGTAAGATTAATATGGAAGATTATAAGTAGAGAGAGAAATTTGAAAAGTTCGTTAATCCGAAAGGTAAACAAATCGAAAGTAAATTTTTGATAAGATTAAGTGGATTGATAGATTTGTAATGAGATGAGATTAGTTTTGAATTTATAATTTGAGACGATGAAGCAACAACAACAAAATTGACTTTTACTTGTGGCCTCAGGTCAAATAGTAGGTCAAATTGATGGCCAATGGATGTATAATGTTTATAATCATCTTGTAGGAATAAAAAAATGTTCATCATCAAATTAAATGATAAAGATAAAGATGATTAGTGAGGGTTAAGTTCACATGATCATAAGAAAAGTATAAATTTCTCTCTGTCAAACAAAATCTTCCAAAGGTGTTGGTCATAAATCCAGTTCTCATTGACTTTCTAATACATTTAGAACTAAATTAGTCCCAACTAATCACAATCAATTCTAAAGCTCTTTCGATCAACTCACTCAACCTCTCTTTCTCCCTCTATCTGGGCATCCAAATCATCATCATCATCATCATCATCTTCATCTCCAATTTGATGAACTTGCATTTACCTTTTACCCTGATCATCAAGATGAAAATGATCAATTTCTTATTCTCTCTCTCTCTCCATCATATAATTTGATACCTTTTCCTTTCCCATAATAATTTACTAGATTATTATACTTTCTATTGAGAATCTGTTAACATGAATTCATCACTTACCTGTAAAAATTTTTCTTTTTAAACTTACCTGTTCAATTGATTTTCTTAACTGCCAATAGCATAATTTTGTCACATCTCTTAATAATGGATAATACCAATGGTTATTATCCTGAGATTTAACTAATCCTTTTACATTTGTGTTAATCATTTCCTTCATCACGCTAATGTAATTAATTAAGTTTAATGACCTTAAACCATTGGTCAATCAATTACCTTCATTGATCTCTCTCTCTCTCTCTCTCTCTCTCTCTCTCTCTCTTCTAATTATCACACAAACAATTAAGATCATCATTATGATACAATTAAAAACAATCTTTGCTTTTTGTTTATATTCAAATCAATTGGTCCATCAAAATAATCAATTGAGATCGGAAATTACCTGTTGAATTGCTAATCAAAGTTAATTGTGATTCAAATAAGTTAATGATTAGGTGATGAGCACCACCAAGGTGTTTAACTTAATTGTAAACTGTCATTAATATTAAAATATTTAATTTATCCAAAGCCGATCACAGGTAACCGGGCAATGGGTTTAATTTAATTAACTTGATTATAACAGTGATTAACAGTATCAGTTAATATGATTACATGTATATAATTATAAGTAATCAATTAGTGACAATAATTATAATGATTGAATAAAAACAAAGGTGTATCATTAAATATTGATAATCAAAGTTGAATGATTAAAGTTGATCATCTTGTTTACCCGGTCAAAATCGTGTTTTAAATTGTAAATTAACATTGATTATGATTTATTTGTGCAAACAATTAACAATGAAATATAATCAATAAGTTAATAATGATAAATTGAATAAGTTGAATCATTAACAAGAATCAACAAAAAACAAACAAATAAACAACAACAACAATTAAAGGTAAGCAATGGGTTAATGTTTCATTTCAATAAGGAAACTTAACAAACAATTTACAATTAACTAATGATGATGATGATGATAATGATTATCAAACTGTTTTGCTTGGTACCTTTAATATTTAATGATGATAATTAAAATTTCCCAGGTAATGGTAACCCAATGTTGATAATAGTAAAATTTTTAATGAATTTTGATTGACAGAAATGAAAAAAATAAAAATGTCAATGTAAATGTTTTCATATTTTCCTGAATAATTTCAAATCTACAAGGTTTATCTTGATCAGCTGAACCATAATGATAATCATGAGGGGATCAGCATGATAATCATCAGTGAAACTTGAATTGAAGAAAAGGGAAACAACAAAAAAGCGGAATCAAAGGGTTAACATTTGCCCGCCGGGCAAATGTCTATTACAAAGTTATCCTCACAATTGCAAAGTCCCGTTTGAAAAGTGACCGATACTGACCATTGACAGTTGATGATAATCATGGGGATCAGCATGATAATCATCAGTGAAACTTGAATTGAAGAAAAGGGAAACAACAAAAAAGCGGAATCAAAGGGTTAACATTTGCCCGCCGGGCAAATGTCTATTACAAAGTTATCCTCACAATTGCAAAGTCCCGTTTGAAAAGTGACCGATACTGACCATTGACAGTTGAGTCAAAAAGTAACACTCTAACAACAAGCGACCAATAGACTTACCTGTTGATGACATTCATCTCCATCGTCAAGGTGAAAAAGGAGATGGAGAAAGAGAGAGAGAGAGAGAGAGAGAGAGAGAGAAAAATAGAAAAAAAATTCAGCAAAGAAAAAGGTTAAAAAGTAAATTAAGATTGATTCCCGGAAGAAGAAAGAAAGAGTTAATGAGAGAGGTTTCTCCTCCTAATCATCATCATCATCATCTTTGTATCGTTTTTGGCCTCTGGTTATTTGGAAGGGTTACTTTTCTATATTGTAAACTCCTTTATCTTCATCATGATGATGATATTATAACAATAATTAAAGTTGCCCAACAAGTTGTATTATTATGAATGTATATTGTTTACAGTTTCATAGATTTTTGAACTTACTGAACTTGTAAAACTGAAAACTAATCAAGTTAAAGGCTTAATTTGTCTTCTAAAACGGTTTCATGAACATCAATCATGCAAATATGAACAGTTACCTTGTTAAACCTTAACATGAATTTTTCTCCATCAAAATATTAAACAAAAAAAAAATGATCATCAAAGTAATCAAATGAAAGAAATGGTAATGCATTCATATTGCAAATTATATTATCATGGATAAAGATGATGATGATATTTGCAGATGATAATCAATTGATTATCTGATCAAATATCGTATTGTGGTGATGAGAAAAAAAAATATGTAAGAATAGAAAAGGTTGGGATAAGAAAATTCTCTTTTGGGTTGTTCTTTTTAGAGAGAAAAGAAAACAAGTTCCTTCTAGAGAAAAAATAACATTACGATGAATCTTCATAAGGCGTAATTCTTATCATCATCTCTCTCATTCTCTCTCAGTTTCTCTCTCTCTCTTTCTCTCTCTCTCTCTCTCTTCTTTCTCTCTCTCCCCTTCTCTTTCTGCTAAATTCACTTGGACTCATGGTAAGAACTTGCTGAATATCTTTCAATCTGATCATCTTATGCTAGGGACGTAGGCTCATCATCTTCATCATCTTCTCTCTCTCTCTCTCTTCCTCTCTCTCAAATTTTCTCTCTCAGTTCATCTTCTCTCATCTTCTTAACCCTCTAACTGTTATTTTATATCGTTTACTGATTTCTCATCAAATATCAACCTCAGATCAATTGTTATCGTTATGCTTTAATTCAATATTATCCTTGTGCCTGAAAAGTTTTTCATCTCTTTCTTTTTTTTTTTAATTGTTGGTAAATTTGTTGACAATTTATAGTTGAAATAAAATTGACCTACAACAACAAACGATAATAGATAATAATTGATAATCTACAGATTAAGTTAATCCATTAATCGTTATGGAAAACCTAACGAGACTCTTACCCAGGAATATAATATGTGCCAAAAATATATTTCTTTTCATTTCTCTGGTCATATGTTTCACTTACGTTAGTTCAGGTAAGTGTTTGTCTATTTGTTTAGTTTGTGTGTTAATTGTGTTCGTGATTGGATCACAATTAAGGATTAATTTTCTATCATAATCATGAGAGAAAAGTAAAAGTATTTATTCTTATATGCTCACGTTTTCTCAACGATTTTTCTTCAGCTCCATTCCCGTTTGGAAGAGTCAGATCTCCGAAAGAAAAAGGTAAGAAATCGTTCATTTTTCGATATAAAAAACTTTCGTTAATCATATTGATTAGTTTTAATCAACGAAAAAAGAAAACACAATTACCAATCGAATAGAGGGGAAAAAAAGTTTCGAAAACTAATCTTGACCAATTCTAAACGATATTTCAAACAGGTTGATTATCGTGTTAATTGTGATGATGATTAACAAGTGACTCTTTTTATTGATTGTCGTTGTTACATTTCAATTGTGTGATCGTTGGAAATCATTGATCTTTGGTTCTTGGTTTCATCTTAGAACTGGATTTATATATATCACTGATTATGAGATTAATAGACTTCTTGATTGGTTAATCATGAGAAAAATATTAAGTTAATCAAGTTAATCTTTGATAACCCTAAGGTTATTTCAACAATGGTCAAAAAGGATAATCATTGGAACCAGAAATTTAAAGTTTCCTAAAAGATTATAAACTTTTCATTGATCAAAATGTTACTTTCTTATTGATAATTAGATGATTAGATTAGATTAGCAATCTAATTCCTAATCTAGATGAAAGTGATCATCATAATTTGGTCTATTATTTGACCTCAGGCCATAAGTAAAAGTAACTATTAGTATCTAATATTTAAATCAAATCCTAATCTCTAATCCCAATTTGTTTTTTTCTCATATGTTTAAGTTACAAATTAATGATTATCCTTAATTTACTCGGATAATATTGATTAATGATTAACCTAATCCTTGTGGACAATCAATGTGACAATGTTAATGATTAGGTTAATTGCTTGAGTTTATAAAATGTTGTACAGTATGTTAATTATTATTATATGATATTTATTATTATGATAACATTATTTTTGTGGTTTGTTTGTCTGAACGGAACTAGAAAATTAAATTAAACGGTAATTAAATTTAATTGCCGTTTAATTTTTTCACCGGAGTGACTTACAAACAAAGTAAACAACTTTACCCCTGAAGGAAAAACAAAATTAAAGTTAATTGTTAACTGTAAATAGCAATTATCATAAAGGTATCAGTGATATCATATGAACTCTCAGGTCTTATCATTATAATGATTACACTTCCTAATCAAAAAATTAACATGTTGATAGTTAGTTAATTGTTGATTATCCTCTTTAAATCAATGACAAACACTTTTTTTTCAATTCAATCAAATAAATTTCTCATTGGGACCTTGTTAATTGTTGATAATCATAATAATTATCAGTTTGTTATCCAATAATTAAAGGTTGAAACATTGATCGTTCGTCACTTACTTCAAACTAACGGTACTTTTTTGTCAATCGATATCAAGTGTATCGATTGTTGTTTGTGTCAATTGATTAATTGTTAATCATTTGTTGATAGTTTGTTAATTTTTGTGTCTCCCTTTTCTGATTAGGTTGTTACTTTATGTTAAAACATTATCAAAATGGTGAGCAAATTCAGACAAATGAACCATGTCTTAACTGTACCTGTGTTAATAGCATGTTAATGTGCTACCTGAGGGTTTGCCCGTTCATTAGGCCCGTCGATGAAAATTGTCTGGTTGAAAAAGTACCTGGAGAGTGTTGCCCGAGGGTAACATGTCCGGAGACCGATATTGACCCAGAATCTGATCCTGAGCCGACATCAACTACTAAACTATTAGACTTGACAACACCCTTACCTCGAACACCTATTGATAGGCTATTGACTAAATCGACGACGATGTTAACGTCAACTACTACAACCAGAATTCCCGAAACAACGACCTCTCAATTACCACGAACAAGTTTAGATAAAATGTTATCAAGATCGGAATCACCAGTCGATGGACGTCAAGATGAAATTAATCTTCCTCATGATGGTAAATCAACTCCAAGTGGACTTTCAACTTCTACGACTTCGAGTGTAAGGTCAAGTTCACCAAAGGGTGAAAAGAAAGACCCAACACCGACACAATACACGATGATGGATATAACCTCAACCTCTCACCCAACGAGTATTTTACCGACAACTTCTCGTCGTCCAATGAACGGCAATGAACCTTCACAGCCACGAAAAGAGATCGGACCATTTTCACCCATGGAATCGTTTACCGAAGGCTACCTTCCAACTCGAGTCACTTGGAAAAAGACTGAGCCCAATAAAAGACCCGCTCCAACTCCGGGTGTTATTCCGGGTGAAGGTAAATCGATCATTTCTCTTAATATATTGCTAAGATTTTTGACAATTTCTCTCTCTCTCTTAATCTTGTTGACCTTTAGGTATTTGTCGACACAATGGAAGAATCTACCAAAACGGCGAAGAGGTCACCAATAGTGACCCTTGTGTCGAGTACTGTGTTTGCATTAACAGTGTCATCTATTGCGATGAGATCCTTTGTGAACCTCATCAAAATAACGACCCAACCGTTAAATGTGTACCAATTAAACACGCAGATCGATGTTGTACCCGCTACCATTGTTGTAAGTACTAAGTTTTAAATGCTCGATTAGAACAATTTTGAAAATCGAATTTTCTAAGTAACTTTTTTTCCGTATTTAACTTTGATCTGCAGTCAAAATTTCGTCTGAAGCTATTAATGGAACTGATGGAAAGGCGACAACCATTAGCGACGTTTCAACCACACGAACAACAATTCTTAAGACCACCGCTGAAACTGTTCTGGTGCGAACGGAAGATCAAGGAATGAGCGTACCAAGTACCGTTAAAACATCAACCACCCCAATTGAAGTCAATCTAACAACCGTAACTGGAGCTAAATCAACAACCACGACCACAGAATCATCTCCGACGGAAACTAAAGCGACCTCAACATCAGTAACTAATGTTACAGAATCAGAGCTTCCAACGACTAAAACAATTCCGATAAGCTCAACATCTTCTATTGGCACCGAAGATAATAGAACGACAATTGAGCAAAGCTCAACTACACAAACCTCTCAATCTCCATCTTCAGTTGTTTCATCGACATCAATGTCAAGAGATGAAGGAATTGATGAAGAAACAACAAGCTCTCCATCATCCTCTTCGACATCATCTACAACCTCGAAGGAAGATACTGTTGAAGTAACATCCAAATTACCTGGAATGGTTGAAGTAACCACATTGTCTTCATCGACTTTACCTGTTGTATCAACATCTAAATCCACAACGATCAAGAGTGAAATTGACGATAAATTACCAACTACTTTGAGTGACATTACCGAGACATCATCATCTTCGTCATCAGAACCTACAACACAAGAATCAATGAGACCTGAAGATAAACAAGTCTCATCATCATCGACAGTTCCAGTTGACACATCATCAGAATCAGAAATCAAATTCTCATCGACAACAACTCGAGGTGATATCGAAAGAAGTGAAACTACAACTCAAAGTTATGTCTCTTCGTCATCTGAATCAACAATTGATGATCAAAAATCTTCCACTAAATTAGATGAACCAGTAATTACAACTCAATCGACATCTACAATTAGCTCATCTTCATCTTCATCTTCATCTTCATCATCGACATTGACTGACGAAGATGAACAAAAATCGAGACTCGACAACAGAATCTGTACAATGCGAACTGAAGATGAACAACAAGATGCTACTTCGCCAACATCAATCGAGACAACAACAGAATCCAGAGTTAAATCATCAACAACTATTCAAACTTCGTCAGAAGCAGATGAGGTAACAACTAGTCCTTCATCATCGACTCGATCATCACCTACAGCAGCAGATCAAGATAATGAAGCGATAACAACACAATCTACAATGAAAGTATCAACATCAACACAACCACCAACTCAGAGTGTAGATGAAGATAAATTACCAACTACCTTAAGAGATATTCCTGAACCAGGAATCCAAACAACGACTACAATTCCTCGAGATACCGAAATCAGTGATGTTACAACCCAAACCTCTTCCACTTCATCATCTACACTTTCACCAATCGAAGATGTGAAAGCTAAATCAACGACAAAATCAACTCCTGAAGTAACTGATCTCGACTCTACAACAATCACTCAAAAATCATCATCATCATCAGTAACATCGACTTCCACATCAGCACCAATGACAACAACCACAACTACTAAATCCTCATCAGTTTCTATTGACGATGATGTAGAAACAACAACGCCAAGAGATGCTTTCGATTCCATTGTAACAACACAATTACCTTCATCGAAAGAATCATCAACAAAAGATTCAGTGGTGGACCAAGATGAAGTAGTACCAACAACGACATCGAAACCTTATCCTGTCTCATCATCGACATCTAAGAGTCAAGATGTGGACGAAGATGGTGAAGTCAAGGTAACAACTCACTTACCTGTAACTGTAAAAGAGTTTGAACTTTCATCTACTCCGAAATCAACATCGACTTTGGCATCATCACCAGGACCATCAATCGACGATGAAAATATTTATACGACAACTTCAGTTCCTTATTCAACTGGATCATCAACAGTCTCAATTGAAGATGAAACTGTTCAAACCACAACTTCATCTTCCAGTGATGAATCAAAAGATGTTGGAATTGATGAAGTCACAACTTCCTCGCCATCTTCACTCTCGTCAACATCCACTCCAATTGAAGAAATTAAGACAACTTCAACTTCAACTCAACCACCAACCACAATCAAGAGCAAAATAACAGATGATGACGAATCACTAACTACTCTTTCTGAAATAACTCAAACTCCATCTTCCCGATTACCGACATCATCTATTCCTGAAGATGAAAAGACGACAACCTCGCCTTCTCGACCTGTTGTATCAACATCTAAATCCACAACAATCAAGAGTGAAATTGATGATAAACTACCAACTACTTTGAGTGACATTACTGAGACATCGTCATCAGAACCTACAACAATTAAGGAACAGGAAACAAGCCGACCTGAAGATAAACAAATATCATCATCGACAACAGCTCGAAGTGATATCGAAATCAGTGAAACTACAACTCAAAGTTATGTCTCCTCGTCATCTGCATCAACAATTGATGATCAAAAATCGTCAACTAAATTTGATGAAACTGAGGTTCCATTAACGACTCAATCACCACATACTAAGGAATCTTCATCAGCTCCATCATCAACATCAGAATCAAGAGATGAAATAATCGATGAAATAACAACTTATGCTCCTTCATCATCGTCAACCCGATTACCCTCGTCTACATCATCAATCGTAGACAAAGTTAAAGAGACGACATTGTCATCTCAAACTAGAGATCCTGATTCTGTAACTACTCAGTCAACAATCACACAAAAATCATCAACGTCAGAATATACAGAAGATGAAGTACCAACGACTTTCTCAACATTATCTCATATTTTATCTTCAACGCAATCGACAACAGTTAAGAGTAAAGTCACTGAAATTACAACACCTTCCCTCAAAGAGACACTGAAGAGCGATTTGAAGAAACAACAAAAGCCACTAAGCTTGAAACACCAGAAATCGTTACGCTTAGAACTGTTGAACAGAAAGAGGAAACTTCATCCACAGAATTGACATCTAAAGCACCAACATCATCAGTATCTGACTTTGAACATTCAGATACAACGACAATGATGATCGACGATGAACAAGACAAAACAACCACCACATCACCTTCATATGTGACACAATCACAATCGACATCTACACAAAAATCAACAACACAATCACAATCGACAGTCACTTCATCCTCAGTACCATCAACAACGGTATCAGAAATGGACGAATCGGTCGATGTAACAACTACTCAATCTCCATCCATACCTGTTGTATCCTCTACACAACCACCATCATCATCGCAATCACCAACTCAATCAACAACTACCACTACCACTATGACAACGACAACAATCAAGAGTCAATCAGATGATAAATTACCAACGACAATTAGTGATATCGATGAACCTTTGGATGTCATTACATCAAGTTCAGTACAAGATATTACAACTAAATCAGTTTCTCTTGAGCCTGAAGGTAAACATGATGATTTAACGACTAAATCATCAACATCAATCGTATCAATTGAAACAACAACATTGTCCTCTCATTTGTCATCAACAACAATTAAATCTGAATCACATCCTGGCTCATCATCTACTCAAAGAATCGATGATGTTGAAGATGAACTGAAAACGACAACTCAATCTTCATTGAAATCATCAACACCACCAGCTCCGTCATCGACATCATCTACTTCATCAGAGTCAGTAACAGAAACAAATGATGATATAAATACAACTAAATTGTCACGCACAGAAACCGAATCACAATCAACATCATCATCATCATCATCAACAACAACAACAACTACAACATCATCATCGAAATCAGAGGATGAATTAAGTGAATCGGTAACTACTTCATCACCTTCGGTTCTCTCTTCGTCTACAGTCACAATCGAAGATGAGAAGACCACAACTTTAGCTCCATCCTCATCCTCATCCACAGCTTCAATCAACCGTAACTCAGTCAACAACAACCAAGAGTAAAGTTTCAGATGATGACGATCTACAGACCTCTATAAGTGATATTGAGGACGATGAAAAGTCAACAACTTCCTCTCCATCTTCGACTCAATCGACGAAAATCAAATCTGAGGAAAACGACCAGGAACTCGTATTGAAGGATCGTCACAAATCACAACACAGAAACAAGAAGATGTTACTACAGCTTCTTCAACAAATGAACAAGACCAAACTACGACACGAAAACCTACTGATATCAGCTCCATAACACCTAAATTCATCTCATCGACAGCTTCTCCAATTACTACTCTGGATGATACAGAAATCATTGATGCTACGACACAAACTAAGACTGACGACGAAGCGATAACAACACAAGCTACAATGAAAGTATCAACATCAACACAACCACCAACTCACAGTGTAGATGAAGATAAATTACCAACTACCTTAAGAGATATTCCTGAACCAGGAATCCAAACAACGACTACAATTCCTCGAGACACCGAAATCAGTGATGTTACAACCCAAACCTCTTCCACTTCATCGACACTTTCACCAATCGAAGATGTGAAAGCTAAATCAACGACAAAATCAACTCCTGAAGTAACTGATCTCGATTCTACAACAATCACTCAACAATCACCAGCAACATCAACATCGACACCAACAACTACAACTACTAAATCCTCATCAGTTTCTATTGACGATGATGTAGAAACAACAACACCAGGAGATGCTTTCGATTCCATTGTAACAACACAATTACCTTCATCGAAAGAATCACCAACAAAAGATTCAGTGGTGGACGAAGATGAAGTAGTACCAACAACGACATCGAAACCTTATCCTGTCTCATCATCGACATCTAAGAGTCAAGTTGTGGACGAAGATGATGAAGTTAAGGTAACAACTCACTTACCTGTAACTGTAAAAGAGTTTGAACTTTCATCTACTCCGAAATCAACATCTACTTTGGCATCATCACCAGGACCATCAATCGACGATGAAAATATTTATACGACAACTTCAGTTCCTCACTCACCTGTTGATCTATCAAGAGGAGAAGTCGTAACAACTCAATCACCAATAATTCATGAAGTCGAGGAAATGACAACAACGTCAGTTTCCGATTTGAAAACGATCTCAAGTACTAAACCAACCACTTTAAGACCTTCGTCACCAATTGATGAAGAAATTGAAGTAACCACATTGTCTTCATCGACCATACCTGTTGTATCAACATCTAAATCCACAACGATCAAGAGTGAAATTGACGACAAATTACCAACTACTTTGAGTGACATTACCGAGACATCGTCATCTTCGTCATCAGAACCTACAACACAAGAATCAATGAGACCTGAAGATAAACAAGTCTCATCATCATCGACAGTTCCAGTTGACACATCATCAGAATCAGAAATCAAATTCTCATCGACAACAACTCGAGGTGATATCGAAATAAGTGAAACTACAACTCAAAGTTATGTCTCTTCGTCATCTGAATCAACAATTGATGATCAAAAATCTTCCACTAAATTAGATGAACCAGTAATTACAACTCAATCGACATCTACAATTAGCTCATCTTCATCTTCATCTTCATCATCGACATTGACTGACGAAGATGAACAAAAAACAACAACTTCATCTCCAATGTCAATCGATGACATTCCTACTACCACGAGAAAAGTGTCCAGTGATATAACTGAATCAGAATATTTAACGACTCAATCAACTTCTAGGTCTGAAGTACCTGTTGTATCAACATCTACAACCACACCACAATCAGTATCATCATCAACATCTAAATTACAAGATGAAGTATCAGATGAAGTCACAACTTACTCTCCATCTTCCTCCTCATCATCGACCGTCCAACCATCGTCATCAGAAACAAGTGAAGATGTAAAAACAACAACTCAATCGCCTTCTACATCTCAATCAGTATCAATCCAAGATGAAGATGTTAAGACAACAACAGTTACTCAATCAGCTATTGTTTCATCATCTTCAACTTCACCCAAAGAAGAAGATGAAATAAGTGAAACAACAACAATTTCTTCATCAACTCGTCCTGACGTACCCTCAACTCAATCGCCATCATCATCAACAACAACAACGAAGAGTGATAAAGATGATAAATCAATCGAGGTTACAACAACTAAGACTCGAGACTCGACAACAGAATCTGTAACAATGCGAACTGAAGATGAACAACAAGACGCTACTTCACCAACATCAATTGAGACAACAACAGAATCCAGAGTTAAATCCTCACCTTCAACAACAACTCGAAGCGATGATGAAATCAGCGAAATTACTACTGATGGTGATTTGAAAACGACGCGATCTCAACCAACAATTAAACCTTTATCTTCAACGACATCAGCTGACGAAGAAGGTGAAAACCAACAATTTCGACTTCAATTGATGACATTACGACAACTTCTCAATCATTACCTGATTCATCAACATCAAGCAAGAGTTTGACAGAAAAATCAACTCAACCTTCAACAGTTAAGTCACCAGAAACAACAACAGAATACACCTCATCAAGAACTGATGATCAACAAGATATAACGTCACCCGAATCATCAACAAGAAAATCTTCATCGCCAGTCAAAGATGATGATATCGATCAACAAACAACAACTTCTTTGCCGATAGTAACTTCAACTCGAACCTCAACATCAGAATCAGAAAGCAGAACAACAAAATTATCTTCATCGGTTTCAGTTTCTGATGACGATCAGGTAACAACTGAATCTTACAAGACAACACAATCAGAGTCTATGCAACCATCAACAGCACATGATGGAGATGAAGTTTCTGAAGTCACAACGACTTCAACAAGAGCCGAATCAACAACAGGTAAATCAACAATCTCTAGAACAGATAACATTCCGACAACAATTGCTGGTCAACAAGATTCAACGTCACCTGATTCGATCGTAACTACACAGCGATCATCCAAAGATTCCGAATCATTGACAACAATTTCAGAATCCATAGATGACGAAGAAAGGAAAATCATAGCAACAAGCACAACATCGGTAACAAGATCACAATCATCTACGACGGAATTACCGATGAGTTCAACACCAGCATCAGATGAAGTAAGTGACCTTACTACGATCGTATCGACTTCTTCGACTCCTGTAGCTGTATCTTCAACTCAAGTGACAACGATTGTGAGTAAGATAGATGATAAGTTAACAACGATCGGTGATATTTCTGAAACATCGTTACCTGAGATTACAACAACTGAAATACAAGATGTAAGAAAGCCGATGATACAAGCCATTCAACATCACCATCGCCAACAGAAATGACATCTAAAGCACCAACATCATCAGTATCTGACTTTGAACATTCAGATACAACGACAATGATGACCGACAATGAACAAGAGAAAACATCCACATCACCTTCATCTGTGACACAATCACAATCGACATCGACATCTACACAAAAATCAACAACACAATCTCAATCGACAGTAACCTCATCCTCAGTACCATCAACAACGGTATCAGAAATGGACGAATTGTCATGCAACAACCACTCAATCTCCATCCGTACCTGCTCACCAATCATATGATACTTGACAACAATCAAGAGTCAATCAGATGATAAATTACCAACGACAATTAGTGATATCGATGAACCTTTGGATGTCACTACATCAAGTTCAGTACAAGATATTACAACTAAATCAGTTTCTCTTGAGCCTGAAGGTAAACATGATGATTTAACGACTAAATTATCAACATCAATCGTATCAATTGAAACAACAACATTGTCCTCTCATTTGTCATCAACAACAATTAAATCTGAATCACATCCTGGCTCATCATCTACTCAAAGTATCGATGATGTTGGAGATGAACTGAAAACTACAACTCAATCTTCATTGGAATCATCATCAACACCATCAACCCCGTCATCGACATCATCTACTTCAGAGTCAGTAACAGAGACAAATGATGATATAAATACAACTAAATTGTCACGCACAGAAACCGAATCACAATCAACATCATCATCATATCATCAACAACAACAACAACAACTACAACATCATCATCGAAATCAGAGGATGAATTAAGTGAATCGGTAACTACTTCATCACCTTCGGTTCTCTCTTCGTCTACAGTCACAATCGAAGATGAGAAGACCACAACTTTAGCTCCATCCTCATTCTCATCCTCACCTTCGTCTGCAACTTCAACTGTAACTCAATCAACCAAGAGCAAAGTATCAGATGATGAATCACTGACTACTCTCTCTGAAACGGACCAAACTCCATCTTCGCGATTACCAACATCATCTATTCCTGAAGATGAGAAGACGACCACACCATCTACAACCTCGAAGGAAGATACTGTTGAAGTAACATCCAAATTACCTGAATGGTTGAAGTAACCACATTGTCTTCATCGACTTACCTGTTGTATCAACATCTAAATCCACAACGATCAAGAGTGAAATTGACGATAAATTACCAACTACTTTGAGTGACATTACCGAGACATCATCATCTTCATCATCAGAACCTACAACACAAGAATCAATGAGACCTGAAGATAAACAAGTCTCATCATCATCGACAGTTCCAGTTGACACATCATCAGAATCAGAAATCAAATTCTCATCGACAACAACTCGAGGTGATATCGAAATAAGTGAAACTACAACTCAAAGTTATGTCTCTTCGTCACCTGCATCAACAATTAAGGCACAAGAAACAATGAAGCCAGAAGACAAACAAGTCTCATCATCGTCGACAGTTTCAATCGATACAACTTACTCAACAATTACACCAGAAACTTCAACTAATCTGTCAACAACAACACCACAATCTTCATCAACATCCTTTGAATTATCTCAAAATGTCACAGAACCAAATGATGTGACAACCGAAACATATTCAGGTCATTCTTCAACACCGACAGTCGTAACTCCAGAAGCACCAGTTGAATCACGAACGGAAGATAAAGAGACTCGAGTTACAATGACCGTGGTATCGACAAACGTCACCCAAAAACCCGTTACATCAGTTGAAAGTCTTTATCGACCCAATGATACCCAAACCTCTGACCGATACCTGACCACATATACAATCGGTGGAATCGATGATGGTGATCACACTTTCAATTCATCAATCACACGAATTCCTATCGGCAGTTCAGTTACTCCAGATTTACAAACAACCAGCGCTTTTGTGACTAGCACATTGTCACCGATTCAGACAACAACCAAACAAGATTATGTCGCATCTTTTGTTAATAAATCAATCACTGATCTTCCAGCTACCTCACGATCAATTGATTCAGTTGAAAAATCAACGACACAAAGTTTGAGGCCAATTTCACGGGAAGAAACAGAAATGTCCACTCCAATCAGTCCAAGTAATATAACCACAAGTCTAATTGAAAAACTATCGACAATTTCAATGACCACGAAAATAACAACACCACAACCGCCACCAACCACAACCACAACCACAACCACAACCACAACCCCAACCACCACCACGGCTGCCACATTCACTGAGCTTCCAACAACGACAATCCAACACGATAATATGACCAGTCAATCGGATGGAGTTGAAGATTCATGTAAGTTCATATCAATCAATTGATTTCGTTGGTACCAATAACTAATTTTCCCGTTTCTTTGATCACTTTTAGCTTGTGTTTTCAATGGTAAAATTTACCAATCAGCTGAACAGATCCCAAGACCTCATCCATGTGATTTCTGTTTCTGTTTCCGAGGCGACATCATTTGCCTCCAGCAAACTTGCCCACCGCCGATACCAAATTGTTATGAAACAACAATTGAAGGTTTTTGTTGCCCTCGATATGAATGTCGTAAGTACAAATAAACCCTAAGGCTAAATTAGTGATCATGTTTATCTAATCAAATTAAACTTTTTTTCCTCCTCCAACAATTTAGCTGTTCACATATCAACTGTCAATGTAACATCAACAACACCATTGCCTTTCTTAAGGACAACTACTCAAGTTAAAGGTACGTATTGAATGTCCAAAGACTGACCACCGTAATATTGACCTTTGAAATTGCGTATCCTCTCAAATCAATGGATATAATTATTTAGTTGATTGACCTGATTGTATTGATTGTTGCTGTTGATAAGAAACTGATTGGTTGATCTAAATTGAGATCAATCCAAAGTTTATCAAATTGGAGATGAAGATGATGATGATTTGGATGCCCAGATAGAGGGAGAAAGAGAGGTTGAGTGAGTTGATCGAAAGAGATTTAGAATTGATTGTGATTAGTTGGGACTAATTTAGTTCTATTAGAAAGTCAATGAGAACTGGATTTATGACCAACACCTTTGGAAGATTTTGTTTGACAGAGAGAAATTTATACTTTTCTTATGATCATGTGAACTAAACCTCACTAATCATCTTTATCTTTATCATTTAATTTGATGATGAACATTTTTTTATTCCTACAAGATGATTATAAATATTATACATCCATTGGCCATCAATTTGACCTACTATTTGACCTGAGGCCACAAGTAAAAGTCAATTTTGTTGTTGTTGCTTCATCGTCTCAAATTATAAATTCAAAACTAATCTCATCTCATTACAAATCTATCAATCCACTTAATCTTATCAAAAATTTACTTTCGATTTGTTTACCTTTCAGATTAACGAACTTTTCAAATCTCTCTCTCTCTCTCTCTCTCTCTCTCTCTCTCATTAATGGGATTAAGAAACTTAATCAACCTTAGAGTCAATGGTCAAGATACACTTTTAGTTGTTTGATTTTCGATTGAATTGCTTTTTATTAATTACTTTTTACTAATTATTATTCCACAGGTTGTGAAGTAAATGGTTCGATGTATCCGCTTGGACAGGTCATAAAACCGGCCAGTGGCCCATGTATGGAGTGTAAGTGTGAAAGCGATGGTGTCATGAGATGTAATCCACAAAACTGTTCACCGCAATCGCCGCTTTTACTACGAATGAGTCGAAACTTTTTCGCAACAAGTAAACGTTAAACTGGTTGGTAAAGGAGAAGAAAATTTCAAATGATTAATAATCAATAACATTGAAAAGAATTAATCAAATATAATTGTCAACAATTCGCAGAATCATTTGGATAAAAATCAATCAAAAGGATAATCAAGTCAACACAATTTATTTGATCAATTTGCAATTTTGCCACTTCGAAAGCTCAACTCAAATCATGTTCATCACTTTTAATCATCTTCCTCTGTGACCATTTTACCATCATTAATATTATTGATTCTCGTCTAATCTAATCATCTCTCATCCTCATCTTCACCATTTTCATCGTCATCATGCTCATCATCATATCGCCAAATTCACCTCATCATCTTCAAGCAATTGAGTCTATTGTGTGTTTATTGAATAGAATATGGAAAAAAAATTAACTCAATTGTATTAACTTAAATTGTCAAATATTATATCAGATCAGTGGTCAAGCTTTCTGGGAATCTCCGTGCCCCGTTTTCCGAGACTTTTGTGCCAAAACTATTGATCAACGGGACAATTGACCTAATTGTTATCTGATACCAATTCCTAATTCATTTTATCAATGACAACAATTGGTTTATATATATCACTGAATTTATCATGTAAAAAAAACTCCGACATACTCACAGGGTCTATTTCAAGGGGATCTTATAATAGACGCTAATTAATTCATCTCATTTGTATTTTGTAAGAAAAAAACAATTAACCGAAAAGTGATCTTCTTTTCGAACCCTTTGTACTATTGAATAATTGAACGATAATTTCTCAGTCTTAATCATTTCTCATGAGTATATTTTCCCATTTTTTTCCTTATCCCTTTTATTTATCATATTGAACAAAATAAAGAAAACAAATTTCGAAAATTTCAAAGTTTCCATCACAATTTAATCATCACAATTACACTGAATTGATCTGATATGAATTGCGAATTTAATTTGATTTCTCAATAGTGAATCTCCTTGATTGTGGTATAATTGTGTCGAGACAATCAACCGATTAAGATTACATGACCTTAACAATCAGAGAATCATTGGAAATTAGCTTGATTCTAATGATTAGATTTTTGGATTAACTGTTAAGAGGAAAATTAAAGGATTAATTTGATGATAAAGGTGAGAGACTAATTAACTTTGTAGGTTTAATTAAAACTCTCTAATGAGTGAATTTATTTAATTATCAAAATAAATAAGGATTTTTTGCTAATTGTTACATGATTAGTAGACAGTAATTAAGATTAAGCTATTTTTACATTTGTCATCAATGAAAAATTTCACTCACATCAGAAAAATTCAACAATCAATTCAATCAATTTACTCTCATTATGAGTAAATTAATTAAACCCTTCCGCTAATCCAAGGTAATCATTGAATTAAGATCGTAATCAATTGGTGTAAGTTTTTTGTCACCTCATCCTCATCATCCAATTTTAATCATCCTCCCATTTTATCATCTCTCTCAATTTATCCTCCAAAATGATTTAATCACTTAAGTCACAATCAATTTAATTTCTTTACACTTTAAATGTTTCCAACGTTAACTTAATTCTGTTAAGAAAACACATCAAGTTTCATCAAAATCAACGGAATTACAACAATTATGAGAAAATTTCTCATTCAAATTACTCTAATTGTCTTAATCATCTCAATTGTCAATTGTCAATCTAATAGTAAAAAGAAAACAAATTCAGAGATCGTCGTCCAAATGTTAATTGTCACCTCAAGGAACTTAAAGATTGTATTGAAAAAGTTGATCGTTATTCAAATGATACTCAATCGTACAAATTAATCACCACATCAAGAGGAATCGATGAAATTTGCTCGTAAGTACAACAATCAACTAATCAACATCCCTAATCCAATATCATAATAATATAACAATCAGCTAATCGAGAGCTCCCTGACCATCAACAAACTACTTACATATAAGAGATGATTAAAGTTAATCAAAATAATTGAATTTAATCAACAGAAACTCATTGGAAGGTCTTAATTGTTTGAAAGATCACATTGATAAATGTGGAACACCAATTCAAAAGGAGATGTTTGAATTTGCTTTGGAATCATTTCAAAAATCAATCGATAAATTTTGTAAGCCTGGACAGTTACGAGAAGGTAATTAGGTTGATTATTTTATCTCGCTAACAATTAAACAATCCAATTAACCTTGTGATCACCTTTGGTCAATTAATCATCTCATTCTTTTCTCATATTTATCCAGAATTCTTGAAACATTCACCATGTATTGCCGATAATATTTTGTCCAAGGACGAATACAAAAAGAACTGTAATCAACCTTATTTAATGTCCATCGACAAGGTCAACAAATTTGAGGACTTTGACGATCGACTTGACCTTACATGTTGTTCATACAATCGTTGGGAAAACTGTCTCCTTGAGTAAGTTCTGTCCATCGATTTACCTTGTGAATTAATTATCTCAATAAGATCTCTTATAATCTTAATCTTTCGATACCTTGACGGTAATTTAACGATAGAGATGATGATCTTTTCTTAACCAACTCTTTATTATTATTTCCAATTGCCATTATCACGATAATCTCAGAATGACCTCAGCCAAATGCCAGGGATTAGGACGTGAAGCATTAACTAATTTCATGGAAAAAGCATTCGCTGGATTAACCAACATGATTTGTAAACAAAACGAATTCAATTTCAATGGATCTCGATGTAATTCCCTTTATCCAGCTAATGGCGCAACTCTTGACCCTTCGATGACCAATAACCCGATCACGAAGTATTTGACTTCTTACTTTCGTTTTCTATTAACTAATTGACCGAATCGTCAAGTAACTTAATTAACTGTTAATTCTTACAAATTGTTACAACAATAATTTCCAATTTCTAATCAAAAACTTTGATTAAGGAAAAAATCAAAATTCTCTCAACTGATTGTTAATTAACTCGAACACAATTGGATCTGAGTTTATATCTTTTTTTCGTTCGATATCAATAAACTGTTACCGACGATTTTTTCGTTTTCGACTTTAATTGTTGGTTTGATTGTGAGCAGTTTAGTTCTACATGGCATTTCACCTAGTTCCCAACAATTTCTAGTGAGTATTAGACCTCAAACTCGAGTTGGGGAAGTTTAGATGGTATTCACTAGTCATATTTCAATATCAAGATCATTCGAGGTCATTCTGCATAGATACATGTTTCGTTTTCAAGGTGTACAAGAAACTTTCATGAGTCAATTAATCTTGATCATGAACTTGGCTCTAGTTAAATGTCATTATCTTTTTCATCAACCCCTTAGCTTAGGCAGATGGCGCTTAATTGTTGGTCATAATGAAAAAGAAATCATTTTAAATGATTCTTTTAAAGTAAATCTAATCTTAGCAAATAAACGTGTTTCATGTAAGCTTGATTTTTTGTTATTGATCTTTTTTATTTTGTATAGTTTACCAATTCGATATTAAACAAGATGGAAGATTTATCGACTTTCAAACCGGTAAGCAAGTAAACAATGGTATTCATCTTGAACAATGAATGCCAAATGCCAGGGATTAGACCTCAAACTCGAGTTGAGGAAGTTTAGATGGTATTCACTTGTCATATTTTAATATCAAGATCATTCGAGGTCATTCTGCATAGATACAGTTTCAATTCAAGGTCATTTGATGGCCAGAATCAAATTTAGACTCAATGATGAAGCTACTAACGAGGTTATAACTTTGAGACATGTTTAGTTGTTTATGATTCAGAAGCTTTTCAGCCAATTCTCATTAATTTCCTTTCAAAAAAGAGAGTTTAAGTCGAGAAACCTTTTTGTTTGGGGTATATGGTTGTTTTTGAATTTTGAATGGATTCTCAGACGGTGACTAATATAGAAAAGCTCCTTCGGAAACTTTTTACTAAATTAGAAACTTATCGTCTGGATCAAATGCCAGTTCAAGGTCTATATCCCGTTTATCAAAATGATTTTTGAAACCATGATGAATACCAACACAATTCAGTCCATTATAAATCCCCTGTGTGATGGAGTAGTAATGAGTTTGCATTCCGAAAACCATGAGTGCCAGTAGGTGGAAGCTGCCAAGAATTTCAATATGCCATATTCCCTATCCCAATCGATTTTTATACCATCATGACGATTAAAAAAGTTGAGTTGAGATATTTTCTCTGCTGATGATGCAAAGAAGCCACAGCCATTTTTAAAAAATAGCAATCAAGGGTGAAACAAAGGGCATTTTACCCAGTTTCCAACAAGTTTTTCTTGGATAACCTTTTTGCTTTTGAGTATTAAACCTCTAAAACTCGAGTTGTGGAAGAGATTTCAATTGTCATATTTGAATATCAAGATCATTTAAGGTCATTCTGCTAAGATACAGTTTCAAGGTTGTTTGAGGGTCAGAATCTATTCAATTTCATATTGTTCTTACCCAATTGTGACAATTCTTACAATAATATCTTTCAATTTCTAATCAGAAACTTTGATGTAGAAAAAAGATAAAAACTCTCTCATGTGGTTGATAATTAACTCGAACACAATTTGATATGATTGTCTTTTTTCGTATCATATCAATAAATTGTTGCCAATGATTTTAAATTTTGGTTTGATTGTGAGCAGTTTAATTCTAGAAATCATGAAATTGTTACAATTTTGTTCATTGAGCGAAAAATTAAATTGTGATGAAAACAAAAGGGAATCAATCAAATTGGAAATGATTAAAGAAGTAATTAAAAAAAATTATGACAATTAAGGAAGAAAATTAATTTTGAATAATCAATTTGATCAACAAGGAGTAATAATTGTGATAAAAAATTAAGGGACTACAATAAAAATACAGAGTAATTTAAATACGAGTTAATAAAAAATAAATTTAACAATTAAGGGAGAAGCAAAAATTTAAATTGTTTACCGATCATCAGATAAATCTAATTGTGATTTACTAAATACTTGAAATATCATGTTGATCATTAATTGTTGATCATAAACTTGAGATAATTGATTTAGGCGATTTGATTAATCAAATAATGGTTGCAATTTGTTTCTATCACAATTGTTTGATTAAGGATTCGGGATTGTTATTTGGATAAATTCAAGTGCACAAAAATTAACTAATTACAATTTTCCTAATTGTCAAATAGCAACACTAAAAGGCAAATGTAATTGAAATCATTTCCAATTAATGGTATTAATAAAATTAATTGTTCGTTTACGTCTATTCCTCGGAAAAAAAAGAAGAACTAAATTAAAGATAATCACAAATTATACCAATCAGACAAAATGAATGATTAACAAATTGCAAATAGTGAAAAGGGAAAAACAATTAACCAACAGAACCGGTGATTGGTAAATATAAGGATGCGGATGAGGAGGAAACGGAAATAGGGATTTACAGTTGCCATAAAAATAAAAATATGTCACAATCAATGAAAGAGAGAGAAAATTAATATTGATCAGGTTAATGATGAGAAACTTAATTGTTGCTTTGATCTTGATTGCTGTTGATTATGACGATGAGACGATTGATAATTAATCCTTTGTGGCATCAATTTCAAGTCCTTTAAGGTAAATCAAGTAAATTGTTGTCTTCGTAAAGTTTATTGGTTATATTATAAGCGGTTTCCGATAGTTCAGCCAAAGTTATCATGGTTTGGGTGAGTTTATCCTTATCGTCCCCTGGTTCACCACCAAAGGCTCGTACAATTAACTGTTCACGATTAGGTAATCCATACATGGCTAATGAAGCGGTTTTCCTGATCACCCACGGATGATATTTAGCTAAAGTGGCCTGGTAAGCAGTTCGAGCCGCTGGTCCAGTGGCCGCCGAATCTTCAAGTTTACTCACTTCCAAGATGAACTTAGAGATAAATGCAAGAGCTCGATGTAATCTCAACAATGTGCGAGCACCTAATCAACAATTAAAAGAATAAGAAAAAAATCTAATTAGTTTAAACATAATATTCTCAAATTTCTCAATGTCCAAAGTCAAAGTTCTGACCATTGATCAGAACTTTTCTCCAAAAAATTTGGTCGGAAATCATTACGATCAACAGACAATCGCCATATTCTGACGTGGCTTTGTACACTAATTATAAACATGTATTTCTTTATATTATTGGCAATCAATCAAATGATAATAATCATCAATAATTACGTTGAAAACAGATGAAAATAATCATTGATAGACGAAAGAAAATGATGAGATTAATCACCTGAAGGTCTTTCTTCACTTCGAAGTAGATTATGTTTAGCTTCGTACTCCATCATTGATTGTAGAGTAACATAATCATCGTTACACTTAGGATCATTTCGATAGGTCTCAAGAATATTGATCTTACTCTCGACATCGGAGGTCACAAATGAGAACACAGTTCCAAGACATTCAAAGAACCTAAAAAAATGAAGAAACAAAAACAAAACGAAAAGATTTACAATATTGACAATCAATCGAAAACAATTAAAAACTAATAGTCAACATGAACACGTACTTTTGTAATTCCTTATAAGCTTCGATATAAAGATCGAGACTCGAAGCATTTGGATCTTCGTTGTACTTTCTGAGACAATTACAAACTTTGTCCACATCGAATGAACTTTTACAGGTATCACTTGACATTCTTTGAACAATATGGTTACTGAATGATGATGGTGATGATTTAAAATGAGAATTTGATAAATAAATTGATGAACTGAAGAGATAGAAAAAGATAAACAAACAGAAAAGTAGAGTAAATTTAACGAGAGGTGGAAAAGTGTTGGTGGTGGAAGAGGAAGACGAGGAGATGAAGGTGGTGGTGAGAAGGGAGGAAAATGGTTGACAAGGAGTAACAGTAATTTGCTTATGGAAATGAGCGATTGCTTTTAATGGCGTTGATTTGATTGTTGTTGATTGTTGCGTTTCAGGTTGATGATTAGTGTTGACGGTGAAAAGGTTGACTGATGATCTGAACCAACTAATGGGAGGACGAACGACAATATAATCATACAGTTGATGGAAGTGTTTCAATGAGAGTTTGTTGATGTTTTTGATCGTTGGCTCATCAATGAACAGATGATTCTGTTGACAAGACATGAAGGATAGAGAGAGAGAGAGAGGAAAATTAGAAGACAGAGATGAAGAAAGAGAAAAAAATAGAAGACAGAAAAAGTAGAGTAAAAGAAGAAAAAAAAATATTAGAATGAGAATATTATTTATGTTGATTGAGAGACAATTCTATTGGTAATTCAATACATTTTACTATCGAATTAATTTGTTATATTGATTACGAATCAATAATATTCATGACATTAAAGAATCTAAATTGACAATAGTTAATTAGATTGATTGTTTTTCTCAAAGATTATTAAGGATATTGGATAAGGTTAAAGAGAAATGAAATTTTTATTTACCTTTATTTTCCTAAGGAGATTATCCTCTCCAAGATATTGATCTGTTTTCTAATAACAATGAGAAAAAAACGTTAATTGTCTTGATTAGAAGATGATTAAAGGTAAATTGTTTGAGAATCAAATTCTGTGAATTAAACACAACCACTTACCTTTTATTGAATGATGAACATATGATCAAGAGTCTCTTCAACTGTTGCTGACACAGAATTAAGAATCACTCAATTTGCTTAGAGCTTTAATTTTCTCTCTCTCTCTCTTTGGGAAACTAATCACTGGATTAACGAATTAAAATTTCCTTCTATTGTGACACTTGAAATGATTAGTTTACAATCTAATTAATGTCATTAATCAACAAACTAACATGATGGCAATTAAACCGGTTTGTCCAAGGATATTGTCCACTTGATGGTGCACAGGAAAGTAAAGTTAATTGTGGAGAGATCGTAATTTTTTTACCTACAATTAGAGGATTAATTTGATTACTTTGTTGAGGAAAATTAACTTGATTTACCTTTACAGTATTAGATTAATTGTTGTTATTTTGAGGAGATTATGATTAGAGCTTCTAATCTAAAATTGGGTTGATTTAGGCTTGAGAATATTGATTTGTCACAATTAACTTAATTCACTTTCTAATTGTGGGAAATTATTATTACCTGAAGCTATTTAAAGTTAATTTGATTCTCTTGTTAATTGATTGTAACAACTGATTTCCAATGAAAGTTAATTTTGATCAATTCTAATTTAATTGTTGATTATTTGTCGGAGTGGCAACAATTATGAGGATTGATTTTGTTAATTATGTCAAGAAATTGGATTAGATTAAATTGTGAATGATAAGGTTGAGGATTAATCTTCAACTCTCATTGAATGTTGACAAGAGCAACAAATGGTAACGATTAATGAAAGAAAAATTTAAATTGTGATCCTTAATTGCTGAGAAAAATTGAATTTACAACAATTTATGGAAATTTAAAAATGAGAATTAATTTTTTGATTGGTTAACAAATGAAAATCCTAAATCGTCACCACTTACAATCAGTTAACTAATATTTTTTTTCTAATTAACCTCTTGATTAAAGTTAATCAAACATTGTTGGTCAGTTTCTCTGATCATTTGTGCCCATCCCTAAACCTTTCCAATAGCTTAATTGTGATTAGAAATTAGAAATTAGGCCTGACAATCAATCCAATCGTTTCATTGGAAATGAGTCCAAAAGGTGTTAAAAGCGTCAATTCACCGAATGGCTCATCGGCTGAAGAAGATGACCTTTTAATCCCCGGTAGTATCGCGTTAGATAGGGTGGGATTTTCTGAAGATTTTTCGAACCTTGTTCCCTCCGTGATCGCTGATACGACATTTCTAACAGTTGGACAATTAGTGGAAATATCGGAAACTCTTTGTTGCAAAGAATTCGAAAAAAACGTTTACAGTTATCCGATCTTTCTCTCTGATTCTGGTTAACATTTGCTTCGGAGATAAAATAACGATATTCCCTCGAATTGTGGTCACCGTTTGCAACACTTTGTCCGAAAAGGAAATCCCTTAGACCCTGAAGGCATCACAAGAACCGAACTAAAATCTGAAGAAAGTCCATTGGATTACATTCTGTGCCTTCCTCGTCGATTTCTACCTTAATCTTATATCTAAACCTAAAGCGAAACAATTAACGATAGAATTGATCTGTGATGAGACTTTCGGGACCAATTCGTTCAAACCTATTCACCTCGAACTCTCTGCGCGGGTAAAAACAGTTTTTGGTCCAGCAAGTTAATTGTTGTGTCTTTTGCCTCAATTGTGATACCATTTCACTTGAGATTTTTTTTTAAAATTACAATTTATTATAAAAGTTTAATCACTATCTGAGTTATCGTTATTTTCATGGGCAGGTAGAGTTTTCCTTATAGTGTCCAATTTATTGAGTTCACTGGTCACCAATTGAGTGTAATGTAACCTTTTAGCTTTAACTTTACTCATTCTAAATGGATTGAGTAAATTAAATGAGATGTGACAAAGATGATCAACATCAATTGTCCGATATCCAAGTAGACGAATGTATTGATTAATGGTTAGTGAATCGTTCATGGTGAGAATGGTTGATGAATGATACTTTAAGAATGCGAGAGCAAATCGGAATAGCACTTTGTTACCTTCGTATAAAAAGACATCCCAGATACGAAGGTAAATGTTACTCGGAACGTTATCAACGAAACAGGTAAGAAACCAACTGAAAAGCGATAATTCAATTCCATGTCTTTCAAGGTGACTATTAAGATTGGGTAGTTTCTCGGTGAGTAAATCACGAAGTACATATTGGTCAACATGAGCTCCAAGTAGATTTGCGGTAAAATAGTCTGGTGGCATAATGTTTTCGATGATAGCGACCAATGTCCAGAAAGCGTCTTCTTCCGGCATGAAGAGCAAAGCGACCGCTGCTAAGCGATTCATTCCCTGGCAATAACCAACGGCTGGATTGTGTAAAGAGTAACAGGTTAAAACTTGTCTTAATCTCATTATACCGGGTGATTTAATGTTCTCAAAGTGTTTATTATTGGGAAGAGTTCGAAGTAGATCAAGTTCGATCTGTTTAGCCGCAGGATTTACTTTACGTTCAACTGTTTTCACGCATAACGTTTGATAATAACCTGAACCAAGACGATCTTTAAGATTTCGAATACGAATATTGATTAACATTCTCCATATTTTACATCGATATTCTTGTGGTACACCAGTTCTAAGAAGAACTTTAAGTTCGAGATTTCTGGACAGTTCATTTGACCCTAAATTACCAATGTAATAATCCCATCGGTATTTCCACTCAAATTGTTGACGTCCAGCTTCCGATTGATTGGTTGGATCATTTGCTTTCTTAATCTTATTAAATGCTTCACTTTTACCACTCAATTTATCACCAAATTCAATCTCACAGTCTGATTGTTTCAAGGAAAATCCAAGTTCATCATAATCTAAATCGGTACCAGAAGATGTGGCATGTTCATCGCTCCTCTTTCGATTACCTGGTTTCCAACTTAACGGAATGTCCAATGAGTTTTCATCGAGAAGCCGAGTGACCAATGCTTTGACTGATTGATTACTAGAAATTAATTGTTGCTGATCATTTTCATCGGCATTTTCACTCATCTCAATGGTTTGATTAAGTTCCTTCAATAGAGACAACAGTTTACTATGAATTTGACAACAACGAGCCTCCCAATCGTAGCACTTTAATTGTAATTCTTGTTGTTTCTTTTCCAAAACGTGTCTTATATCATTAAGAGCAATTATCTCTTTATTAAGACATTTATTCTGTAATTGGTAAGCGTTAACCGAATCCTTTAGACTTTCCAATTCATCTTGATCCACTTTACGAATATTGTTCCATTCGTTGTGAGCGAATTCATCTTTTTGTTTCTTCTCAAGATCGTAAATCTTATTCGTCAACGACATGACAGTTTGATCTTTCACATGGATTAACTCTTTCATTAGATTTAATTCCTCCTTGGTATTTTCCTTTTCTTTCGTTAATCGTTGAGATTCTTGAGTTAATTTTTCAATATTATTCTCACTTTGCCGTAATCGAGACTCATTAAGGGTTAACTCTTTCTCCCTTTGGGATAACGTGTGTATCATTTGCTCTGGAATTGTGTGACTTTTGCAAATCTCGACAAGTGATTCTTTCTCTCTAACAGCGGCTTCCAATTGTAATTGTAATACTTTGATTACTTCACGACTAGCTTCAAGTTCATTTTCAACGGCATTCAAATCATCATGAAGGTTAACAATGTTACTTTCATATTCACTACATTGATTACATCCATTGGTTGATGATGATGATTTATTTGACTCTTTTCGTCCGCTAACCAGGTAACTACTTCTTGACCTGATACGACCAAAAACTGATAATCGATTGGAGGGTTTACTTTCCGTTGTTGGTTCTAGGTCACTTTTAGATGGTATTGGTGAACATTCTCGACCAACAAATACATTTGTATCATAAAAAACTGAACCATTTGATGGATCTAAGCGGGATGATGAGGTGTTATTGTTGGTATTTTCTTTGGTAACAAGTTGATTTGTTCGGGAAGATTTTGAGTTTAAATCATCATCCATGATGTATTTTTTTCTCAATGTTTGTAGAGTATCAAACCAGTGTAAGGCAACTGATCTATCATTTGTTTCCAATAGAAGAGGTTTATCATTCGATATTTTTATAATGAAACTAGAGTCTTTGAACTGTGGGTGTAGTGAGAATGTTGCTTTTCTTATGTCAACTGAATCCAAAGGTGTTGGTTCCTCTGGATCACGATAATAGATCAATTTTCCACTTTGATCATCAAAGGTAAACCATCGTCGTTTATAACTACGAATACCACCCTTGATACCAAGCTTATTAAAGTAACCAGATAATGTTGTTGTCCCACAAGAAGTTGATGTAACCGAATTAGAGGAAAAAGATCTTGGCCTTAAGCAAATTGTTGGTGTTGTTGTTGTTGTTGATAATGTTTCATCAGATGATGAGATAATTATTGTTGGGGATGACTCTGATGGTTGATTCTCAGATTTATCAGTAATTTGGTCATCGTTTAACATTTCATCAGATCCATTACATGTATAACCATTGGTCAGTGGCTCTGTGTCTCCATCAGATTGGTCAAAGCTTATTAAATCCATCGACATCTAAATTGTATTAAAACAGAGAGAGAGACAAAAAAATCAAGGTGGGTGTTAAATACAACTATATGAAATCAATGTGATTCGGTGATCAGAAAACACTGAGAAAAAACTAATTGATTGATTGTCTAGAGAGAGGGGAAAGAGGTGTAACTATTATGATCGAATGGTAATCCTTTTAGTTGACAGTTGGAATACTAATCAAGTTAATGAGAGTATCGAATATCATTTCAATTGAAAGGTATAAACACGTATACAGATTGGAAAAGAAAAGATTAATTAGTGAGAGAGAGAAAAGTTGTAAGAATGGAAACAATTGATGAATAAAAAGATGATGATGAATAATGTTTACGTTGAAGATAAGGATGGGTTTAGCTAAGATAAATGGATATTTACAATTAGTGATCAATTTGATAAGGTAGAAATGATGATAATGATGGTTGAGAGATTGGAAAACACTGAATATATTGAACATCACATGGAACTCATTTGATGGAAGATAAAGAAACAACAGATCTACAACTAGAATGTTGTTCAACAGAGACAGAAATATTAACTGGGACAATTTAAACCAAATTAGGAGAAAATGTAATTAATCAACTGATTGATTGTTAAACTATAGATTTGTGTGGTTTACCTTTCATGTATAAATCTAATTGGAAGGTGGTTTATTCCTATTCAGATAAAAATAGAAACGTATAGATATTCAAATAGGATTAGTCATTTGTTACAGTTAATCAATGTTATTAATATTGAACCACACAAAATGATAACAATCAAGGTTGATTTGATTAGTGGAAAGTAATTATAATTAAATATAAGAGAGAGAGAGAGAAGGGAAAAAAAGTAAAACAAGAGAAAAGAGCAAAATTTAAAATGTCAACACAATTGGAATGACAGAGAGAAAAAATGAAAACAGTAAATTGTGTTAACATTGAAATGATTGGAAAAAGTTAACAATTAATACGAACCTTGTGAGAATATCATGTTTTATGAATTAATTGATTACCGGTTAATTACATTTAGTGACAATTATGAGGCGAATAAAATTGAGAGAAAAATTATAAACAAAAACAAAAGAAAAAGAGTTGAAGCAAAGATGAGAGAGAAAAAGAGTCATAATAGAAATCGAATAGAAGATCACCACGAGATGGAGCCACTGGCGAGTTCGAAAATTTTCGATTAACAATTAAACGAACGATCTTTTAACGAATTTAATTAAATGATCTGAGAACTAAAATTTTCTTGTTTATGATCGATAATATTGAAAAATGTTCGAACACAATGTAATCGATTCTCGAACTGATTGAACTCGAAGCAAGTGGATGGACATTCGATGAAAATCAAATCGCTCGAATCACTATCGAAATAATCAAAGAGAGAAAATTAAATTAAATCTAATTGTGACTTTCGATTTAATCGTTACATCAACAATCAATTGAATTATGACAAGAACAGAAATCAACTTATTGTTAACTTCAATTCCTTAATATTTTCACCATTTTATCAATTAGATAATAATTTAAATTTAATTAGTTCACTTAATTGTATTGGTTAATTATAACCAGAGAGTTGACAAAAAAACTAATAGACGAAAACTTAATTCACTTAATTGGTTGTCTAATAACTTAATTGCTACAAGATGCAAACAATTAAATAATTACTTGAGGTTGGATTACAATCAGAAATCAATTTTGATTGTAACAAAAACAAATTACAGGAAATAATTTGGGAAACAATTGATTATTACTAATAAATAATGAAAAATTTATTGATACCAAAAATAAATTACAACAATCTTATTAAATCACAATCACCAATTGAGTAAATTGATCAATAATTTAATGATCAAAGAAACTAAAAAGCTTCCTAAAAAAAGCGAAACAACAACAATTTAGGAATCAAATTAAATTCACTAAACTTTGATTGTAATTTAAATGACAATCATTAAGGTATTACAATCAACCCCCTTAACTATTACTATTAACGTAATCAAATTGTCAATATAACAATAATAATAACAATGAAACCAACCGGTAGTCTATTAGTGTATTTATTAATTGTCTGGAATCATCAATTTCTAAATGACAAAATTAAAGAATCAAATTAAAAGTAAATCAGTGAGATCACAGAAAAGTTTGCAAATGATTAACACGGACCATTAATTAGAAATTTAATTTATATCAAAATGATTAAGATTTTTGTTATTATTATGTATAAAAGTATCAAAAGTTGATCATAAACCGATCAGTTTGATTAAAATCTGTCAACAATCAACAACTCAATCAATCAAGTTATCATCGTAATTGTGACAAAAACAATCAACAAAATTTACTAAAAATTTGGATAAACATAATTGGTGAAAATGTTTATTTCTAGTGTTCTAATAGCGGTCATTTTATCATCGAGTGTCTCAGGTCAACCTGCGATTGTACCTCGAAGTCAAACTTATCAAGGACGTGATACCGACGGAACTTATTCCTTTGGTTATACTGTTCACGAACCAAGTGGTTCAACTAAATTCCGACAAGAATCTGGGGACGGAGCGGGTAATCGACAAGGTTCATATGGCCTGGAGGAGAAGGACAGTCAACGGATTGTATTTAATTACGCAACTAAACCTAAATCAAGTACACAGTTTATTAGTCATCCTGTTCCATTAACTACTCAGCAACATGATCATCAAGGTCCACCTTTATCTCCCCCACCACCACCACCGCCTCATCATCATCAGCCAACACCATTGATAACACCATCACAATCAACCGTTTCTGCTTCACCTTCAGGACCACGAGGTGGTCATGGTGGTGGACCAATTGATGGATCCTCGGTAGATGTTGGTTTTTCACCTTCGTTTGAACCTCGAGGCCATGAAATGGACGATGATACAAGGTTCAATAATCCCGCTTTCGATGATGATTTTGACTTTGACGGACGAGGTAAAAGTTACGCTGGTGGGGAACCCAAAATGAGACAAAATTCAAACACTCATTGGGATGGCGGGGAATCCATGGGAATGGGTGTTGGAGCAGCAACTGGTCCAGGGAACGGCGCTGGTGGGGCCAATGGCGGGGCAGCGAGTGATCCTGGCCCTTGGAATAAGCAAATGCATGCAAGTGAACACAATGGTCATCATCATCCTCATCATCCTCATCCTCATCAACCTAACGGTGAAACAGATCATCATCATCATAATCATAACAATCACAATAATCATCGTAATCATAATCAACATCATCATTCACCTTCTCATCATCAGGGTGGTGAAGATACTTTTGGAATCAATGAATCTTCAGAAATGAACAATGAACCTGCGAGTTATGATCAATTAGTTGCTTATCTTGCTGCTAATCAACAACGATCAGCTGGTCCACCACACTCAAGATCACCGATGAGACCTGAAGATTTTGCATATAAATCAAGGTGAATTAACTGAATCGAGATCAATTGATGACAATCAAATTAAAAGAAAAAGCCAATCGATTTTCATTAACGTGTCAACAATTAAAACTAAAAACTTCTGATAATTACTGTAATCTATTCATTTTGATTGGTAATCAATCGTTAGAAAAAAAAACATTAATAATCACTTTTTTCACTTAATTAATTGTTTCCATTTCTCAACAGTAACAATTTAAATTGAAAGAAAACTTTTTACATTTCGATTAGAAAGTAAATGATTTTGAGAATTAAAATTATTTAATCTCTCATCATAATGATTAATGAATTCAGACTTTCACGATTAACATTAATACTGTAGCTCCAATTTCAATCGAATTAGTTAATTAATCCAAAGTAATATCAACCAAATTAATGAGAATCAAATTTAGCTTTCAAACTTACATGACTTGTGAGTCGGACTCACAATCACATGTTCATGTTTGTTGATATTTCATCAACTAAAAAGAAACAATTTTCCAAATTCTGGTTAATTGTATTGTACATTAATTGTGTAAATATAAACATCTCACCTCCTGTCTCATGAAACATTGAGTTGATTGGAACGTTTCAACAAATTGTTCCGATTAATATGATTTTCCAAAATCAATTGAAACGTTTCATTAGCTTGGCTTTTTCATCTCGTTATTTGTTGGTAACAAATACAACAATTGGTGTTGGTGCTTTGGTTGGAGCTGATTTGGTTCAACAACTTTCAGCCCATTATATTTATCCATCTAAACCAACTGATCAGCAATTAGGAGCCAAACAATCTGCTGATTTACCTTATATCCATGATAATAACAGATCAATTGGAATGGCAGCCGGTGGATTATATTTCGGTCTCGGTGGTCACTATTGGTATGGATTTTTGGATAAACGATTCCCAGGTAAATCGATGACCAGTGTTACTAGAAAATTACTTTGTGAGGCGATAATTGGTCCACCATTTGTTTCCCTTTGTTATTTCATCGTCGCCAGAGTAGAAGGTAAATCAACAATCGATTGGTACAAATCAGCAAAGGAAACAATTATTTATATCATTTTCACCGAGTGGTGTTGCTTTTTACCTCTTCAGGCCTTCAACTTTTACCTTTTACCACCAAAGTATCGTTACCTTTGCGTCGCTATACTGACCTTTTTCTATGACAATTTTCTGTCCTACATTTTCCATAAATAAAAGTGACAATCAAAAAATGATAAACACCAAATAGAATAGAAAACAAATTGATTAAAAGCAAATTCTAATTCTAATTCTATTTTCACTGATATTTAGTGAGAATAGACAAAGATCTTTGTATTCGATATTTTTCTAGTCGATATTTGGATTCGATTCTTTTCTCGATCATTTTCATTTTCGACTTTCTCGATTTCTAGTCAATTGTTTGGGCCAAAATTCGGGTAAAGACCTATAATTTTACATTGTTTGATCTTCTGTTTTTGAAGGAACCAAAATCATCAATTGATCATCATCATCACCACACCATCAGCATGTCTTTCATTTGAGATAAAAATCTTTTTCTATCAATAATCTTTCATTTTGGTTTTGTGTGTTGAAATTGTCAATGGTTTTCAATAGACACAAATGGGTAACATAAATACTGTTGGTCCAAATGAGGCTCTTATTATCTCAGGTAAATTCATTTTTTTTCTGTGTGACATTTGCATCAATTTGTTTCCCTCCCATTTACTCTGTGCTCACCTTAATTCTAAGTCTTGTTACTCAATTTCTTCTCTTTTTTTGTTCTTTTCTCTTTTTCGGTACAAAGGGGGTTGTTGTAGTTCCGCAAGGAAAATTATGGTGGTCGGTGGTTGGGCCTGGTCTTGGTGTTTGTTAACTGATGTTCAAAGGTTCGATTTGTTGTTCAATGTTCTCTCTCTCTCCCTCTCTCAGTGATTGTTATTCTATATTAACCTTTTGTTTCGATCTCTCTCTCTCTCTCTCTCTTGACAATTGATTCTTACTTAGATTATCACTTGAGGTGATGACCTTAACACCTAAATGTGAAAATGTTGAGACCCTTCAAGGAGTTCCGTTAACTGTTACCGGTGTTGCTCAGTGTAAGGTAATGAAAGAGAAAGAATTTCTTACCATAGCAGCCGAACAATTTCTTGGAAAAGATGTCAATCATATCAAATCAGTTATACTTCAAACATTGGAGGGTCACTTGAGAGCTATATTAGGTAATTATTCATTGATTATTCTTTAATCATAGTAAAAAAAAATGGTTACCAGGATAAAATTTTCTATTCTCATTAATTGGATTTCCTTTTTTTTTCTCCCTCATCTTTTAGGTACTTTAAATGTAGAAGATATTTATAGAGATCGTGACACATTCGCTGGTCTGGTGAGAGAAGTTGCATCTCCTGATGTGGGTCGAATGGGAATTGAGATTCTTAGTTTTACAATCAAAGATGTTTGCGATCATGTTGAATATCTCGCTTCTTTGGGTCGAGCGCGTATTGCTGCTGTTAAAAGAGATGCCAGTGTTGGTGTAGCTCAAGCTGAAAGAGATGCGGGAATAAGGGAAGCTGAATGTAAAAAAGCAGCTTTAGATGTTAAATATTCAGCTGATACCAAGATCGAAGATTCTAATAGACAATTTCAATTGCAAAAAGCTCAATTTGATCAAGAGGTGAACACCAAAAAGGCCGAAGCGCAACTTGCCTATGAACTCCAAGCAGCCAAAATGCAACAACAGATCAGAAAGGAAGAGATGGAAATCGTTTTAACCGAAAAAAAGAAATTAATTGCCATTGGAGAGAAAGAAGTTCTTCGAAAAGACAAAGAACTTCAATCAACAGTTAAATTACCAGCAGATTTTGAAGCAATCAAATTAGACTTACTTGCCAATGGTAAGTTAACTATTTCCATTTAAAAACATCAAGTCTTATTAATCAACAATCGAAGTAGTTTTTTTCCCCATTGCAATTTTGATTTAACTTGACAATTTAACTTTAAACTTTTACTCTCATTTGCTTTTCTACATAACAATCAAAAGTTAATCGTTTAAATCTTAACTTCCTTTATCTATTAAATTGTTAATATCAGATTGTCACGATCATTTAAATAACATAGGCACACATCAGAATTGTATTCATCCTAATTGAATATAATGTTACTCTGTGATTACCCTTGTCAAGGTTACTCACGATTCTTTCCTGATGATTAATTTTTTGATTTCCTTCAGAAAAAAAAATCAATCGGTCTGTTTTTTATCCAGTTAATTTAATCATGATCATAACTTGACTGATTTACTTTTCAATTCACTCCAATGTTGTTATTTAAATCATTTAATTTTATTCTTATTTATTAGGCTTCTTTCAGTATTTTTATTAGCACAATTGGAATATTGATTATTTATAATTATGGTTAAGGTAAATGATTAATAGATAACTAATTTATGTAAAGGGTATAGCAATTTATGTTAAGCAAGTTAATTGGGTCTAATGATACACAATCTCAAATTCATTAATAACCATCATTAAGCTTTTTGATAATCTTTTAGTACCATCAAGAGTATGATAATGATGATTACAGTTTTGATTGGAATTTAATTCAATTATTTTCTCTTTTTTTCTAAATAGCATTTAAAACTGAAACATTGGAAGCGGCTCGTGGAGATGCTGAGAAAATTAAGCTGATAGGTGAAGCTGAGGCTTCCGCTATCGAAGCGATCGGTAAAGCTGAGGCCGAAAGGATGAGGATGAAAGCGGCAGCCTACAAACAATATAGTGAAGCTGCGATACTTTCACTTACTCTTGAAGCTCTTCCCAAGGTAATCCTCTTGACCATAACATCTACTGGTCATTTCATTGGATTTATTAATTTATTTGTTTGTATTGGTTTATTTCTGGTTAGGTTGCTGCCGAAGTCGCTGCTCCTTTGGCTAAAACCGATGAGATCGTCTTACTGGGTGGGAATAATGCAATAACTGGATCGGTTTCTCAACTCGTCAGTGAAATACCATCGACAGTTCAAGCACTCACCGGACTAGATGTGAAAAAAGTGAGTTAATTTGGTTAATTTTCGAGAGAAGAAAAAAAAAATCTACTAATCAATGATTAACAAAATTAACTCTTTTTTATTTAATCCTCTATTTAATTCCAGTCCTATTCTTTATTTCAGAAATTTTTTAGTTCATAACCAATCAACTGAAGCCAAATATCGCCGATGCAAACCAAATTAAGCCATAATTTTTATTTAATTACTGAGAAATTTTATAAATCAATTTATTACTTGCATAAATTTAAATGGATTGCATAATAATAATAGACGAAGACGCTTTTGGATATTAATCGTGATTAACGGGAAATAATTCACAAGCCGAATATTGATCATCAATGATTCCAACCATTTTTGTAGTGACCAATTTTCCAATTTTTTTCTACACCAAAGATCAACAATCTAATCTTGTAAAACTGATTTTAAATGATTAACTATTCCATCTTACTGACTTAACAATCACATTTTTCAATCAGATTGTATTTTAATCTTAATTTCAAAAACAAACTGATCAAAAAACCCCTAATTAATTTACAATCAAAGTATTTAAATATAAAGAAACAAAAACAATTACTATAACAATTTATCAACTTTCTGGAATCAGTATTGTAAATATGTCGATCATAATGATGACAATCAAATTAACCAGTATTTTATTGTTTCAGTGATCAACTCAACAGAAAGATGGACAAAAAACTGTTCGAACTTTAATTTTCTTTTTTTCGTTGGACATTCGTTGCCAATGGAAACCAACTCGAGCATTTCAAATTCTCAGACTTTTTTGTCTCTTTTTCTGTTTTCAATTGGTCATCGCGATCATCCTCATCTTCTGTTCGAAATGAATTAATGGAGAAAAAGATGAACGAATTATACCAATTTATCATGAAGATAATAACGATGTGGCCAATGCTCAAGCGAATTCAGGTCACTTTCGTGTTCGTTGGTTCCTTTGTCGCCTTTGTGTGAATTAATTAAAGGTGAAGATGTTGACTTTTCTCCAGTAAAGGAAATAACATAATCTCCATCCTCATCTTTTTCTTTATCCTTCTTAAGCTCTGTTACCGTTATTCTTTCAATTTCGAACTTGTCATCGCGATTTCCGCGTTCTCTTATAACTTAGCATCGATTCGTCATTCATATTCTTCTATCCCTGATCATCTTCTGAGTTTTCTAGATCATGGTAATAGTTTTATGTTATTGATATTGTTGTTTATTGAAAGGTCAGTCAATTGTTCCTTCCGTAGTTTTGTTTGATTGTAACTTTTAACCAATTTAATGTTTTCCGTTATAATGTCGTCACTTGATTCTCATCTGAAGCTCAGCATATGGAATCAACGACGCTGATTGGATTCACATCAGAATCGCAATTATCTTAATCAACGAATTACCTTTCCATAAAAACATCCAGTTTAATCACAGGTGATACACTGATTAAGTTTCCATCAGGTAAATATTACCGTAATTCAAACCACACAATCAGCCAATAGTTAAATTTACAATTGGTTAAGCTTGCAAAGTACAACTTATTCATCCAAATTGATTCAAGTTAATCATTAAGATAATCAATTATAAGCCTGAATTATGAAACCTAACAATAGCTCAACGATAAAAGATTGACTTTATTAATTACTTTGATCAGTAATTGATAGAATAAATTATAAATTGTTGTCATTGCAACAATTAGTTAATAACAAAAAGAGGTTAAAAGTGATAACAATAATTTGCATTTCTTGTCATGAAATTGAAAATTTTATCCAAGAGCACCGGCCAAAAGTGGGCCAGCAACGGCTCCACCGATTGGTGCTAATTGAACAGCGATTCCAACAACTTGATTAATTAACGATAAAATACCAGCAATTGTCGCAGGACTGATTGTGATTCCTTGAGGTCCAACCGATGAACCAATGATTCCCATCATGGTGGAAAATGGATTTGGTGGAACGGCTGAAATTGATCCCGCCGCTTGAACGGGAACCATCATCATCGGTGTACCCGAACCTAAGCCATTGGACATCATACCCGATCCTTGACCATAACCATTGCCCATTTGCATTGAACCTAATCCACCATTGGTACCAAGAGAACCACTAACACCAAGTGACCCCACCGGTGCCGCTGAGCCACTTGAACTTAATGAAGCTTGAAATTGTCTAACTCCTGGATTAAGATTGTTAATTGTTTCCGGATAACCAGCCCATGAACCCGGTATGTTACACTGTTGAATTAACTGGGTTACCCAGAGCATCATTGAAAACATATCCCTAAGACCAGGGGGAAATGATTTACAGGTAGATTCAGATGATTTCAAATAAAAACAATCAACAGGCAAAAGGTTCAAATCAAAAGGTGAGCCGGTTGTTGATGATTGAAGTTCAAAGGTTGAATTTAATGTTTGAAGAGCTGAATTAACAATTGAAAGACAAACACTGTAACCATTAAAAGATGCCGATCCTAAGGTGGGCATTGGAATGGGTGTTGAGGCGATCACAGGTTGATTTGATTGTGAACAAACTGAATACCAGAAAACCAGGAAACCAGAAAACGAAAACAAAAACAAAAGAAAATAAGTAAACAAAGTGAATAGAAAACAAGAAAAAAAGAAAATTTTTCCAATTAAAAAAGAGAATCAATTAACTCACCAAGTCCAATAAGAGTCGAAACAATTAAACTGTAAGTAGAAAACATTGTCAACAACCAGTGATTAAGTAGAAATTAACTAATTGTCTCCTGGATAATTAAACTTCAACTGATGATCAATTTTGATTTTTCCTCTTTTTTATATAAACATTTTCCCTCCAATTTTTTTTTCAGCCTTGAGAAAACCGTTTGGTTTGTTGATTGGAATTTGTTTTTGCTTCCAAGTAACTTGATTTACTAATTAATTAATTACTGTTTTAATTAATTAGCTAATCATCATCATCTCTAATTTTTCTTCTCTTTTACTTTGTTCTATTCTGCTAATTACAATTGCTAAATTAAGTTAAAGTGTAACTCTTTTTGTTTTCCCTTCTCATCATCATCAACAGATTTGGGTGATGTCTTCATAATTATTAACCCACAACTAATTGTAATCAAATGATTCATTTCAATTTATTGATTGTTGATTAATAATCGTGATTTGACTTGAATCGAGGATTATTAAATTGGCTCGTAGAGTTAATTTTAGTTGTCAATTGATTTAATTGGTAAGTGATTCTCTTCTCATAATTATTCATATTTACGTTTTTCTTTTTCACTCTTTTTTCTCATGTAGGTTCAATTGGAAGGAAAATTTGGAATCACAATTAACACAATCATTTGGTGTTAATTATGGTCCTTGAGATTTAATTGTATTTCGCATAAGAACAGGCTGATTGTCTTTCGGTGGTTAATCATCTAACCAAAGGTAAGTAAACATATTAGTCAATTTACTAATTTTTTCCTATGTAACTTATTCCTATCTTCATATAGACAACACCCAAAGAAAGAAGGGAAAATCAACCGGTAATTGTGATGATTAAGATTCCAGTGAAATTCAGTAAATTGTTGATCATGTTGTGGACAAAATTAACTTGATTACTGTTAATTATTCTCTTAGGATGTCAATCTTGAGAGCTTATCAAAAGAGTCACATTCTAATGAAAAATCTTAGGCCTAAGATTGACCCCAAGTCTATAATTAACCAGAATTACTGTGAATGCTCATCACTTTGATTCCTTTATCATGAAATCAATTTAATCATCATCATCATCATCACATGTTTACACTATCATCATCCTCTAATTACCTTTGGTTTAGACGAAAATAATTTTTATTGTTTCCTGAGTTACAAGAACCATGAAGCTCATGAAGAAACAGTGACAGACAGAAAACTGATTAACCATAGTGAACATTAGTAATTGATTGTTTCTAATCAATTTAGTGAACAATCAAATTACTAAATTTTCTTCCACACAAGAAGTAAATTACCTTTTCTTTTTTGTTTCAATTTCTTAATTTGGATTAGCAATGTTTTCCTTTTTGGATGAACAACATGATCTTCACATTGAGGCGAATTTGCGAAAAAGTTTCTCTCTTGATTTGGAATCAATCCAATTGCAAAGATGAGAGAGAAGATGAAAATGTGATGATGATGCCGAGAAAGAAAAGAAAGAATATTTTTCTCAAATATCTAAAATGTTCACCTTTCTTTCGGGATAAATGAACATTATCTTCTCTTTTTCTCTTTCAGGATAATAAACCAGCGAATTTGATTGCTATCGTTTTCCATCAAAACAATCAAATACTATTGATTCTATTGATTAAATCTCTCTCTCCCTCTCTCTCTGTTTACTTTAATTATTATTAATTCTTTTGCTTGTTTCTCCTTCTCTTAGGTAACAGATGAGCCAAACTCACTCTTACACCGCCCTCACAACGTTTCATTTACCAGGATCATCCTCATCTTCATCTTCATCTTTCATCATCACCAGAATCCTCATCCACAATAATCTTGCTATTTTCCTTAATCACTTAACTATTTTTTTCTACATTTTCTGTAATCAGTGAACTTTTATCTACGATTTTGTAGACTCCAAATCTTAATCTCTTAATCTTAAATCCTAAACCACAAATATCTCAGAAAATTGTAACAATTTTATTTCTAATCTTCAAATCATATGTGTAAAATCAACTTGAACTTTTCACATTCTCAGGCTGATCAAATTGTGATTCAAACATTGGATGATAATCAACTAATTGGAATCCATTTAATCCTCGACAACAACAACAGCAACAACAACAACAACAACAACAACGACAATTATCTGACCCTTTACACCTTAAAGATTATTCAAAATCTTATCAGCTGATTTTTCATTCAATGAATGGATTGTGATCCAATCTGGTTAGTATATAAAAATTGACAATTGTAAAAATGACTTGATCATCATTGAGATAATCCAACTGACCCCATGGTGATTTACTGGGATAACCCTTTTGGTTATCTCTCTCTCATCTCATGTTGTATTATCATCACATAACCTTGACAATGTCGACATGAAACAAGCAGAATCAAAATTTTACTTCATCATCAAGGGTTCGCAGGTCATCAATCTGTTGTTTACCTTTTTTTCATCTCTTTCTTTACAATCATAGCGAAAGATATAAATATCATTTTCTATGTTAATCTAATTCGATATCATCCTAATCAAATTATTCTTGTGATTCTAAATTGTTCCCATTGAGTGTTTAGGTCAATTGGTTATCAGTGATTCTAATTTCTTATTTTTCTCTCTGACTTTCTACATTTCGATTTGTCTCTTTCTCATTTTCTCCATCAACAAAATCATCCAATCTAATTGTTCACTTTAATCAACCCAATTCTCCCAGTTAATTGTGTCTCGTATCTCAAAGTCTCCATCAACATGATCAATTGATTGAATTCGAGGTAACCTCTTTTCGCCTTCATTTGTTATCATTCATTTTCTGTAGATTCGATAATATTTCATTCACTTTGATAGAAAAATTTTCTAATCAGTTAATCATCACCATTGTTTCACTTGATTGTCGTTCACCTTGTCGACTCTTATTCATGTCCATTTGTTTATCTCAGTGTTTATATCCATGGAAATGAATTGTATCACCAAGAGAATGATTGAAATAACCAAAGACATGGAAACATAACTGTCATTCTCTCTCTCTCTCTCTCTCTCTCTCTCTCTCACTTTCTTTCTATTCTAAAGAGAACTTACATATTCTATTCTACTTTCACTTTTCTCTTTCTCCTTTTTTATTCTATTCTATTCTATTTGGATCTATCATCTTCTTTTTCTTCATCTACTGTTCTATGTTATTGTTTTTCTTTTGTTCTTTTCTTTTTTTTTAGGTTTTCTCTTTTTTCGCAATTTTCCATCTCTTTATTGTTATTAGAAAATCTTGTTAGATATTTTCGTTAATTATTCTTCTAATCTAATTCCAAACATGATTATCACAGTTGAATAATCATCATTTCCATCATCATATCTGCGAATCTTTATTTTCCTTTTATTCTGTTTCTTGTCTTATTATTGTTATTGTTTTCTCCCTGTTGATTTGATTATCATTTGTTTTTTTTTCTTCATCATCATCATATTTGTCTTTCATCAACTAATTGTGCTCTTATTTATATTTTTATCCGCATCTTTTTCACCGAATTAACTAAATAATGTCCACCCATGGAATCCAAACAGATATAAAGGATTCCCGTTCATCGCCAGTTGAAAACAATTCAGATTCAAGACCCAAATTTTACATAGGAGATGATATGTATAGACAACAGCGATTATCATCCAAGGTAATTAGTGATTAAATTGTTGACAATTTAACTGAAATATATTCAAGATGAAACTGTTAACCTTTCCAATCGGTTGGTTAACTCAAGCGCTCAACAACAAATCATCATCACTAACCAGCAATTAACCAATTGCACCCATTTAATCATTTGGCTTTTTTGTCTTCCTCTAATCTCACAATTGATATTGATATGATTACTCATCTTATCATAATCAAATCAAATTAACAACAATTAACACGAAAGGCTATCACAATATTCATAACGATTTACCGGCATTTCAACCTGATTCTTGAGACACCAGAATTTATATCAATTCATCTTGTTATTAAGTGTTGATTGGACTGAGAATATGATAATATGAAAGCAAAAGATTCACCATGATTAACCTAATTATCTTAGATTGATCATCTTTCAAGGTCTTAAAGCATAAAATTATTATTATAATTAACTCTTACCCTTGAACCAATTTAATTACCATGAAAAGCGACACATTCACCATGCAGAATAATAATTATTACAAGTTGTTATCCAACTAATTGTTCAATCAAAATATTGTTAATTTTACACTTTAAATTACGTTCAACCTTTACTTTATTGGCTTATGTAATCTCGTTACCATTTCATTAGCAACCAATCAACTCAAATCAACACAATTTAAACAACCAAACTGATTAACCTTTTTGGTTGTTTAAATCTCAAATGTTAATCCATTTCATTTCATTTAAAGTCCTTTTCATGTTTACTTTTTTTTAATTCATTTCTTAAACTCATTGACAATTATTATTAATTCAGTTTCACCATTGAATTTCATCTCTAATTACTTTAATTACTCTTATATCTTGTGTTTAGTTGATTAAGTTTTCTCAAATACATAGAAACAATTGAATTGATCTAAATTGAAGTTGATCTGTTAATCCATTTCTGATCTTTTCCTTTTGTTTTTATATCATCATCTTGGTGTTTCCATTGAGCTTGTAGTTCACCTTTACTGTCAATCGTTTCTCTCTCAACGTGTATGTAATTGAAGAAGAAAAAAAAATAACATGGAAGAAAAAGAAAGAAAGAAAAGAAAGAGAAAGGTGAAGATAACGTGTTGCATCACGAACAGAATCAAAAGTGAACCAGAGTATTGATGGTTTAATAATTTTAATTGCAGACAATTTAGTCTCATCATCAGATTAGAGTTACGATAGTAAAAACTACTCGCTGGTGTCACGAGGTGTTTTAGTTATAACAATTAACCGTGAAAATGATTCAGAATGATCAATAATGAGAGAACCTCAATTCAATTGTGATATTGATTGGAAACATTGATATTCATTTACAATAATTTTCTTGAATTTGTTTTCTGTTTTTCTGTTTTTCTAATTTCTATTTGTTTTCTATTCTCTCTTTTTGTCTTTTTTTATTCTATTATTGACCTTGTCTTGTCTTTTCGATCTCCAATGAACGTGAACACTTCCGGTATCTTCATGATGGATCCACAGGAACCCGAAGAGGAGGACGACTGTTGTTACGATACCCGAAGTTGCTGTTCCTCAATTGAAATGGATAATACAAGTATCGAAAAGGATGACCCACCAATCACGGCCAATAAGGTCAAAGTCGGTGTTTGTGCCATGTCCAAGAAATCTGGTTGTAAACCAATGAGAGAGATATTAAGTCGCCTCGAGGAATTTGAATATATTCAAACAATCATCTTCCCCGAAGAGACAATCCTAAAAGAGCCCGTCGAAAAGTGGCCTGAATGTGATTGTTTAATTTCATTTTTCTCTAAAGATTTTCCACTTGCCAAAGCCACCGAATATGCCAAACTACGTAAACCGTTTTTAATTAACGAGCTTCACATGCAATACGATATGCAAGATCGTCGTAAGGTTTATCGTAGACTCGAAGAAGCTGGAATAGCCTTACCAAGATACGCGGTCTTGGATCGAGATTCACTTAATCCCGATGAAAGAGAAATCATTGAACAAGAAGATCACATTGAGATAAAAGGAGAAGTATTTAATAAGCCATTCGTGGAGAAGCCGATATCCGCTGAAGATCACAATATCTACATTTATTATCCAACCTCAGCCGGCGGAGGATCTCAAAGGTTATTCCGTAAAATTGGTAATCGAAGTTCAGTTTATTCACCGGAAACATCAATTCGAAAAACTGGTTCTTACATTTACGAGGAATTCATGCCGACCGATGGTACCGATATTAAGGTTTACACCGTTGGTCCCGATTACGCTCACGCTGAGGCTCGTAAATCGCCTGCTTTAGACGGTAAAGTCGAAAGGGACAAAGATGGTAAAGAAATTCGCTACCCGATAATCTTAAGTAACGCCGAAAAACTGATCGCTCGTAAAGTTTGTCTTGCCTTCGAGCAAACAGTTTGTGGCTTTGATCTACTTCGAGCAAACGGAAAATCTTATGTTTGTGATGTAAACGGTTTCAATTTCGTTAAAAGTTCAATCAAATACTACGACGATTGTGCCAAAATACTGGGTAACATGATACTTCGCAATTTAGCTCCACAATTACATATTCCCTGGTCAATTCCGTTCCAATTGGATGATCCACCAATAGTACCAACAACCTTCGGCAAAATGATGGAACTTCGATGTGTCATAGCCGTGATTCGGCACGGAGATCGAACACCCAAACAGAAGATGAAAATGGAGGTTAAAAATCGAAAGTTTTTCGAAATATTTGAAAAGTATGATGGCTACAAATTGGGTCACATTAAGCTGAAAAAACCTAATCAGTTACAGGAGATTTTGGACATTTCAAGATACCTGTTGAGTGAACTCGAAAAGAATCCCGATTTTGACATAGAAGAAGATAAATCGAAAATCGAACAATTAAAACAAGTCCTCGAAATGTATGGTCACTTCTCTGGTATCAATCGTAAGGTCGAACTCAAATATCAACCCAAAGGAAGACCCCGAAGATCATCAAGTGAAGAAGGTATTTTATCACAATTAAATTGATTGTAATTCCATCGCCATAATCATCATCATTCATCACCCGATCATAAACAATCAGTTGATCGTTTTTTACTATCTATTTTTATCACTTCTTGTTGAATTACCTTTTCGATTGCTCCCTCGATAATTAGTCGTTTTCCCTTGTGTTAATTCCCATGGTTAATTATTACATATATTTATAGACTAATTTGTTGATTGTTTTACTTTTCACTCGGAAATAGTTTCAAGTTAAATATCAACATGATCAAAATTTTCAATCTATTTTTAGGAAACTGAAGTTATCGTTGAATCCATTGAGTTATGAAAATAAAACCATCCAAACAAAATTGTGCTTTTTACTTTGATTGACAATTTGATTTAAATTGTTCAACAATAACAATCAAAAGTCACAAATTGTCTTGAAAATTTACTAAATTTATCTCTTATCGTTGATGGAAAATTATACCTTATTAGTTAATTGTGATCAGACTGTCACTTAATTGTTGTTCTTCATTCAAACTTTTGTCGTTTGCCAAAAATTTTGATCGTGACGATGTAATTGTTTAATGTTATGAGTTCATTCATAAAATATCAAAAGTTTATTTCGTAGTAAATATAATTTAAGGTTTCTCATTATCCAAGGTCATTCATATTAATTGTAATCATTTTCATCATGTAACCTTGATATGATTATTCAGCACCAATCATCACAATTAGAATGAATTATTTTCGCAAAAACTAATCATTTGTTTTCCTTTCTTTTTTCAAGATTTACCTCGAGATCCATCATTGGTACTGATACTCAAATGGGGCGGCGAACTGACCCCAGCCGGAAGAGTCCAAGCTGAAGAGCTCGGACGTGTTTTTAGGTGTATGTACCCCGGGGGCCAAGGTGTGCTTGAAAGATATTAACTAAGTTAATCCCTGATCCCTAATCCCGATTAACCTTTGTCTTTCTGTCTTGTCTTTCTAACTGTCTTTTAATTAGTGACCAATGCCAACTGACCAATTGTGTTCTGAATATGTTACTGTCCTTATTTCATTATTAATACAAAACCAATCATTAATGTTAATCATTTTCTATCATGAAATTGAGGTTTTTATTTTAATTAGCATGTTACTGTTAATTGTTACGTTTGATTAATTTACTTGTTTTTTCATGTTCATTGTGATTTATGTTTAATTTTGGTTTTTTGTTGTTTATATTTTGCCTTCATTATTATTTGTTTTGATAATTAATTGGACTTTTTTTAGTCTCAGTAATTAATTGTTGATATTTGTTTCCCTTATTTAGTTGATCTCTTTCAATCATCTCTTCAAGCATTTCTATTATTATTTTTATTACACTTATGATTTTATTCCGATCTTACCTTGATTTCCGTTTCCTATTCCTATTTATCATCCAATGATTAATCAGAAATTAACTTGAATTTTACGTTTTTACAGGTGAATACGCTGGAACTCAAGGTCTTGGACTGTTACGATTACATAGTACTTTTCGACATGATCTTAAAATCTATGCTTCGGACGAAGGTCGTGTTCAAATGACCGCTGCCGCATTTGCAAAGGTTAGATTGTTATAAGATTTAGATCTATGAAAGAATCTCATTAATATTAGATTTCATGTTTTCTTTTGACAGGGTTTACTTGCATTGGAAGGCGAACTTGCTCCAATCTTGGTTCAAATGGTGAAAAGTGCCAATACCAATGGTCTACTTGATAACGATTCAGATTCGAGTAAATTCAAGAATATTGTTAAACAGCGACTTCATGAGTGCCTTCAATGTGATTCCGATTTCACGGAGGAAGATTTAGCCGTTCTCAACCCAACCTGGTCCAGGTCAATTCAAAACGCTCTCAATTTCATTAAAAATCCTTTTCGAGCCTGTGAACATGTTTACGAACTGGTTCAAGAATTGAATAGTCTGATAAAACAACGACGGGAATCATTCCAATCTCAAGAGTGCAATTTATATCATGGCGAAACTTGGGATTTGATGCAAAGACGTTGGGCTAAGCTGGAGAAAGATTTTAAACTGAAAATCGGTACATTTGACATTAGCAAAGTTCCAGATATTTATGATTGTATCAAATACGATTTACAGCACAATCAGCATATTTTACAATTCTCAAATGCTGAAGAATTGTATACTTATTCAAAAGCTTTAGCTGATATTGTTATCCCTCAAGAATATGGAATAACTAAACCCGAAAAATTGACCATTGGTCTGGGTATTTGTTCACCCTTATTGAAAAAGATTCGTAGTGATCTATTGAGGGATTACTTATCAGAGGAAAGTGAAACTGTTAATCGTCTCAATCCTCATTATTCCCATGGAGTTTCCAGTCCAGGTCGACATGTACGAACTCGTCTTTACTTTACAAGTGAAAGTCATATCCATTCATTACTTTCCGTATTACATTATGGTGGCCTTATTGACGATAAAGATGAACAATGGAGACGAGCAATGGAATATGTTTCAACGGTTTCAGAACTAAATTACATGACGCAAATTGTTATCATGTTATATGAAGATCCAACGAAAGATCCCTCATCAGATGACAGATTCCATGTTGAATTACATTTCAGTCCGGGTGTCGTTTGTTGTGTCCAGAAAAACATTCCCAAAGGGCCAGGATTTCGTCCACACTCCCGTAATGCACTTTCCAAGGTAGGTGAACGTTTCCCTGCCAGTGACGATTCGGCTTTCGCTCTAAATTTTACTAATACCGACCCTGCCAACGGCGGAGAAAAACCAACCGAATATAACCCTAACCACCCTCACAACCAATCAACGTCGATTAACAAACTAATCAGATATTTTCCTTCATCACATATCCTCCTCGATACTGATTCTATTCCGATTAGTTGATGGTGTTAATTTCTCTCTTTCTCTCTCTCTCTTTGCCTGCAGAAATTTTCTGAACATAATACGCATTCCTCTAACATGCCAATTAAAGAAGAAGATTCTGACGAACTAACCGTCGATGATGATCTGGATTCTTATGAAAGTCCAATAAGTAGTACCAATGCCTGTAGTACGCCCGTGAGTTGATTCATTTGATTGTATTCACATTTCCACGAACGACTATTCATCCAACTGATTGGACGTTTCAGTCGATAAAATAATTTTTGTGTTATTTTCATTTCGATATCGTTTTTTTTTTCTCTGTTCAGGAATCACCGACAATTCTGGAAGAGGGTAAACCACATTCATTACATCACGATTTTAAATTCACTGAACTTTTAGAAGAAGATGAAAGATTGGAAAAAGAGAAGGAAAAATTATCATCTCCTCCATTATCTGTCCCGCAATCAGGTTCATCTAATGATGATTCCAATCTACTTTTACCTGAAGCAAAATTAAAGAGTGAGTCTTGTGAACAATTACCAGTTAATTGTACTAAGATTAGTCAATCAATTTCAGTCAATGATGTTAATATAACACCTAATTTACCTACAACCGATAATATCACTCCAACCACAATAACAATTACCGCTCCAATTTCAATCATCACCTCAACATCTCTCACCACCACCACAACCTCAACTTCAACCTCAACTGATATTTTATCATCTTGTTGTTCATCTTGCACTAATACCATTGATAATACTAATACTATCTCAGATGATGGAACTCAAATAGCCTCGGAAATTAAAGCCGAATCAACATCTAAAGTCTTATTACGAAGTAACTCAATGTCCGTCTCTTTTTCTTGTCCCAATCAATCAACGTCAATGCGACACAAACCGATAGATAGTCTAAGACAAGAGAGAATGAATTCTCATGCCAAAAGTTTGGACAATGTTTGCAAATTTAGTAAAACTTTAGGTAATCCTTTAATTAACCATTAACTCTTTAATTAACCCGAAGAAATTGTCAATTGTCTTGTCAAGTTTTCTCGTTTCTTTCGACTATTAATCAGTTTCTCAACTTTTCCAAACGCAGGTCGTAACAAACCTCATCGACATTCAATCCATGGACAATCAAGTTCATATCTACGTCTTTGTAGTGTCGCTGATTTACCTCATTATGGTGAGTTCATTTCGATTGTGGTTAATTGTGATTATTCATCTATGATTATTTTTCTATCAATATTCTTGCAGGTTCAACTAGTAGTCTATTGTTTAGCACTGCGGTCATCAGTGGGTCATCTAGTGCTCCAGAGTTGAAAGATGTTCTTCACCCGCCTTCAGGTAAAACATTTGCTTTGTTGTTAATTGTCTGAGTTTTGATTCGCCAATTTCACTAATTATTACGATTTTGTTTTTTCTTGATTGTTGTTGCTATATTTACAGATGGAATTCCTAATATACCATCGATTCGGCCTTTAGAGACTCTTCATAATGCTTTGTCTTTGAAACAATTAGTCGTATTTCTTGAAAGAATGACCGCTACTGGAAGTCGATCAGCCAACACTTCACCTTCGTTCTTGGCTCAAATGTCCGGAAATGGGTCGTCGTCAACATCGTTCTCAGCCAATAGCCTTCCGATTCTGTCGCCAACTAGTTCCTTTGGATTCTCCGGTCCATCGTCCATTGTTTCATCCAGTGGTCAAAGTTCACCAAATTCATGAACGATTCTTAACTAAGCTGATTTTTTATCAAAATGATATCATAGAAATGACAAGTTACTAGGATAACGATCCGAAAACATCTCAATCTTTTCTAAAAGAATCACAAAAACCGAAATGATGTCCAATTAATTGTTCTAAATCAATTAAATTTTCTTAATTACATTTGCCATTTTCCTGACACTACTCAATAATTAGTGAGAAGAGAGAGAGAGATAATATTTTGGTGTAAATTTTGCAGAAAATTCCAAGTCTTGAAAGATTTTGTTTCTGTTTGTTGACCATAAATCGCGAAGAGAAGCTTCCTTCGAAATCTAAGGAAATTAAGATGATTGCTAATTGTTCAAAAATTAATTTCGTAATTTTTAATTACGTTAATTTTTTAATTTAGTAATACTAACCAGTTACAAGAACCAAATTGAAACTATTAATATATTAATAGCCTGGAATTTAGTAATTATACTACATGTATTATCAACGATGAGAACATCTCCGTAATAGTCAAGAGGAATCAGCTGATTAAATACCACAAAATCGGTTTATCGTCAATAATTGTACAAATTGGGACTTAAATCGTGGGGACTTATGCACCATGCGTGTCAACGCTTCATGAGTACATTGAGAAAGTGTCAACCAATATCAACAAGAGACATCGTAATAAATGAATTGCAGTTGTGAATATGCTGAACATCAACGACCTCTCACCTTACCCGCCAACCGAAGCAAACTACACACACATTGATGCCTCTGGAGGAAAGCACTCGATTGACCCGACGGCAAACAGATTGAGATTACAGTAACTCTAACAATACCCCAATTCATAAAGATAGATAGAAGTGAACAAACGAGAAAATGGTTGGACAAAATATCGAAACACTTTGTTTTTAAAAACTTTTATACCTGAAATTACCTGATTTCAACTTCATAAGTTATTTTATTATCCTTTTAACAACCCAACTTTGTACTTCGAATACGAAACATTCCCAATCATTATCAATAATACACAAGAAATTGTAAGCGGCACTTTATAAGCTGCACCGAACTCGATCGAGTTCGAGAAGATCGAAACACATAAATTTGATTAGTTACACAGTTTCTATTTCTCTCTCTTCCTCTGATTGCTGTTTAATTATCTTAACCAGTGATTAATTTTTCTCTTCATTAGTTTCTACAATTTCTAATTGTGACTAATTAATAGCAACTTATCGCTTATTCTATTTGGAGTTTCTTCTTCTAACTCGTTTCTACAAAAGAATAATCATTTTTTTGTTCTATTCTATTTTCTCAGCTTCTCTTTCGCCGATTTCTTTGTTCGTTTATCATTTTGATTGTTTTTCTTTTTCTCTTTTTCTCTTTTTTTCCATTTTATTAATGTTCTGCTTTGTTGCTTCTAAATAACAGTTTTATCATCACATGTTATCATTAACTTACATTAGTTAATTAGAATTTTCATTACATCTTTTAGTTAATATAAAGAATCTTGAACAATTTAATAAGAGAAAAATTATTTTTAGAAACTTGAGTTTTTTCAAATTCGCCTGAAATTGCGCTCGAGTAAAACTTCTGTAATCGCACGTAAGGGGCGACACTTTACCGATTACTCTCAATTTTGGTTCACTCAGAATTGAACAATTTTCATGTTACATCAATTTTTTTATTTTCATCTCATTTCTGTTTTTATTTTGATTAATTGTGTCGTAATTACTGTGCTTCAAATTAACTAATTGTCTGTTCTAAAAATTTTCTCTCTTTACTTGGGGTATGATATTGACTCTTTTTAATTCACACTAATTTTATCTCAAGTTGTTTAATATTGTGTTTTACTAATCTCATCATCATCATCATCATTATTCATCATCGTGATGATGTTGATGATGATGCTCATTAATTGGACCAGTTGAATCAGTTGAGTCAATCAGTCTACATACACACATCTCTCTTCACATCTTCTATCTATTTTCCTCTTCTTCTTTTTTTCGTTTTATGTCTTCATTTTTCTCTTTCTCTTTTTTCTCTCTTCCTCTTCTTCTTTTCTCTTCTCTTTAATTCTCTTTTTCTTCTTCTCAACTTTGCATCCTCTCTCTCTTTCTCTTCCCATCTCTTATTATTATTCTTATATTCTTGGACTTTTATTTGGTTGGTGTTGTAACAGGTTCCAGTTTACCAGTTATCCTCTTCTCTTTCATCCCTTTTTTTTAAAAAAAATTCTATTTTACTGCAAATGGCAATGTATCCTGACAATCCATTTGTCAATGACGGATGTAAGAAACAGCCCGATGAAAAGTCCAGTGAACCAACCGAGGAAAAAATAACAGAACAGTCCAACGAGAATGTAACAGAACAGCCAAATGTAAAGGTAGCAGAACAGTCTGATGAAAAGGTTGTTGTTGATCAACAACAACAACAACAACAACCAACAGTCATGGAGAAAACTGAAACAGAGAAACCAGTGAAAAATGGTAACAATAATCATGTGGAAGATAGTGATGATGGAGAAGATCAAATAAATGCAGCCGAATCATCTCCCGATGGGCGATTTCTTAAATTTGAACAAATTGGCCGTGGATCATTTAAAACAGTCTATAAGGGTTTGGATACCCAAACTGGAGCCGCTGTGGCCTGGTGTGAGCTTCAAGAAAGTCTATCTAAATGTGAGAGACAACGATTCCGTGAGGAAGTTGAAATGCTTAAAGGTTTACAACATTTCAATATAGTGAGATTTTATGATTATATAGAGGTTAATACGCCAAACCGAAAGTGTCTAGTCTTAATAACGGAACTGATGACCTCTGGTACCCTTAAAACATACTTAAAACGTTTTAAAAAGATAAACATTAAAGTGTTAAAATCTTGGTGCCGTCAAATTTTAAAAGGATTAAACTTTTTACATTCACGAACACCACCAATCATTCATAGAGATCTTAAATGTGACAATATATTTATTACCGGTACTAATGGTTCAGTTAAAATTGGTGATCTTGGACTTGCAACATTAAAAAATCGTTCATTTGCCAAAAGTGTTATCGGTACACCAGAATTTATGGCACCCGAAATGTATGAAGAGCATTATGATGAATCGGTTGATGTTTATGCTTTTGGAATGTGTATGCTGGAAATGGCCACAGGAGAATATCCATATTCAGAGTGTTCCGGTCCAGCGCAAATATATAAGAAGGTGACCTCAGGTGTACCACCGGCAAGTTTTGATAAGGTAGAGAATCAAGAAATTCGTGATATAATTGGAATGTGCATTAGATTGGATAAAATGGAAAGACCAACGGTTAAAGAGCTTCTTCAAATGGACTTTTTCCAAGAGAATACTGGATTTAAGGTTGAATTTGTTAACGAAGAGGAAAGTATTAACAGTTCGAGTAATAAGATTGAATTCCGGTTAATTGTTACCGATCCCAAAAAGAGATCAGATAAATACAAGGAAAATGAAGCAATACAGTTTTACTTTGAAATCGATAAGGATAACGCGGATGAGGTCGCATTGGCCCTTGTGGCAACGGGTTTCCTGATGGAGGAAGATGTTCGTACGGTCGCTTTATTGATTCGTAATCAGTTGAGCACTTTACTTCGTAATCGACAGCAGAAATTAAATAAAGCCATGCAAGAAGCAGCCAAAGAAGCTCAAGAAACTCAGAATGCTCAGAATGCTCAGGATACTCAAGTTTGTTTTCAACAATTAGCTCAACAACAGCAACAAATGCAACACCAACAACAGCATATAGAAAATTTAAAACAAGAGTTACATAAATTAACAACCTTATTAGTTAATAGTAAATTAAAAGACGCAGAAACTCAAACTGAATCTAAATTATCAACCGATGTTGGTGTAAATACCAATCCAGTTGTGATCATGGGAGATGCTGGTAAATGATGAGGATGCTTTTTAAAGTGATGCTGTTTCTTTTTTCTGTCAACAACCACAACAACCACATCAACAACATCAACAACAACAACACCCACACACCCACACACACACACATACACATCCACATATAAACAAACACACACGCACACGAGGGATTCAACCATTAACCACAACACAGATGAATACATATGATAGAAGATGAGAAGAAACTAAAGTGATCTAATTACTAATCATCGTCATCGCCAGTAATCAAATTGCGAGAAAACTTTTTCGAACATTTTTGGACTAAAAAGCGAAATTTTCGACCGGAAAATGAAAAAAAGAATTTTTTATATTTAATAAGTTCCAACAAGAAAAAGTAATGGTTGGTGATTAAAGAAGAAAAAAATTAGTCGATCATTTGAAATGATCAACAATTTAAAATTCTATGTGTGTGTATTAATTTGGCAAAAGAAAAAGTTAATTAATTGAAATTTGCTTTTCTTGCATGATAATTAATACACTCTAATTTAGACAATCAAGATTACCCTTTTTAAACAATTAAAATTTATAAATAGTTATACAAACAATCAATTGAAAGTAGAAAACAATTAAATGAACATGTAAGTTCAAATATAATTACTTACATTAAGTAAATCATGAACAAATTGTGATCATTTTGTTAATTGTTTTCTTCAAAATCAGATGATCCATCGGTTTTTTTTTCATTGAGAATCAAAATCTGTTAATTGAATCAATTTAATTACGATCAAAATCATAACAGAATCAACATCTAATTAGAGAACGACTCTTCTCAATTGATGTCATTTCGCCTTCGAACTTGAAGAATCGGTTTTTCGAGTTTTCTTTTTAATTGTGATTAATTAATCTTCCATTGGAAGGAATTTAAATGTCCTTCACTTTGTAATTAATGTTAAAGGTTAATTAACATGAGAAAATAACAAATAATTTCCTTGTTATTATTATGCTTTTTTCTATTATTTTTTGTTTTGTTCTCTCAACAATCAAATTGTTCTCGTTCTATTTTCTCTTAATTGTCGTTGATTAATTAACTAGATATTCGAACCCTTGAAATGATAGTTGGTTTTCTTTCTCTTTTTTCGTTCTTTTTTTCGATTAAAAATTGTATTGTTTCAAATTCGAATAGAAAATTTCATGGTTATTCAAATTCTCATTGAATTTGATTAAGTGTATCACTTAATCACAATCATAGATTCGTAGTTTGATTCGTTAATCAATCAACTGTGAATTCATTAAATTTGATGAATATCAATTGGAAGTAAATTAATAATTATTTTTCAATCAGATAGTCAATCATGTGTTCATCTAATTAGCAATTCGCATTGATTGTTTTTCTAATTGTTGTGAAAAAAAAACAACACCAATTAATTGAAAAGTAATGAAACAAATTAAAAATAAATTGATTTGTTTCAACAATTAAATATTTTTATTTCTCATTGGAAAATCAAACAAGAAAGACAGTTAGATACATGGAAAGTTAATTGTTGTCAACAATTCAATGACAATTAAACATCATCGAGCTCAGAAATGATTTGCATTTAATTGTTTCTTAATTTCTAAAGGTTTGATTAAGGTATTAATTGTGGATTAAGCTATTAACACTCTGTGACAATTTAAGTTTCAATTGTTATTTACAGATTGATTAATTCCCTCTGAATTCAGTCAACAATTAATTATTTTTTTTTGCAGATGATTTATTTTAAAATACCAAACAAATATCAAACAATCAGTTAATTTTCATGAATGAGTCATAATGAAATTCAATCAATAATAATGATATTGACTTAATTGCTTACATTATTTTTTAATTGCAATGACTTCCTGATTTTTCAACCTTCTCGTTTTTAATTGTAACTTTATTTTGTTTCGCTAACAATTAAATTAGATTGTAAATTGCCAACGTTAATTGGGTCTCTACTGTCCTTGATTGTGAATATAAATTGTCTAAAATTGAAGAGACATTTTTAATCATCAATCTAATCAACACTCACTAAACATGTGATTGAAGTTTAATCACAATCAATTGATCAAATATCACGACAAAAGGATAAACTTGATAAAAAAACTAATAAGTGTTAATTTAAGTCTAATGATTAAAATTCATGGTTGATTGTTTCATTTGCTGATTGTAAAATTAACATAATCAATAGTTTAACTAAACAATTCTAATTAAAAGTTGATGATTGTTTAACCATCGAGTGTACTGGTTAACCTAATCAAATTAATCTCTAATTGTTGATAGTTTTCATCTTAGTGGATTAAATTATCCTCTAATTATTGATGATTTTTCGTTAATTGTTACTGATAATTTATCCATATCGGAAGAAGCTTGTAGAAATTATTAAATTGATAGTAATTACTTTAATTGTCCTTGATTGTGTGTCCTTCAAGTTTAATTGAATGAAAAAAATATCTAATGTTTAGTTGATCAAAGTAAATTGTTGCTTTTGTTATTTTTCATTGTTGGTTGATTGTTGACAATGATGATCAATCAGATTCTGTTTGTTGTCAGAAAGTTAATCAACTGATTAAGAGATTTAACTGAAGATTAGTTGATTAATTAAGCCAATTGGATTATAAAGTGATGACAATTTAATCTTAATGTGATTAGAATTAGATAATTGTCAAGTTGATTGATATTTCGTCGCAATAATTTGACCATTCGAGCGGTAGAAAGGTCAGATTTATGTGACATCCCGTCCGGGGAAATGTTAATCAATTAACTGGAAGTAATCATTTGATTGTTGTCATCTTATTGGCGAGTAAATCTAATCAATTGACAATTACATCAATCAATTTGATTCATGAATCGATCTGATTGATTAACTTTTTTGTTCTACATCAAATCTTATGATATTCAATCAATGATCTCAATTAACAAGGAGACAATTTAGTTAACTAATATTTAAATTAGAAAAGTCTGAGCAAATAAAACAATCGAAAGGTTAATTTGATTCACTGAGTCAATCTATCGACAATTAAATCATAATGGTTAAGATAAAATTAGTTTGATTATTATTGTTTATCAGTGATTGTTATTATTCAAAGATTATTACTAGAAAATACCTTTAATTGTAATTACGATTTGATGACAATTTATGATTAAATTTCTTGATCAGAGAAAGAAAATATTTCTCTTACATTAATTAACGTGACAATTAATTGATATACAATCAAATTGCTCTTGGTTACCCAAAGTCTTAACTTGGTTATTATCAGTTTACTTTCATTCAAATGACATTATCTATTAAGTTGATTGTCATTATGATTAAATCAAGTCAACTAAATCTACGTAATCATAACAATAAAATTGAATAATCATCAATTTAATACTGATAATGTCAGTTAATTAATCGATGATCAACTTTATTCAACCTTCATTATCAAAGGAAAAAGAGATGAGTTGGAATCAGGAACGAAAACAAAGACAAATTCAGATAATTTAACTTAATTAGTTTTCTGAGTGATTTAATTAATCTTAATCAGAGTATAATTGTTAATTGAAACATTAAAATAATAAACAATTGAATTAATCAACTATTGAGAAATAAATTTGTCAACTTTTTACTCCTTTTGCCAATAGATGGCGGTAGCTGCCGACAATCAATTTTAATTGTTAAAATTTGATTAAACTTAACACTAATCGAGTAAAAAGTTTAGTTTAATGGTTATCTTTAATTGTAAACAATTGAAATCAATTTGTCATTGAGTTGAAAAAACTTTGATATTTACAATTTTGTAATTTTTAAAGTTTTATCCCTTTTGAGAGTACAATCAATTTAATTGTAATCTAAATTATAAAAGTTCCGAGTGAGTATTTGACCTGGAAGAAGTAGATTCATCAATAATGATGATTAATAAACAAAAATTATGAAGATTTAAAATAATTAAGATGAGTCTTTGCCGAGAGGAGAAAACAAATTAAACACTAAACCATTAGTGAAATTAGACTTTGATTTTTTTTGGATGAAAGTTGTTTTGGATTGGTAATTAATTTACTTGTTCCATTTAAATTTAATCATGAAATAAGGATCGATTTCCTCTTCACTATTCAAGGTTCTTCTCAATCCAATCGAGAAATTCAGGAACCCGAGTATAAACACCGGGAAAACCAGGAGTTGCACATCTCCGTCCAAATGAAACTATTCCCATCAAATACCATTTTCTCATTGAATTATCAAACATAACCAGTGGACCTCCAGAATCACCCTGAAAATATTAATATCATAATTATAGATGGATCATTTGATTAATTACCATGATAGAATTTAATTTCTTACCTGGCACGAATCTCGTGTAGCACCAACATTACTTGCACAAAGGTAAACATTACTAATTGGAACCCATTTTTTGAAAGCATCTTTACAATATTCTTGGGGGACAATTTCAAAACTCGCTTGAAGTAATACTTGACTTGATGGACCGTTGAACGAGGTTCGACCCCACCCTGTAATTGTAGCACTTCGTCCGGTTATATTTCCAAATCGAAAAAGTTGAGAATCATAAGGTAAACATATTGGTGCCATTCTTTCATTAAAAGTGACCTAAAATAAGTTCCAAAAGAATTAATCTATTAGTTTTTTTATATGGAAAAGTAAATAAAATCTTAGATTGATTAATTACCTTTTCGCTTAATACAATTAGAGCGATATCATTTCTATAAGTCTTGGGATCAAATGCGTCATGAATTTTGATTGTTTGAACTGAAAAATCTTTAACTGCATCATCTTCAGAATCGTTTTCAATATCATGTTCACCTAATCTTACAATTACTTTTGATGGATCACGAACAGAACCGATAGCCGAAGATTCGTAGACACAATGAGCAGCAGTTAAAATAACATTATCGGAGACCAAAGTTGCCCCACATTGGGAGGTTTTAGCGCCGTTTTCATCAAACATGAGAGCAGCCTAACGAAAGACAAGGAAATAAACAAGTAAACAATTAAATTACATCGCAAGTAAGCAAGAACGTAGGTAAAAATAGAAGATTATCTAACCATCCATGGCCAAGTTCCAGGTTTAGCGGGAACTCCACCAACGATTCGCGTCTCTGCTTGTTTATTGACACCACATTCGGCTAAATGGATAAAAAGGAATAGAAATAAAATTTCAATAGACAAATGTAATAATTTAGAGGAAAAAATGAAACAATGTACATAATACTCACTAGAAGGTAATTTATCCGGGATTCTGAGTTTAATGTCTTCCTTTTTCAAATTTCCATTTGGTTTATTGAAAGTTTCAAAAGTGGATTTAGTTGGTTGTGGTCTTGGTGTAACAATTACATGGGAAGAGGAACCATTTCCCTCTTCACTTCCATTCTCACCTTCACCATTACCATTAACCTGAGATTCGGGGACTACACCATGGGGATTGATACTTGATGATTCTTTTGATGGTTTATTGGAAGGTAAAGGTACCAATGGATCACCACCATTTACATTTCCATTGTTATCAAAACCATTTGAGGAAGGGCAACACAATTTAGGTGTAACACCATCAAAACCACAAATTGAACCTCTTAAAATATTTAAATTACGCTCATGTTTCAAGATGGAACACGAAGTAATTGGTAAACAAGTTCCTCGGCCACCTTGAAATGTTTTACACAATTGACCATCCAAATTATCTTCTGGTTTACTATCTTCTTCATCAGATGGGAAAACAACTAGGAAAAAAAGAACAAATAATCAGAAGAACAAATAAACAAATTGAAAAAAGAACAAAAAACAAGAGAAAAGAAAAAGAAAAAGCCAAAAATTAAGAAGAGAACAAATAAAAAAAGATGACCAATGGGTTAATTTTTCTTTTTTCTTCCAAATGACAGAAATAAATTAACCGAAGACAATAGAACAAAAAACTCTCCAGTTCTCAATTACTAAACTTACTTTGTCTCTTAACCACTAGACAATTTGCTAATTGTAAAAGAAATAAATTAACAATTAGAAAAATTAAACCAACGATTCTCATTCTTTCCGACAATTGAAAAAAAAGTAATCAAATGAAGACGAACAGCAACAATTAGAATGTAAATTAAATAAAACAGTTAACTGGGACAAAAATATTCTGAAATTCAGAGAAAATCAATTAAATCTCAAATTAATTAACCAAAAAAAAACGAAACTAATTTGGAAATTGAAAAGTAACAATCAAGATGAAAAAACGATTAACAAACAAAATTTACTTTCCAAAAGAAAATCGTAACTAGTGACATCTAGCGAGGAAAGAAAAAATCTAATTTCCACTGTACATGGAAATTAATTTTCAGCGGAAATAAATTGTCGGAGGAAATGAACTGAAATTCTAAGTTACAATTAAAACTCAGTGACAATTTCCAATTATTGATTAATTGGAAATCAACTAAAATATTCAATAATTGGAAATAAAAAATTCGTCATTTCATCTATTTAACTCATCGATAGATGGAGTTACTTATGTTTTCCAAATTTTTTCCTTTTCAATTCAGTAGATGGAAGCACTTGTGATAAGAAGCTTTTATTAAATTCAATTGGTAATTGAAACACAATTAACGACAATTTAAATTTTTTTTCTCTCTGAATTGATTGAATATAAGTAGAAGATGATAGTTACCAAGAATTAGAATTAAATCCTGTGGAAATGACAAGTTACTAGGATAACGATTCGAAAACATCTCAATCGCAAAAAGGTAACCAATACATAAGGGTTACTATGGTTATGGATAATCAATAATTTTGATTAAACCAAAAAGTTAGTTACAATTAAAACCAATACATAATTATCCTTTATTATCCTTTGATAGGACAATTAAGAGAAAGTAAGTCTTTTAATTGTTTACAATTGATGTTCTACTTCAGGTAAATTTAAGATCATTTATAATCATCTGGTCGACATCACTAATGAACATTTTGGTCCAAACTCGAAGTGAATTAAAGATCAGTTTTTGTCGAGATCAAGAGTAGATCTCAAAGCTATTGGAAATATTTAATACTTTTAATCCACAAATAGGTAAACCAAAGAATTGAAATCATGGCGATAATCACAGGTGATCAACTGGACTTTGTGGTTGGACGCAGATTGAAGCCGATACCGAATGGGAAAAAGCTACTGGACGGTCATCATATCGAACTGGTCCAATTATCGATATAACTTCAGGAACTCTTGATGGACATTACCTTAAATTAGACTCTCAAAATTTAGATCCAGGGTCTCGAGCGTTGATTTCAACACCGAAACTTCCGCTTCCTTCAAAAAGCAACAGTTTTTGTCCCAACTTTGGCTATTCTATGTGGGGAAAACATCTCAAACTTTTCTAAAAGAATCACAAAAACCGAAATGATGTCCAATTAATTGTTCTAAATCAATTAGATTTTCTTAATTACATTTTCCATTCTCCTTACATTGGTGATTGAAACAATTTCATTTGAAATAATCAAAAACCAACCAGAAAGTAATCTGTTAGAATCAATTAATTGTCAATCAGAAAAATCAATGATCAAGTTTTAAGAAAAAAAAAAGTTACATTTATTTACTTTTCTACTAAAAATCAACTGATTGTTGTATATTTTGGGTTAATCATTAGAAGTGAATTTTCAATTGGGATGAATAATTAAATAATGGAACTAAATTTCAGGGCAATCATTTCAATCAAGAACAAGAAACAATATCAAAGTTAATCAACTAGTTAATCGTGATGATAATCAAATACATTGTAACTGTTAATTGTTGTATTAATCTTTGCCGTGAGGAATTAACCTAAATTATTAATCACTACCAATCTAATTGTTAGTTAAACAAGAAAACTTGTAAACAACAATTAAGCAAATTAATCAAATTAAAAAAGGATTGGTTGAAATAAGTTAGTTGATTAAAAATTAGCACCAATTCAAACCAATGTCAATCATTGATTAACAATCAATTTTGTCAAAAGTTAAATTGAACAATTTAACAAATTAAATCATTTCCAACAGAATTAAAAATGTAAATTAATTGTTAATTGTTCTTAAAGAGTAAAAATATGAAAAATATCGTGATTTAAAGTAAATTTACTAAATCATGATTTAAATTATATTGATTAGTGATCGTAAACCTAATCATTAGAATCAATTAATTGAATATGTAAATTGTTACTCTTTAAATTGAACTATTGAACCTTTTTTTGTGAAAACTGATTATCAGCAATTAACGAAAAAGTTTGCAAATTGTTGAGCTTTGATTAAGATTAAATTTGATTATCTTGGAGTGAAAACTTTTCCATTGTGACAATTTGAATGATTTAACAACAATTGATCAAGATGAGACAATTAAACAGCACCATCACCGTAGTAAATTGTATCTTTTGTAATTGGTGAACAATTAACAATTGTAACAATTAAAAGAAAAGGGCTATAAGGTTGAGATGAGAGTTAATTGTTGTTGATACAAATTGTTAATAAAATTGATGATTCTTTTGATTTTTGATAACTTTCTGGTTTCCCAAATTAAATACAAATAAAAGTAAACAGAGACATGAATTTATATTTCGAGTTATTTGCGTTAATTGTTGCGATAATAGGAAATGTTAACCGTGAATTAATTGTTATTGTTTTGCTCGCAATCAATGATAATCAGTAAATTGGTCACGGATTGAACATGAATAATGATTAATGGTAATAATGAATAAGATAACATGGTAAACGTATTTAGAATCAATGATTTGTGGATGTAACTTTATAAGAGGAAGTGAGTGTGAAGTGGAACCAAGTCATGTCATTATCATCATCATCTTCGGTGTATCTTCATCTTAATCATCATCTTTGTAGCATCATCGTCATCAGTAAATTTTGGTAATAAAGTAGAGAGAGAGAGAGAGATGGAGATGAAGGATGAAAGATGAAGATGAGGCTTAAAATTTGGATGATTAGTGAGAAGAGAGAGATAATATTTTGGTGTAAATTTCGCAGAAAATTGCAAATCTGGTTAAAAGATTTTGTTTTCTGTATGTTGACCATAAGTTTGGAGCGAAAAAAAGTTTTCTTCAAAATCCAAGGAAATTAAGATGATTCTCGATTGCTAATGAAGATCATTAAGTGAATTAATTCCATATTGATTTTAATTAAGCTGCAATTTGATTGTAGGGACACGTTGAGTGGCCATGTTTGTTGTATTTCCATGAGAATTAAGGAGAAGAAGAAAATGAAACTCATATGTTCGGATACTAGAGAGAAAAAGCTTAAGGCTTAATATTAAAATTACACAGAGGATGAGGAGGAAAAGATGAGGATGTAAAAAAGGTCGAGGTCAAATGAAGGGAAAGTTTTATGTTATTAGACAAAGAATATTGAAGCGAAAGAGAGAGAGAGAGAGAGAGAGAGAGAGATGAGTGAGAAGATAAGTTTTTGATAGAAAAATGGATGAAAGGGAAGAGAAGGAGGAAGAGAGAGGGAGTAAATGATCATTTATAATTGAGAGATGATATCGAATGGATAAAATTGGATAAATGTAAATACCGTTGGAGATTTTTAATCTTGGGTGAACAAAAGATCCATTGGCCAATCCAAGTCCGAATTACAATAAAGTCTTCGAGGATAACGGGGGGCAAAGGGCGATAAAGTGGGTAAACATAACGGCTGGAAGAGAGTGAGAGGAGGAAGAGAAGGAGGATGAGGATGATGAGCAATATCTATGAAGAGCGAGAGAGAAAGAGATGTTAAAGGTTAGCGTCTTTTTGATGGGCTTGAAGATGACGATGTAACCATAGAGAGAGTGATTTACGCCGAGGGAGGATGAAGATGAGAGTGAGCTGAATGTCCTCCATTCTTTTTTTTCTGCATCAATTTATTTTCCAAAGATAAACCATATTGGGTGGTAACTTGAAGGTTCGAAGCGGGTAAAACTCGTGGCTCGTTAATGCTCCGTTAGAAAGATCGGGGGTCACAGTCTATTTTCTCTTAAAATCCCTCCTTTTCTTTTTCTCTCCTTTTCTCACTCGTCATCAACGCCATTATCATCATCATCATCATCATCATTTTCTCTCCCCTTTTCTGAATATATCTTCTTTTTTTTCATTAAATCTTCTCCTTTTTTTGTGTGTGTATCGACCTCATTTGGTGAAAAAAGTTTACTCATTGTGACCTTACAGTCCGATGCGTTGAATGCGTTAATCTGACGGTGTTCATGTTGTATCTTCGTTGTATCGAGATCTCACTTTACTCACCAAGTTTCTGCTCACTGTTCTCACTCTCTTTTTTCTTCCGTTGTTCATCATTATCATCATCATCATCCAACAACAGTAACAATCATTGCGAGTTTGCTATTATTGTAACAATCAACACTAATCACAGTTAACGGATTTAGTAAGTTCTTATTGCTGTTGTTTCATGATATTGACATTTTTTCACCATTAACTAAATTGTTTCCATCCAATCGACTTAGTAACCAATTTAATTGTTATTCAACTTTTTCAACATCCATCTCAATGTTTTGTAAGATTATTTTAACTCCATTGATTGTTGATTAATCTTTGTGTCTGTTTTGATTGTTTATTACCATGGATTCAATTACTGTTCCCTTTGGATTATAATTTTTTCATCAGCTGATTTTGTCGTCAAATTTTCATTTGCAATCCATTTGAATCTTTGCAATTTACTTTTTGTTTTTTTTAGTTGATTCTGATCAAGGGAATCACCATGAGTAGCGAGAATTTGAGTTTAGTCTTAAATGTTGACATTGATCCATCGATGGGAACACCTCAACCTCCGCCAAGACAGAACCGAGGACGGAAAAGTAAATCAACTGTTAAACAATCGAAAGTTTATCAACCAAAGACAATTAACAATCGAAATGTAGGATCAAATATTACAGCGAATCGAACCAACAACAGCTCAACTATATCGATGATTAAATCGCCCAAACCTCCAAGTCGAAAGGGTAAATCACCAACTTCAACACCAAAAGCAACAACCACAATTAGACCAAGTAATCAATTAACATTGTCCAGCAATAGTTCAACAAAATTAACGACAACTTGGAATCAATTGGGCAAATCTAATCAACAGAAAGCAAAAAATGGACCAAACAATCAACCAAAGGTCAACAATAAAAGTATCAACAGGCAGTTGTTAACAAACAAAGGATTGACTGAAGATGGTGATGGTCAATTGATGGATAAATCAAATGGTCAACAGGGAACCAGTTGTGACCAAGTTAATGAGAACTCAAATATTACCAATGGTCAAGAAAATTGTGTCACTTTATCAAGAAAAATGGGAGAAGCCAAAAAAGATAATCACCAATCAATAGATAACTCGACATGTAATATTCAACCGTCAATCCAATTAGAAGTAAAACTTTTAGTAGAACAATCTAGTGAATTATCATCACCATCATCTTCTTCATCATTATTGTCATCATCTTCATCTCTAGAAAGAGTAGGAGGAGGAAGAAAAGGAGGACAAGAGGAAGAAGAAAAAGTAACAACAGAACGAGAAAAAAGCAAAGTCCAGAGAGGAAAGAAAAGAAAAGATGATGATGTCCAGTTGATTGATAAAAGAGAAACCAACCAATTGTCTTTAAATTTAATTGATTGTCAACCATCAACATCAACAAATTACCAAAATCGCGAAGTTGCAACAGCAAAACAATCAACAGGATTAACCATCAACAACAAGAACAACAATAGACAGAAACAAAAGTCTAGTGACAAATTACCTTTGGTAGTTAATCAAAAGATGAACAAACTCTCAACGGAAGTTAAATTTACTGATCAAGGTAAGAAAAACGAATTAATTATTAGTTAAATTACTCGAATTAACGAAAACCGGATTAAATTCCGGTCAAAATGATTAAAGAGAGAGAGAGAGAGAGAGAGGTAAACATAAAGAGAGAAAGAAACAACAACAACAATCCGGTCGAATTCTGGTTTTCTGGTTTTCTTTTTTCTTCTCTTTCTTTTTCTCTTTCTTTTCTGTTTCTTTTCTTTTCTGCGCATGCGCACCAACTAAGATGATCTTTTTCTCCACAACAAAAGACATTCGTTGCCAATGGAAACACAACATTTACAAGCTCTCTCTCTTTTTTGTGTTCCTTTTTCTTTCTTTACTTTCAGTTGGTCAATCATCTTCGTCTCTACCTTTCGGACCTGAGGTGCTCCATGTTAATAGAAGTGTTCGACAATCACCTAGTAACCCGTTCCATGGACAATCAACTAATTGTGATAATCAACTTGTGGATAATTTAATAGAACCGATAACCAGTAAACTCTCATCTGGTTACAGTGATTTGAGAAACAACAATTACAATAAGCAAACAATTGGTGGTATTAAAAGTCAACCATTTAAACCAGTCAACGGTAACAAAGAATCAGGATTTTCATCTTCTACCTACAATTGTGGTAATTTATCTTCATCATCTTCTTCTTGTTCTTCATCATCATCATCTTCTACTTGGAATAACAAAATTTCACTTGTTGAAAAATCTACTACCAGAGAAAAGGATAAACTAACCAATAATTGTATTGATAAAGTTTCATCTTTCAGTGAAAATAATTGTCTCGTGTTCAATTCAAGTGATGGTTATTTGGATGTGCAACAATCTAATCATCAACAATTAATCTATTATGATAATAACGATGTGGATAATGATGATGATGATGATGATGGTCAGAGGAATTTAGTCAATCAATCTAAATATCTTGATGACGATAAAAATAGTAACTGTTTAGGAAAAGAAGAGAAAACAAAACAATTTAGTAGAAAGAAAAAATTACTTTCCCAAGAAAATAATTCATCTGTAGTTCCATTGAAAGAGTTGAACAATTTATCTCCATCAGAAGATAGTTTTAGTAATAACAATTTACCTGAATCAGATAATAATCAGTGTAAGGATAGAGAAAAATTTAAAAATTGTAAATATACCAAAAATAATCAGCCAAGTGATTTATTGAATGATAATCAGTCTACAAGTGATTGCGTTCATGTTGATATCTCAACTTTAACCACAGTTAACAACAAGCTTGATAACAACAACACCCAAGAAAAGAAAAATGGTCAAACGGAGCAACAATCACCATTAAATGGAACACAATCAACAACAGCAATTATTTCATCACCTTCATCATCAACAACAACAACAACCAATTCACCAAGTAGAAATAAATTTTACTCTATTGGAAGTCAATTGCCAAAGACAACAGTTAAAAGTGTAAAAAGAATCGGTGTTTTTTATTCCGATCTATGTGATGTAATTAAAGGAATGAGAACTTCAGGCCAAAATCAGAGTAATCATCATTATCATCAACAACAACCTTCTCATAATGTCCATCAACAGCAACAACAACACCACCATCACCACCACCATAATCCACAGCAACAATTAAATTCAAGTTACAATAATAACAACATCAACCATCAATTAACAAATGATGGTAACCATTCAGTCAACAATGGTAATGTTGTTACCAATAACAATGGTTTTAATGTTTCAAATGAAACAACTGATGATGGAGATGAGAATGGCGATCACAACAATGGTCAACACAATCAACAACAACAACACCAACATGATCAACAAAATATTTCAACCTTGATGATTACTGGTGATACTTCAATAGAAACAACAAATGGTTCTAGCCAAGGGTCACCTATTTATCGCCCACCACCATTAATGGATTCATCTAATTTACCAGATATCCTTAATTCACATTTACCTCCTCCACCTCCTTATTCAACTTTACCCCCTCCTGGTCATCCTTCAATCATCTATCCTCGATCACCACTCTTATCACATAACAATAATAATAATACGTTAATTTCTGCCACTCAATCATCTTGTAATCCCTCAGGTCAACCTGGTCATCATCATTCGCAGCCATTATCATGTTCATCTTCCATAAATCCATCATCAACACCCTTTCTACCCACAATTAGCTCATATTCAATGACACAATCACCTCTTGGTCTGAACACTGTGCCTTCTTCACACCCTCTTCCTCCATCTTCAGGTCAACCTGTGTCACCCGGACGTCCATTACTCCCTTCTAGAAGAAATTATGCTCCAATTGTTGCTTCCGGTGGAAACAATGGAACCAATGGAATCTCAGCTTCAACCGCCGCCGCCTTATCATCATCTTTCTCAAACAACAATTACTTATCTTCAACCTCTACATCCAATTTACCCCATTCAGCTCCATCCGGATCATCATCAACCTCCACATCGCATCCATCCCCGCCAACAGTTTCCCTGCCACCACCCCATTCATCAAGCCACCACCATCATCACCACCACCACCATACAAGCCATCCTTCAAATCATCGTCATCATCATCCCTACCTTAGGTCAGGCTGTTCTCGTGATAGTGATGCTGAAACAAGTACAACAAAATCATGTTTTAATTGCACTCGATTCACCTTGAAATGGACTCTCCTTACAATCTCATTCATCGGCGTTATTTTCACAATCGTCGGCACTTTCCTAGGATCTTCTGACAGAGTGGGCAGGGAAAATCTAACAGTTTCCCTCACCATGATATGTAAGTCGAAATTCATTTTTTTTCTTAATCGTGATTAACTATTTTTTTCATTCGAATTTCAATTTTTCATGGTGAATCAATTGAACTTTTTCTTTTATTTTTTTCTCAACCTTGTCATCATAATCTTCCCATTGATTTAATAATTTGATGAATATTTTTTGTTACCAATGGATAAAAATAGTAACCAAAGTTACAGACAAATTAATTAACAACTTGAACATTATAAAAGTACCAACGAATTGATTACACTTTCCATCAACAATTAACTACGACCCTTAATGGTCAATTAATTGTTGTCCAAATTAAAATGTTTACCTCATTTCTAAACCGCAGAAATTAGATTGATTGTTCTCAAGGGAACATTAATTCTCAAGGAAAAAAAACTCTATTAGTTGATTGATAATCATTACAATCATCATGCAACAACTCACTTACATAGAGATTAGAACCGATTAATTGTCATTATAATCAACAATTAACATCCAAACTAAATTAACCTTTTAACACTAATATTTTTTTTCCTTTTCTTTTGATGGAAAAACAAAACACATCAGAAACAAATTAAACTTTTTTTTCTGTTGTTGATATAACAATTAAATCATTTTTAACAACAAATTTCAATCAAAAATCATTAGATTAACAATCAACAATCAAATTAACAGCAATTATGACACTTACCCCACCAACTACCAGCACTTTAAGATACAAACTTTTTGATTGATTTTTCGTAATAATATTAATTTAATTATTATCGTTATTATAATGATTTAAACTATTAAAGCTTTAAACAGATAATTGTTAGGTTTAAATAGATGATTAAATTGTTACCCAATAGTATCACTTTTAAAGGTTTACCTTTTCCTGACCGATTTAGACCAAGGTGAACAATCAACATCAACATGTCCACATAAACTCAACACAAATAACATTCCTTTCGTATTAACATTGACGATCAACAAAAAAAATACCTTTTCTACCCAAGTCACTTGTCCATTTAACTTGAATCTATTTTTCTTAGGCCATTTTTTCATTCTTATTATTATTATCATCATCATTATCATCATTATCTTCAATTGTAGGTTGATAAGTTAAAACTTTTCAAGCGTATACATACACAACAGATTTCATCTTTTTTCTTGCTTACTTTTACTCAATGCTTACTTACACCATCATCTTTTTTTTTCATCATCAACAACAACCAATGAGAAAGTCAAGCAAAGAAACTCAGGAGCGGTGTTGAGCCTTGAGGGAATTTACTAGAGAGAGAGAAAAATGGGCAAAATAAGAAAGAAGATGAAGAAAGTTGATAAGAGAGTAAAAAAAAAGCGTTTAAGTCTCTTCGTGGCAAAGGTGAAGGTTATGACTTGTTATTTAGACAAAGAGAGAGAAAAAAAGAGAGAAGAAGAAAATGTTTTTTTCTCTGATAATTTCTCTTGTAGAGAGATGATGATGATGATGATGATGATGAAAAGAGAGAGAGAAGATGGAAAGAGAGCAACAGAGAGGTAACGTAGATTCTTAGGTGAACCCAATCTGCCACAGTTTATCAATAGTTACCATAAGTTTCTTTCTTTTATTCTCCCTCGTCATCATCATCTTTCTTTATCCTTATCCATCCTCTTCCAAAATCATCTTGTATTCAAATTATCCAAGCCTCAGTTTTCTTTATATCAAATATATTCTTTGTATATAATATTCTACCAAGAAAATTTTCTATGTTAATTTAAAGCTTTTGACCTTTCCCTTTTTCTTTCTTTTCGTCGTCATCTTCATCATCATCATCATCTCTCTCTCTCTCTCTCTCTCTCTCTCTCTCTCTCTCTCTCTCTTTGTTTACTGTAAATGTCGAAAAATATTGACCTCAAGTGATTTTCTCTCTCTTGTTTGACCCTGGTCAATAGCAAGAGATTTGTCCCTTTCTTCACCATCTCTTTGTATCCTCATTTTAACCCAAAAATAAGGTAAATACAAAGCCAATATTTCATCATCATTCATGTTGATAAACAATAATTATGATTTTTTTTGCTTCAATTTGCTTTCATGAATCGCTTTTCAATCATGAATTATCATATTCATTATCATACTATTGTCCTATTGTTCATATAATGATAACTTGTTAGTCTTGATTCTTACCTTGTTGATTATTTTAATCAACACGCAGCGATTATCAACCTTATCTCCATCTCATCATCATGTGTATTAACTAATTTAATCCATGTCAATGTTGATTAAATACACGTTGATGCATTAATCTTTTTTTCATTGCAATCGATTATCTTAATTGCTTAGTAAAGATTGTCTTCTTTTTTGATCAATTGGATATTAAGTAACATTAATATCAAGATCTTGATGATACATTTGTAATATTTTATCACTTAATCATCATTAATTGATCAATTTTGTTGATTGTTAAGACACAATTTATTTTCTCAATACATCTTGTCAATTTTGATTGTGATTTTGACAACAACTCACAATTAACTTAAAGCTTGAAAACAATTAACCAGTTGATTACATAAAAAGAGTAATTTATTGTTGATTGTCTACAAAATCATTAATTGAGACAAATGCTTAATTGTTGATTGATATTAAATCGTAATCATACTTGACAGTTTACTTAACATTGATAACTTTTGAATGTATTGACATAATTATCAAATTGATTTATTATTAAGCAATTTGATTGTAAAGTTTTCACCTCTAAACAAATCATTTGTTACAAACTGATTGTTGACTGTTGAATATGATTGTTTGTATTCAATTACAATATTGTATCAATATTAATTCAACAATTAACCAACAATTAAGGATTGTTTTTTTGTATGTTAAATACAATCAAATCTATAATTGAGAGTATGTGTAACCCTATCCTTAATTGTACATGTAGTATACCAACAATCAGTATCCAATATCTCACAGCCTTGATTTTAATTGTTACCAATTACCATCCGAAAGGATATTTGGATCAACAATTGTTAACTTTTGTTATTAGTTGACAGTCAACAAGTTGCTAATTAAGGTTTTAATTACAATTTAAGATTCAGAATTGATGAAATTGCTATGATCATTGTCCTTGACTATTAATTGGACTCCCACAATTACCTTATCCTTGTTTACCTAATTGTTGATCTAATTTTAGCATTACAATTAAAATCTAGTTCTTGTTAATTTAACATCTATCGTTTACAAATTTGCAAAATTGATTAATTTTTTTGCATTGTTAATCACAATTAATAATGATGACAACTGATTGATCAGGAAATGAATATCCATTGATTAAGTCCAGAAATTGATTGAAATTTGATTCTGACAACTGATAATCAATTATTGAATCTCTAATCCGGATTAATTTTTTGCAATTACTCAACACCTTCAAATAGAGCAAACAATTAACCACAATATATAAATTAATATTAATTAAAAAATGAAACACAATTAATCAAGAAAGTGACAATCTAAATGATTGACAATTGAAAGTGCAACTGTAAATACAGAAATCTAATGAAAAGCAATTAGATGTTTTTTTTAATCATTCTTACAGTTAATTGTCAATATAATTGTTAAGAATTGAGATGATGTTGATGCAGAGAAGCAAAAAACTTGATTAAATTGACAATTTAGAGAGAAAAAAATATTGATTGAAAAATTGAATGAGAAAAAAATTTCGAATATTAGAAAATGATGAAAAAACATATGATCACCAAGCCGGTTGATTGTTATTAGTTATTATTTTTACCAATTATTTTGCAACATGTTGATTAAATCCATCACTTAGATTAAGGAACGAGATTAAGAAAAAAATTGAGTTAAAATATCAGAAAGAGGATAATCCATTTGATTTGGTTTACATCTTGTTTTTAAGGTCGTTTTTTGATACCTTTAAATGTTGATCATAATTGTCACCATCCTTCATCTTCATCATTTATCTTCATCATCTTTGTCATCTTGATCGATTTATCAAGAATCAAAATGTGTCCGTTACACTGAACAATCATCACTCATCAGTTTTAGAACTTAGAACTTAGAACTAACTTTGTCAAGATTCGAACAATTTTCCATAACTTGTATACTATTGTTACTTGAATATCGTTAATTGTGATCAACTTTTCTCGTCTCAACTGTTAACTTTTGGATCTCTTGATATTTTGTATGTGATTATGATATAATTTAAGAATATATTTTATCAACTAGTTGTTCACAATTTACTAAACATGAAGGTATGTGTTAATTATTACTCTGATAATCTCATTTCATTTGGTTGATATTAATTTTCCTTTTGTTGTTTGTTACTCTCTCGGTTATTTGGTCGTTAGTTTATTTGCCATATATTGATTTTAATCTGTTGTTCTGATGTTAAATGGTCAGTCGGAAGTACATCACCACTTAAACTTGATTTTGGTATCAATTTGCCTACGATGACCTTTCGATTACCAAGTTTCAATTTTCCCAAACTTAAAGTAACCGCCGTAATCCATAGGCCAAACCAGCCTCGTGAACCAATGAAAGTCACACTTCCAGCGATAAGTGTTAACGCTCAATCACTTGAACCAGATAATGCTGGTTGGTCAGAGGGAAGGGATAGTTCAAGTGATTCTGGTTCTAATTATAATGAACATGAGCATGAAACTGACGGAGGAGGAGGAGGTGATGGTGGTGGTAGTAGTTCTAGTGGTAGAGGTAGTGATCAATATACTGACAATGGATGGAGTATGGAATCAAGTGGAGATGAGACAAGAGTCACTGAGGAACCACGATCAGCGATTGTTCAAGAATCTGAACTATCCAATAAACCCCATGTAAGGTCACATTCTGAACAGGCCAAGAGTGTTGTCCGTTATTCTGGTGGTCGGCCAATTGGTTTCATGGGTAATATTCAAGGATACTCTCCACCATTAGAAGCTTCAACCCCGACAGTGTCACAACCCTCATCATCACAATCCTTTTCACCCAATAATCAGAATAACTATTTACAGCAATCAAACCCACGAAAATCTCTACTAACTGATCATCAATCACCCCCACCGCCACCACCACAACAACAACAGCTCCAACCTCAGCAACATTATCAAGTTCACCATCACCACCACCAACAGCCACAACATCAACATCATCATCAACAACAACAAAAACAACAACAACCTCAATTACTTCAACCAACAATTGATTCTCCAAATTTTTCATCTTCATATTCATCAACTCCTCCAATCTCAGAATCAGCCAATGATTTAATCTTATCAGATGGATCAAGTCAATTTGATTTCGCCAAGAAAGATTTCCTACCGCAATCTGATGATCAGTTAATTAATCAACAACCACGACAACGTAGTTTACCTCAACAATCAACTCGCTTCTCTTTTGAACAAAATGATCCATTCTTTGCCTTGGGCGAATCTTCAATGATTAACAAGATGACCACAAGTTTGACAACTGGACAGTCAGCAAATCAACAAATGATTAAAGAATCGGGCCCAGTATATACTGGATCAGATAGTAATAGTGATCAATCAAATGATAATTTTAGGCAAAACGTTGCTGATGATTCAGTTAACATGGAACCATTAACAGATTATCAAAATTCCCAGCAAATTGTAAGGCAAACACTTTCACCTTCATATTCTGGTAACATGTTACGTATGAATTTAGGTAAAGCATAAAAATATAGAATGATGATAATTTCAATTAATCTACTAATCATTTTACTACCAGAATAATGAATGAAACAAATAATAGTATAATCAATAGATCGACTATCAATTTTGATCAATAAGTTTTACCGTCATCACAATGACCACTATCATCCAATTATTAATGGGTAATTGTAACAAATGATAACAACTTAAATTGGACAAATTGTTACGGAAAAATAATATTAACAAAATAATCAACTGATTATCTTGACTCTCTCACGATTAACTTTATTATTTTTTTTTCTAGTCGATGAATTATTAACCTTTATAACGGATATTTTGTCATGATTATTTCACATACTATTAAAATGATCAACATGGTAAGATAATTAATGATGACGATGTTGATAGTGTATTTTAATTGTGATTGTAAAAAAAAGTTTTCGTTAATCAGACCAAATCAAAACCGGAAAGATGTTAACCTCACCCTGGTGAACTAATTCCATGAGAATCTGAAATTTACCGCTTTTTACCACAAGATTAACAATGATGATTCCTTATGATGATTGTGATCATTAAAATGATTTCATGATGTTCATTGTGTGGTTAATATATTTCAGTGAATCTCATGTATGCAAAGTTAATTGTAACTTTCATGAGAACCATTGGATTTGTTTTAACAGAGAGATACCAGAATATTCAATAATCAGAATTATACTTATTAGTCTTTAGAACATTTTTTTTAAATCTTCCATCATGAAGATCATGATGATTATCATGATCGTTGGGGTCACGATTTACAGAGAAAGAGTAATTTTCTTGCGTTGACAATATCATCTTGCATCTTCTTCTTCTTCCTTATTCTATTTCCTTTTCTTTTATTTTATTTCTCTCTCTTGATGTTTTCTGGTTGATTATCATCATTAAAATGATGTTGACTGTCAAATCCTATTGTTAACTGTACCTGACTGATTGTCAACAGACACAAAAGATTTTGTCTCATTCCCAATTATCATTACCTTTTCTTATGATCATGACTTTATGATGATCTAGTATTAAGGTAGTCAATTGAATCTCCATGAGAATTAGCCTTCAATTGAAGTAACAATGATTACTTTGATTTCCCTTTAACATTGAGATAATTTTCTTTATCTACTGATTATCCTAATACCTTTTACTACAATAGGAAACTTATTCATCCTCAAATAATCAGAATGAAATTAGTTACATTATCGTCGCCTGCAGCTCCTCTCTCTCTCTCTCTCTTTCTCTCTCTCTCCATCTTTTCATTGACTCTGATTACTTTCACATGTTCTCAAATGTTGATTCCTATTCAATCAGTGTTAGTCTTCAACTCCAACGAGCAAAAAAAATCAACATTTTGATCAACAAAACAATCTCATCATCAGCAACCAGTTTAACTATCAGCCCATCAACTAACAACTGATTTCTAAAATCATAATAATGATAAATCATATTTATGAATAAAAAACTGGGTGGGTGAATTACTATCATGCCATTGACCCAAGGTTTTCATTCTGATGAAAGATAATGTCCACATCTTTTGTCATTTCGATGTGACGATAGCAAAATAATGATGTTGACCACAACAAACTTCATTCTTTTGGCTCATATTTCATATTGATTATCATTTCCTATCATCATCATCATCATCTTATTGTTGATTTGGTGATATCTTCAAACGACTCATTAATTAACTTTTCACAATCAACTGTTCATTTCAATGCCAAGATTAATAGTAATCTTAAATTCTGATTCAATGGTAATCATATTAACAGTTCATCATTTTGTTTACTCACTAATCAAACTACAATTAACACAGTTAATTGTATATTTACAATTAAAAGTCAAAATAGTCATCACTTGTCAGAGAAAAATTATATTTATTATATGATGATGATGATGAGATGTAATTTGTTTGATTGTGATGATAATTTACTCTCATTTGAATGATTAAATTATCGCAATTAATGAAAAATAATAATGAAATTTTCTCACTCCCAAAGGTAATCAGTTGAATCTGAAACATGAATTTAATTTCAATTCAATTTAAATGATTATCTCTTCACTCTGACCATTGAGTAAATTAATTATTTCCATTTGATTCTCATGATGTCTCTAAATTATGTTACTTTTTTGATGAACATTAAGTTTATTTTTTTCACTCAAATTCTCAATGAACCAAATGTTCAACTTTACTAACGATTATTCTGATCACATGGTAACGGATTTCATGATGTTTCTTTCATGAATATGATGTGAAAAGATGATAACACAATCTAATTTATCCCAAATGATCATCAAGTTAATCAGAAAACCTTTTCTTTCCTCATCTTTTTTTCAGGTCATCATTTGATAAATAGTGAAGAAAAAAACAAAAAAAAAGTATTAAGATGATGTTCATGATGATGAAAATGAATCCAAAGTAAAAGGTTGAAGATAATTTGATAAATCAATAAGAAGATACTGAATGATGAACCGTTGACTTCCTTGATTCATTAGGTTAATCATTTTGATAAACAAAAGTTTATCATGATGATTGAAAAGTATCATGATTTAAGCAGTAAATTTCTGATCAATATTGAACAATCAACTGAACCTACATGATTAATTGAAAGTTAACATAGTTCTTGTTATGAGTGATGATGAAGATTATCAATGAAACCAGTTCTAATCTCCCTGTAGATACAATTGCGATTTCATGTTGATTCATTATTCACCTAATAACCATATTTACATATTCATCAGTTATGATATAATATATTTGATATATTATTGTTTTTACCGTTTGATTGGTCAGTTTGTAACTCATATCATGTGAATAAATCATCTTAATGATAATATTAAATTGAGAAAAGAAATGCAAACATTTAGACAAAAAGTTCTGACATGAATTCATATCCATTGATTCATTTTAATATCATTATCGTTACTCAATTGATACATTTATATACATAAATGATTATTGATTAATTTGATTCACTTTAAACAAAATATACTCTCACTTAACAATAATACTGATGACGATAATCATGGTAACTGAATGAAATTTGACTGATTTAATTTTCATGAATGAAATTTCATGTTAATGTAACATTAAGGTTTCCATGAAAACTAATGAATCCAATTGTTATCCTAACAATAATAAACATGATCAACACTAATTACATGATTATTGTTAACAACAATAACAATCAACTACAATTACCTATCAAAGGTAATAGATTGAGATTCAAATGATGATGATGAAAAAAAAACTTGTTTTCATCCTTAAAGATTCAATTTTTTTATCCATTCATCATGTTATCCATTCAATTCATTCATTGTTTTCATGATAACTGAAAACTTTTTTCTCTCAATCTTATCTATTAATAAGTTGATTCAATTTCACTTTGAGTAATTGATTGACTTTCAATAGTTTGGCTTTAATCCTAAATCTTGATTTGTTCACTTTCCATGATAACCATTATCATCCATGAGTATGTTTACTAAAGTGTATCAATATCATCATCTGATCATCTTATTTCATCTTCCGGTTCATTCATCAGTTTTAACACTCTCTCTCTCTCTCTCTCTCTCTCTCTCTCTCTCTCTCTCTCTCTCTCTCTCTAAATCAGATCACACGGTTAATACTAAATGATAATAGATTCATATCATTCATATGAACACGGTTCAGTTGACGATCATGTTAATCGTTATTTGTTCACACTATGAACTTTATTTTCCTTACACACCAAACTATTCATATTATATAATAATCGGAATAACTCATCTGAAGATTGCACATTTGATTAGTGTCGGTTGATATTCATTATATGTTATTAATATTTTTCCATGCTCTTTTTTATATTATTATTATCATCATGAATCTATGAACTATTCACACTGAAAATTGAAACTTTTAGGCATCCGGTTTTCTCATCATTAACTATTTACACTCTCTTTTACTGACTACTGACCTAGTTGTAAGTTCTGATTTTATATTCAAGTTACTATGGTTTCATTTGGTGAATAGAATTGAAATTTATCCCTTTATTAATATTTATCTATCTAATTTTCATCCTTTTCATGAGATTATTGTTGATGGTCCAGCAATGAATAAGGGAATTGAATTCATATTGTCTGAACCTTTATAAACATGAGTTGATGATGATTTTAATTGTGTCCAGATAATTGATAACTTTCACTTCCTACTTTTACTTTTTTTTCTATGGATTATCTCTAATTGATTAATTTAAACAATTTAAATTCTATTTCGGGTATTCCCCTTTCCTTGTTGAATCCACTTCCGCCTCTCTCACTTTATATATCCATCATGGTGTAGGTCAGTTGAACTCTCATCAGATCATCAGTGATAAGTCACATATCATTTTGACCAGTTAATCTGTTGATTTACTTGAATTATATAATCACGATGATGTTAATCCAATCACCTTACGTAATGTTGATGAAAATAGTGTTGATATTTTTACCAATAATAGTTTTACCATTACCGATAAACACATCAACAATTCCTGATTACATTTCAATTGTAAACAATTTCTCTTGGCAATCATTAATTCATTTATCATCAATCTACAATGATGAGAATATATTTTTCTCACCAATTAATGTGATTACACTTTTATCAACCTTATTAATTGGTTCTGGTGGATCAACTGCTAATCAATTACTTTCCACCCTTGACTTTGATTCGATTGAAGAAGCTCGTTCGATAATGTCCAAACTTCTTATTCCATCTCGTTTAAATCGAACTGAAAATAATCAAGATGAAATTATCCTTCGATCAGTTCATCAACTTCTTATCGAGAAAAGTTTTCGTCTTCGTTCTGAATTTCGTTCCAACTTAACCTCAATCTATTCAATCGATGTGGATGATGTTGACTTCATGAATTCCGATCAATCATCTTTACTAAAAAATATCAACTCATGGGCCTCAGAAAACACTGGTGGAACCATTAATAATCTTGTCTCTCAACCATTTGATTCACTGACCAAACTTGCTCTACTTAATGGTGTTTATTTCAAAGGTTTTTGGGTAACCCCATTTCAAGAAAATCTTACAAACAACCAACCCTGGTACAGTTCATCAGGTTTGATTGAAAAAACTTCAGTTACTTTCATGAGAACCACTGGAAACTTTGATCTAACAGAGACACCAAATTATTCAATCATTGGTATTCCATATAAGGCTAATATGATGTTAGATATTTTTCTTCCATCATCATCATCATCATCTAATGATATCAATTCACTATTCAATCTAATTGAACCTTGTTCCCTTGACAATCAACTACGAAACTCACGTAAAGTAACCATTGACTTGTCTTTACCTAAATTCAATGTCTCTGGTAAATATGATCTTAAACTATTAGCATCGTCCATGGGGATAACTGAGATATTTGGTCCTAGAGCAAATCTATCTGGTATCTCACCGGATTCATCATTATATGTTTCATCCGCATCCCAAGTATCATCTTTTCACTTGGATGAACTTGCTTCTCTGGGAACAGTAACTTCTCTGACAACCTTAGGATACAAATCAATTCCCATATCAAAGGTTCATCAATTAATCGTTAATCGTCCCTTTATCTACATGATTCGTGATGTAACCAATCAATTGATTCATTTTATTGGTAAACAAGAAAACATGTAATAACAATCAAACATCATCATCACTCTGTTGCTGTTGTTGGCAAAAACATTCATTATCCTTGATTACTTTAATAGTTTTTTTCTCATCATTCACTCTCGATTATTATTATTATTATTTTGTTTATTAATAATAACTTTACAATCAGTTTAATCAACCTTCACTATTTTTGGATGAGTTGGATTTATTTGCTTTAATTTGTGTGACTGTTTATGACATGGAAAAAATTTTTCTCCACTCAGTTCAGTAACTTCATCACTTTTTTTTTCATCATCATCATCTTTTCATTGACATTCTCTATAAGCTACAAAAGTGATGATGATGAACACGATAATGATAAACTTTCATCAACTTGAGGTCAGTTTCTTGTGAGAATCAACAAACGCGCCTCACAAAGATACTTTCAATGTCTTTCATCATCATCATCATGGTTGTCACTTTTTTTCCCCAATGAGAGTTTACACTGTTGATTGTTGATGAAGAGGGTTAATCAAAGTTTAACAATTAATGGTTAACAATTAACCTTTTGCATTAATTTTTAAGGTGTGTGAATAGTCAATCATGGTACGATTTTGGCTCATTGTTTTGTTGACTCTTCCTCATTCAATTTGAAACGACAAATTTAGTTCTGTGTAGGTGTTGATAACTTTTTCGTACTCAGATCAACAAGAATCAACACCTTGAAACATTATTGAAATAAGAGATTATTATTATATCAACCTACGGATCTATTAACTGTCATTGACATTAACCCCTTGATTTTCAACCCTTTTCAGTAAATCATGGCGATTATATATAAGCAATTAATCAGATGAATTAATGTCAAGTTGTATCACGAACCTTTAATTGTGAATTCAATGTACATGAAATTGATGTTCAATTGTTTGAACTGATTTAATTTGACCATTTTTCTTTTGAAAAAATCAACAATCAGTCTGTTGATTTGTAATTAAATGTTAAACTGTAAATATTATTTCATTTAATTAATTATTTCCCTTGTGTTTATTTAACTCAATGCAAATTGATGCAATTAATTATCTAATTAGTTTAATATCCATGTGGAAACCCTTAATCAAGACTATCCCACTTATCCATTTTAACTTATACTCTTCTCATATTAATCATTTTTATCCTCATCTTTTTATCCCAATCCTTAGGGTAAACCATTTCTCAGCATTATGCAAATTAGTTATGAATTTAGCACGAGCTTTATAAATGCAATTGTTCAATAAACACTGATCATTTGTAATCATCCCTCCCATTGAACCTTGAAAGCAATTAGATTGTTTCAATTGTTGTACATCAACAATTCAAACTAAGCTCATTGTTCAATTAGATTTGTATTACAATTTTCAGAAACTCTCTCTCTCTCTCAATCTATGTGAGGATTTGATTCAGAGTTGTCCTTAATCTTCTCGATGTGTCCACTATCCAAGTAAAGGTCATCTCGAAATGGATTCATTGTTTTTTGCTTATTCTTAATGAGATCATCTCATATCTACAAGATTAATTCACTTTCTAATAATCACTTTTACTGCTTCTTTTCAAATACAGTAAGTTTATATTTACATTCAATTGAAAAAATGAAAGTTTAAAACTTTTGTTTGGTCAGTTTGAAGATTATACTGGTCATTTGTATTTGAAATGAAAAAATCTTCTATTTTTTTCATCCTCATTTCAACGTTTCACTGACCATTATCATCATTACAATAAAAGTGAATGAAAAAAAAACGAGCCTGATAATCATTATCCTGTAATTGTCTCAATTTTCATTGAGCGTTTGTCTTTTTATCATTGTAAAGTTGATGAAGCTAAAAAAAGTGAAATTGTTGTTGTTAACTGACCATGATGATGATTATGTTTTGACCATACTCATTATCATCATTTGATTATAACAATGTCACTTAATTATGACCATCTCATTCACACTCACCCATTCAAATGATTAGCTACTGTTTATCATCATCATCTCACATTGTATTGTAATTTACCGTATTAACTTGATTGTAATAATTATTATTAATATAATATTAACTCTCACCATTAACATCAACAATTTAATCATTTTTTTTACAACACTGAACTCATTGTATTGTAACTTGAATAGGCTGAGTTATTTTCTTGAAACAAGATATTCTGATATTTGAAAGTGATGATGAAATTGCATCTCTGATTATTTGAATATTTAAAGTTAACAATTCAATGGTCACCTTAACTGTCTGAATACAATGGATTTTAACAAAGTTATAATAAATTAACACAATTAACTGATGCTGACAATCAAATTGAAACCATAAACAAAACCATCAACAAAATAGCTTTACAGTTAACATCAATCAAAAGGGACATGCAAACAATTTAACAATTGCAATGCGATTTTAGCATCTTTCTGGTCCTTATCTTCATCATCTTCATCTTCATCATCAAATTGATTAAAGTCTTTCCTGTCTCTCTCTCTCTGCTTATTCAGCTGATAATCTTTTATCATCTTCACGCATCTTCCCCTCGTTATAATTGTGATAATATGTTCAGGAAACGATAATCTATTGTGTCAATCGTTTACCTTTATCATTCAATATAATTTGACTCTAATCCATTGTCAACACATGATAATAATGTTACATTATTGTTGTTGTTTACAGGGTGATTTCTACTCTCCCTGTAGTAAAAAATAGGTGTTAACCAATTGTGTGACCTACAATAGACATTGCAATTAAATCTTCCCTTCCCTTAAAAATTGACATTTAACTGATTTCCGTTGATTGTAATACTAACAGTTAACACTATGTTACTATTTTACTATTAATTGTTGCACTTTTTACCATTTTCAATCTGCTACAAGTATTTAATTTACACCCATCAATAGTTAGTTAATTGTTATTGTGTTTATAACTGACCTACTAAAATGACATTGTAATTGCTTATTATAAATTTACCTTTTATTTTGATTGTAATCAGTTAATTTTGTTACTTTACCAACTAATCATTTGATTATCATTTGATTATATTGAGAAATAGAAAGTAAATTTAACTTTTTTTTTCGGGTAAAAAGTTAACTGACCACAACAAACAATGTCCATTATTTTGTTGAGTCACTTTTAGTGTGTTTATTTAATTGTAATAGTAAAAAATATATTAACAATCACCATCATCATCATCGGATGATGATGATTTCAAATGTAATCGGGATGATGATGATTATCATCAATTATTTGATTGTAAGGAAAAAAGTTGATTATTTATCTTGACCAGTTTTTATAATACAATTTGATTGATTTTTCACTTACTCTCTAAATTAAACAATTTAAACAGGAAAAAAATTATCCTGATTATCAGTTTCATCATCTCCTTGTCATATGGCTTTGAATCCAACTCAAGTACGATGATACTTTCGTATAGATACCAGGGTAACCCGGTCGAGCGCATCCGTTTCCGTTTGATACAATGCCCACTAGAAAGGCTCGTTTCTCCTTCTCATCTGGTTTCATTTTCGCAAATTTTACCAAAGGTCCACCCGAATCTCCCTAATTGACCCCGTAAACAAAAGCAAAGCACATTCTAAGTATTAGTTAGTCGTGATACTACATAAATGGTTCTGTTTCATTGTTTACTCGAAAAGGCTTTTGACCTCAATGTCCTTACCTTTTCCGGTGTAAACAATGAATCAATCATGAATTTAAAGCTACTAATGTTTATCATTAAACATTTTTAATCGATATTAGTACTGTTACTATTACCTGACACGTATCTCGTCCCCCAGTAATAAAACCCGCGCAAATTTGGGTATTGGCCTTATAATGAGGATAAGCGTCTGTACATATATTTGATCGTAGCCAAGACAATTGAACCCATTTCATTTTATCAGATTTACTCCCACCCTCTCTGATAGCTCCCCATCCGGATGCTACTAGGGTACCACTGAACTCTTGATCCTGATCAGGTAAACAAACCGGACAAATTGCTCCATTACCATTTCGAGCTCCATTGGTAAATTTAATTGGTTCTGATAATTCAGCTAATCCAATATCGTTTTTCATTGAGTTTGAACTGTAACCAGGATGAACAATTATCCGAGTTACTGGATAAGTAACTCCACTATACCAAAACAAACCACCAACTTTAACTGCACGTTTACCTGGAATCCTTAAAATAATAATGATAATGAAATAAGATTAATATTTAATGATTAACATTCATGATTAACTTTTCTTCTGATGAAATGCTAACGATAGTCAATATTTTCTTAATGAATAAGATAATCTCTAAGCCCTGACTGTTGCCGTTGAAATTGAAATGAGTTATTATTGACCATCGAAAAAGGTCAATAAGCAGCATGATTCTGACATGAACAAAAGCTTCTGGATAATGTCATTTTCTATTAATGGATTTAATCATCATCTTAATGATCATGATGATTAAGAAGCATGAAGATGAAAAAAAAAATCAGAATCGCGATTACGATAAGTTAATCAACTAACACTAAACAATGAGCCGCAGTTAATACATATCGATCATTGATTATTGTCGCTCCACAATGTTGCCTTCCATTGAGTGTTAATGAACATTGCCAGCAGAAATCACCGGGAACGGCAAACGAACCACCGACAATGGCCGCTAAATGTTGCTGACCATTAATTTCATGTGCATTATTTATTTCAATTTCCATTTCCGGATCACTATCACGAGCCCAATCAACCATTGAACTATTAAGTTGATTAGTTGTGACACTATTAACTGTTGATTGTGTTGTTGTTGTTGTTGTTGTTGATATTGTTTCTCGTGCTGTACGTCGATTGGCTTTGGCACGAGCACTTTGTCGTAATCCACACTCCATTAAGCCTTCTGTTTAAACCACAATTAAAATCCCAATCATCGTCAACAACAATTAGATAACAATGATTACAAAAATAGAGGAGAAAAGGTTTAAAATTAAATTGTTACAACATCTTGGAAACTTGGTGATATAAAAAAAATCATCAACAATCAACATTTTCAATTTACCTGAATCAAAAGGTATCCTTGTGATGATGATTAACATGATGATCACTTTGTTCATAGTTAACTATTTAGTTGATTAACTATCGTTACTATTGATCATTAAATTGTCGTAAATTAATAATAAAATCATCATTATCATCAGATAAATGATAATGATTACTACTGATTGGAGACATGAAATTGGATTGAAAGTGAGATGATGATGAAGATAAGTCAATAATAATGATACTATTATTTTGTAATAATATGATGATGATGAAGATAATCAAAAGGACATTATTATTATCATCATCATCATCATCATCATTCCTGTTAATCTGATTGAGAATGAAAATTTTCAATTGTATCTGTTCATTGATTTACTTTGTACTGTTGATTGTGAGTGTGTCTCTCTTGATTGTTATCATTAAATTGTTGATTAAATGGCCTTCGATATTTACTATTAAATGGTTTACCCTTTTGTTTAATTATTGGTTCAGGTGTAATCACAATTTAGCGATGGTACTATTATAGTTTTTACAATTAATCAACTTCACTAATCATTATCTTGATCACAATCTGATATTGTATTAGTTTAGTTAATTAATTGTAATGTTGTAAACATTAAGATTAGTTATTAGTTTGTGATTTGTTTGTTATTAACAATTTAATGTTTACTTATTACTTTTTTTCTCATATTATTTCAATTACGATTAACTAAATTGTTATCTAATTAAATTGAGGATTTGATAGTAAAAATCAATTGATCAGATTGTTGGATTTAAATTACCTCACGATTTGTTAATTTAATTGTTAGGTAACATCCAATGGGAACTTTAAATTGACCTCAACATTGAATTTTTAGTTGATTTAAATTATTAATCAGTAAAGGGAAATTAAGTTAATTGTAATTAACTGATTAACGTAATTGTAACTGTAATTGTCATTGGATAAAGTGACAATTATATTAAATGATATATTCATAATATTAATCATTTTCAATCAATTTTGATTATTATTATTGTTATAATTTAATGATGTAGATTAACCTACATCTAAATTAACGTAATGATTAAGATGAAAAAATAAACAATCAACAATCAAATTAATCATCATATTTGTTATTATTATTGTAATAATTTTGAGTGAAAAAAAAGAGGACATAAGTTGATTGAATTAAATTTCTTAAGACAAGTTAATTAGCTTAATTGTGAATGAATTGAACGTTTCCTTAATCCAGTGTAAGTTTAATTGTTGATGAATAAGTTTAATCTTTGGGCTGGATGGTTAACTTTGATTATGATTTATTTACAGTAAATAACCTTGATCATCCTTTAATTATCTCGATGAAAATGTTCACGTTGTTGGGTTAACCCATCTTAATTGTCTTAACGTTGAAATTAAATTTAATTGTGATAGGATATTAAATCCAGGTTAAAGATAATCTCAACTGATTAGTTGTAACATGTTCAACTGATTGAGCATCTTGATTACAATTAAACACGTTTACCAAATTCAACGATCAAGTTAATCATTAAAGTTACATTAATCATAACCCAGAGACATAATCATTTGAAACTTGAATCAATCATTTAAATAATTAGTTAATTTCTTTTGCCTTAATTAACCTGTTACAATTGAATGTTGTGTCAAACAGCTGATTGTTGTTATTACAATTAAAACATTCAACTAAGTTTAAATATTATCAATAATTTTGAAATTTAAATCAATTATAAATTTTTATTATCAAAATGACGGTTTCATGAATTGGTTACAATTGATTATCATGATCAACTAACAAGCTACTTGATTGTTGATCATGATTAGCAATCATCTTGATCAATGATCATATCGTATCTCCTTTCACCTTGATAATCATAAATATTTACCTTTGATGATCATGTTAATCATGACGATCAGCTTTTAACCAACACGCAAGAATTGAGTATTTATTTTCATGCAGATTGTTGATTCATTTGAAATGATTAATAAGAGATAACAACCAACAAGTACACAGAAAAAAAAAACAGTATCTTCATGAAAATTATGATGATAATGAAGATAATTTCAAGATATTGGTTGGCTGAGCATGCAGAACTTGTCATCATCATCATCATGAAGAATCCTCCTGAGTTGATCATTTATATGCTTCTCATTGAGAATCCATATGATTCAATCTTACCTGAACTTATTTTCACCTCAATTTTGTTAACAATTATGTTGTTGTTTTTTTCATTAGGACAAAATGATCATCTTCATCATCAGGTAACATGATTATCATCATGAAAGAAACATTTAAATTTATTGTTATCTACCAGTCTCTCTCTCTCTATCATCATGAAAGTCATTTTTTGATTGTTGTTTCCTAACCATCAGCATGTTAACTAGATCGTCTCAATGTTTCTCTATATAATTATGTTTAAATTTCTGTTAACAATTAACTTGTTGATCACAGTAAATGGCAACATAAATATCCTGTCAACTGTTAACAAACAGAATTAACTTAAATATATTTACAATAATTAAAGATTTCAAGTTAATCATCAACATTTAGTTAAAGGGTTAAGACTGTAATTGAATATTTTTCAAGGTAATTTAATCTTGCCCAAGGTTGGAAACTTTTATCTTGTTAATTGTAACATTATCATTGCTCTTGATTGTCAAATTTAATAATTTAAATTTCATTTATTAGCCCAAACAATTGAAAGTTTTACTTGTTTGTCAATATCCTTTTGTTTTCACAATTAGTTAATTGTGATACTTGTATTAGACTCACGTAAGTTAATCATTGACAGCCTTGGATTTAATTATTGTAAATTGTTGATGAATTAATTTGTTTTCATTTTGATCACAATGATTTACTTTTATTTATGTAACTAAGTCACTAGTTATCATTAATTGTAATTGATATAACTGAGTAATCATTTAATTTAATTTTGTTTCAATTGAAGTTGATGATGATTATTATTTGTTTGAACATTTTTACAACTAATTGAATTAAATTTAATTATTCACAATTTACACTATACTTGACAATCGTAATCAATTATGTTGTATTTTCCTTTGTTACCTTGACATGATTAAGTTTATTCAATTTTTGTTGAATTCTGATTATCTGAATGATGAATAACAAAAAAAAATTGAATCAATTTAAAGTTTTAAATGGTTAATTCAATTGTGAAATTAATTCACTAACCAAAATTATCATCAATAATTTTATCCTTGAGATTAATCAATTGTTGTAACCAATTGATTTTCTTGCAATTAAATTATCATGCAAATTGTTGATTGAAAAAAAAATCAAATTATTCTTGAGATTTTGAGAATTATTGAAATTATTAGAAAATCGATTCACCTTGAAAACTTTGGGATTTTGTTTCCAAATCAATTGTAATTGTAAAAAAAAACTAATCTCTTTCATCTAATCCATTGATTAACTTAATTTAGGTATCGGCATAGTATTGGTAGTAATTAGTGGCCTCACATGGAAAGCAATCAACACGGGATCTGAATGGAGAAGCCTCTTTGGCCTGGATGAGATTCCAGGTATCGTTGGTACATCGGGAAGCTCATTGGAATCAACTGGTCGACGATTCTTACCCCGTGTACCCGATCCCCATGGACGTTCAGGTGCTCACCATCATCCCTACGGGGCCATGTTTTACCCTGAATTTCAATACCGTCCACCGCCGCCATCATACCAAGCATCCATGCAAGAATATCGCCTCAGGCTACTTCTCCTGGAAAGATCATCTTCTCACACACAACCTACCTCCCTCTCACCAGTCTCACCTCCGCCTACTTACCGAAGCTCAGCGGCCTCAAGTCTTGCTGGTAAGTATCATTATCCATCCAAATAAACAAATTCTAATCTAATTGTGATGATGATGCGCCGTAAATTTAGTTCAAATCATATAAGTTGATTGCAACTTTTTTCTCACAATCAATAGAAGAAGATTAAACAATCTTGAACAATTAATTTGAGTAACAAAATGATTTACAATTTGATTCTGTTGATGTCTTAATACAAAATGTATAATGATGATTTGTAATTCAAAGATAATATTGACCTATTGACCATCACTAACCTCTCTCTCTCTCTCTCCTCTCACTGATTTAGTATTTTTTTTTATAATTATCATGATTATATCGATAAAGAAAATCATTGTCATCGTAATTATCGTTATCATAATGATTAGTATTTAACATGAAAAAATTATCATTACCCATCAATTGACCTGTTTCGGTACATTGACATTCACAATACATAATGATGATGGTTTTTGTTTCTCATTAATCTTGATTTTCAAGTATCTCTGCAGTTGATTAAAAGATTTGATTGACTTGCTTAAAGGTAGATCATCATCATCATCTTGTAAACCTTTCATTTACCAGCTGATCCTCAGAGGATAACAGATTAACTTTGAAAATGTTTTAAATTGCAACGAAACTAATTATCAGGATGATGATGGTTGAAAGCGATGATTAAAAGCACGCAAATTAACAGTTTAGAGGCGAAAAGAAGATGAAGTTTGATAATGATGATGAAAAAGAAAAGAAAGAAATAAGAGAAGTTATCATCATCTTCTTCTTATCATCATCATGTAATATTAGAGATTCATTGGGATGAATAGAAAGTAATCCAATCCTGATGGAAAGAAAACTTTTTTCTCTTTTTTCAGTTGACAGAATTTCTCAGATGAAAAACAGAATATTTGAAATCTAGAAGTCTTGATGATCTTGTAGACGAAGAGGGAAAAAAAGATCTACTTGAACTCAGTGGAGTTTAACTAAGACTGTTGTTGACTGTGAGAGAGATGAAGATGTTGATCAACAAACACCAACCAGACAGTATAATGATTATCAACAATATCAACATCTCAGTTAACATCATTGACTCTCTGCAGTAAATTTGCCGCATCACTTATTATCCTCTCACCAGTATTATAAGTCATCATTATTATTACATTTTCCTCTTATCATCATCATCATCATCATCATCTGCTATCATAGACCTAAATTTGCAAACAAAAGACCCAAAAATAAGAGATGGAGAGACTAAGCTCTTTCTGTTATCATATTAAATGATGATTAAGGTGATAATTTTGTGGTTCCTCGTTGAATGAGGTTAACCAAGCAAATCCATGAGCTAACAAAGCAATAGAATTGAATTATGAGATGTAATAGTCAACAAATATACAGATTAAGGATCCTAATTGTTTATGTTTATTATTTTTCTCTGAGTATTAATGATAATCATCATCTCATTATTTAAATCCTTGTGTTTATAGCAAACATTAGATAATCTGGATTTCTAATTTTCTTTTATTTATTTATTTTCTTTTTCTCTCTCAATAGGAACCTTGAATCGACCGGGAGGTAACACACTTACACGACCCATAAGTCGACCTCCAAGTTATCGATCTATTATTGACCAAAATTCTGTGAATAATAATAACAATAGTTCATTAAGTGGACAATTAAACAGCAGCGGAAATAATAACAATAATTCACTTGGACATCCAATATACTCATCATCTCGTCTTATCACCACCACAACCTCAACCAATGCTAGTCAACAATCCCAAGAACCTATTACAAGTACCGGTGGTTTAAACAGCACAATCCCAACCACCAATTCCACCACTAACACAACAACAACCTCCAATTATAAGGATGATGTAAATAGGATAACAATTCACCAAACAAATACAACATCAACCGTTTGTACACCAAATGGAATCAATATCGTGGCCATAACACCGATGACCAATGAATCAAATGATGAGACTACAGATCGTAACAATACAATTAACGCTAACATGTTATCTAATACAAATTCATCGTCGACAACATCACTTTCCGCTGTTACTTTGACCTCAAATAGTGAGAATTTATTGACACCAGCCTTTAATAGTGGACCTAACCCTTCGATCTCAACTTCGGGCAATTCGGAGGTTCAAATACTTGCTCATGTTTGACCCAAATTCGTGGAAAGACCAATATTTTGCATGGAAGATGATCTACCCTAGAAAATGAATTTTTTTTTGTTCCTCTCTCTCTCTCACTCTTTCTGTCTCTTTCTCTCTATTTTTTGTAATAATTAATTGTCCAATGTACATTATTGATTAAGTGCTGATGAAATTAGTTTTTTTTACTCTCAATCGATTGACAATCAAGCTTGTAATTGTTTCTATTTAACTGACCCTAACTTGATTGTAATTGACCTCCAAAAGGATTGACCAACACGATTAATGGATTACATTTATATTTATAATGTTAATGTTAATCTCGAAATATCGAAACTCAAACGGATTCGAAAATATCACTTTGGACCATTTAAAGAATTGAGCCAAAGGAGGCGAGAATTTCAAATGGAATCAAATTTTCTCTAAACACATGTATTATTATATAGATTTTTCGAATAGATTTCGAAAGTAATTCGTCAATCCAACCGAAAGGAAATAAGTTCTCTTTTCGGTTAGATTTTCAGTTCACTTTCCGTGCCAATCTCATGGAAGCTTTGATGGCGATCAATTGGAATTCGATATTTAAGAGACTCTATCAATGCTCATTATCGAATTCTTTCCCACTATCTAAAGTTTTCGTAGAAAAAAAAGTTCTGAAATGTTCCAAACAGACTAAGATTGACATGGAAACACTTTCGAGTCCAAGAATCGTCTTAGCGATTCAACAAGCGGCTCAATTTAATATGAGCTTTTTGTTTTGGGAAATTAACATATTGTCAATTTGAGATTAATAAAATAACTGTTAATTTAAAATTCGTAGGAATCAATTTCATTTAATATACAAATTGTGGCGATATTTTCAGTTCTGATAAAAGTGATTTCAACCAACGACTATACAAATGGCAAAATAGTCAAACAATTGCTTGTAATTATCTATTAGTTTGATGAACATGAAAATGGGTTGAAAATTTGCTGGTTAATTGTGACGATTAACTGCTAATTGTAGTTAATTCTGGAGATCTTGATGGTGTTGTGAGCACTGAAGTGACTTTAATAACCACCATTAGTAGCTGATTGGGTTGCGTTGATTGCCCAGTCTCGAAGTGTTTCCATTGATTCATAACCTAATTTATTAGAAACGGTAAAAGCAAAGATAAGTGCCAATCGATTTCCCCAAAAAAGTTCAGTAACTTCATGAGGATTCTCAAAGCCTGAAGTCCAAGCGGCAAAACGACCTATTTTAGGCTCAATTAGAACTGGTGAGAAAGGTTCAGGTCCAGGTCCATTCAAGAATTCAGTGTGTCCACCGCCAAAGTCAAGATTAGCCGTTGAAAGCCACAAGATGGAGGTAACAATCAAGGCCGGTGAACGGACCTTATCAACGTGTCGAAACTCATTATGTTTGACCAAAGGTCGATATCGAGTGAATTGTGAAACCGTATTGAAAAACAATCGGTTAGTTGGAAGGCCAAAAGCCGTCGAAACAGCTTCCTAATCACAAAGAAAAAAAGAGAAAACAATTAGCATGAGAATTTGATTGAATCTTAATTTAGTTTTCTTCCAAACAATCAATTTACCCTCGCGGCTATTGAAGCATTTCGAATAAGGTCAAATTCCGAATTTTTTAGGACTTTTCTGGTCGCATTTCGTTTGTACAGATTGTGAAGGTTAATCCATTGGAGATTAATTGATTCTCGATTAGCGTAACTTGTATCGCCGACTTTGTCGATTAACTTGGTTGCCAGTGCTCTTAATTTGAGAACTTGATCTTCCGGAAGAAGAGCATCAGTCAACATGACCCCACATTGTTCCGGAAGTACATTCAATCGCTTCTCTCTCCAATAAGCCTTTTCGTAACAAGGAGCCTCATGGATGCTGTTAATGAAAAGAGAGAGAAACAATTAAACCAAAATTAGGCAACAATCAAATGAGAGAAAAGCTTTTGATAATCATTGAGTTGATAGAGAGACAATGATCAAGTTAATTGTTTTAATTTTAATTCACTTCCATTGAATTATTAATAGAATTGAGTATTTTTAACTCAGTACAGTTTTGATTGTAGTTATTAAACAATTAGATTAACTTGTTGTTTTCTAGAGTGAAAATGATTAGTAAAATTATTGATAATTTGGTTTCAACTTAATCACGAAGAATATGATTAAACAGCAATTTGAATTGTTTCCACCATGAAAAGAACTAGTTGATTGTTGCTAATCAAAAAAATCATCTCTGTGGACAAAAGTGAAGAGAAAATAATAAATTCGAAAAAAAATGATAACATTAGAACAAAAGAAAATTGAAAGTTCGAGAAACTTTTAAGTTCTAATTTCTAATTCTATTAATAATTAAGAGGAAAACTAATCAGGGAAAAGAGAGAAATGAAGAGAAACAAGTTAAAGGATAGATTCTAATCTAATATGATTATCAAATTAACTAATCAGATGAAAGAAATCAACAATTAACGTTACCTGATTTCGTCGATCTGTTGTTCAGAAGTCGCCAGGTAATTCCTGTATTCCAGATCATCTCCGGCCGATAATCTTTCGAGTTCATCTTCACTGAATACCCATTGTTCCCATGGGACAACATAAAACAAGGTGACCAGCAGTCCACTGACCGCACAAATGGACAGCACATTGGTGATTAGTGTTACGATTGAAGTCGGTGAACCAACGGACTTAAGATTCGTCGATTTTTCATTTTCAACGGATTTAGATTTTTCTATTGGTGAGGTTACAGTTGATTTGGATTTAGTAGTTGACTTTTTACCGGTCACTGTTTTATTCCGACGATTGACTAGGGCAGTATCGAACAATTTATACCAATAATCGTAATTAACCATGGTGATAATCACGATTATTAACACTGGTTTGAAACAAAGAGTAAATTTGGGTAAAAAACGATTGGAATGAAGAAGAAATTAGAAAATTATGATTTGTTTTCTTCTCGAATCATGAGAGGAAGAAAATGGAATGAGAGCTAAGAATAACGAGAGATGTGAACGGAGAAATTGGGACATTAAAAGGTTGGAAATTAAGGTAAAGAATAAAGAGAGAAAGGAGGAGGAAGAAGAAGAAGAAGAAGATAAAAAGATGATGATGATGGAAAAAGAAAACAGAAAGATGATAATAATAATGATCGAATTAGTAACTGGTGTTTGAACCCGAATCTTTGAGGTTACTTTTAGAACGTAAAAGTTGCTCGTGAAGTTGAAAATCTTTTTTTACAGTTAGTTTTTCAAATTCGAAAACAGGTAAGTGAAGAGAGAAATAGAAAGAGAGAGAGAGAGAGAGAGAGAGAGAAAGTCCATTTCATCGTCTTTCTTTATTTCTTTCGTCTGGTCGATACTTTTACTCCCGTTTAAGTGACCTCACAATTCAGGTTTTCGAAGTTGTTTACATTCACCCTTAACATTGGAACCGGATGATGATGAAGATAATTTACCTTTTCTATTTGACATCAATTGGAGATGAAGCTAAATCAGGTAACAATTTAAATGATGATGATGTTGATTAGTTCACTTTCGCTACAATACAACAATTTAGGTTAAAAATTAAGACTCGACTTCATTTGATTCTTCGGGCTTTTCACTTTTCCTTCATTGGAAATCTCAATTGTGGGTCAATTCAATAGTTATAATTAACTTTTTTTTCTTCATCTTCATCTATCTTGTTTGATTCAATTCACAACTCAATTGTAAACATTTTCTTTAATTGTTACATTTTCACCTTAAAATCAATTCGATAACAATTAACCGTAGATTTTATTGTAAAAAGAAACAATCAAATCTCGTCCAATGTGATTTAGATTTACAGTAGTTTGTAGTTTAATGAACTCGAAAAGTTTTCAAACTGAGTAGAAAAATTTCTCTTTCTGTCTGATCACCAAATCTGTACCTTAATTGTGCCTTAATTCAATGATTCTCCATTCATTGATCTGATTCAAAGAATTTTGCTCCAGATAGAATCGTATATCGAACCATGGGAAAAGGAAACGGAAGTTGGTTAGTTTTTTCATTTCGAATATCTCGTTTTGAAAATCATCGATTTGAAACTTGATCAACAATGAGAATCATCGAAATTCTGATTTGGATCCAATCAGCAAGTTCTAAATTTGATTGTTGGATCAAAAGAGAAACTTTTTAATTGTTCAATCGATCAATAAAATTATCTCTAAATCAATTCGTTAATCGTTTGCAATTTAAAACAAGTATTAACAATACGATTGTGATTTTTTGATCTATTTCCATGTCTTGGTTGTAAACTTACCTTAAGTTTGATAACCTTAATTGTCCTAAAATTTACGTACACTAATTAAATTTGATCGACAAATTTTTCTCACTAATTGGTATTAATAAAAATATGAATCAAACTCTTGTGATTATATCTAGTGAAATAAATGAATCAAACTAATTAGTCTGCAAATCGTTTTCTAAATTGACCACAACTAAAATGATAACAATTTATTTCAATGATTGAGTTGATCAAATTGTTCCGATTTTGGTTAACATCAAGTTCAAGAGATGTCACTAAATGAACTGAATTAAAATGAACTAAAAGTTTTTTGATTAACTTGTTTTCATATGTTTAGTTGATTAAAGTTTATCAACAATACAACATTCAGATAACTGATTAATTGTAACACAATTACGATGCAATCACAGTTACATTAACAATTTATATCAATATCATTGTAGAAATAAAATTTAGTCAATCGTAATGATAACATTATTATCATATAGAATTAGATGAGAAAGTTAATTGTGACAATTAATAAGATTAAGTTCACCTATTGTGTTAATTTCGGTGTTCAAATTAGTAAATTAGAAATGCATTAATTTTATTGGAAAGAAATGATTTAATCTTGATTTCTTGCACCTTGATGATGATTTAATCTAATTATTGCAAGAAAAAGCGGAATTAAGAATGAGATTGATGCTCTTGTTGAATTGAAAGCTGATTGAACTTAGAAATGAGGATCAGGGTTACCGGACTTGGAATATCATCTTAATCACAAGATCATCCCTCTCTCTTACTCTCTTTCTCTCATCATCATCATCATCATCATCATCATCTGGTGAGTTTGCTGAGAGAAGGAGAGAGAAAAATATTATCATTTTAAGTCAAAATTCTGAATCCTTGATGACAAGTTCATCTTAATGTGAGTATTTCATTCACGTTCCAGAAGGACCGGTCTTAGTAATCAAGATTAATTCTGTTAGATCGTTCACATCGATCATCATCTTCATCATCATTTTATCTTCATCTGATTTCTTGTTCTTGTTTCAATTAGAATGATAATCGATTGAGAGCAAATAGTTTTGTTGTTGTAGAAAATGATTGAAGAGAAAACCTCTGAACTTCCTGTCAAATTTTCCTCAACTTCAATCAAAAAAAAGTTCTGAACACTGATCATAATTGTCAGTTCGAGATGAGTTTCTGATTTCACTGATTATTGAAAATACAATCAGCTGATTTCTAATCAAGATCAATGGACAAATTTACAAGAAATGAAAACTTTTCTCTTTCTCTCCTTGAAGAAAGTTCAGAATATTTCAGGTTCCATATAGATTGTTATCTAATAATATCAAAGGAATTAACCCTGTGTGACTAATCAAACTAATCAGCAATTAAAATCTCACAGGAGAACTGAGAATTGAAATTCTTGCCATTCAGAGGTACATTCAACCCAAGGTGATCATTAACCATCCTCATCTTTATCATCATTCAGTATCTTCCTTGCTCTTGTTTTACCTCATCCGCATCATCTTTTATAAATCAACCTGATGATGATGATGAGGATGAAGATGAGAGATGATGAGAGATGATGATGATCAACAGGAGCAATTTATTGATAAAAAGGCAGAGTCCACATGGAGTAAACCGGATAAGATGTGATTCGGTTTTTTGATTGCGTAAAAAAAATCAAATTAAATTAACAATTTAGACCCTACAAAGTGGTTAGAGTTGCCGATAAATAATTCCCGTAATTTAAGTGGTCACAATCAACTTCACAAATGATCACAATCATCAACATTTACGTGTTTACAATTTACTGTGATCGATCTTGGATTGAAATTGGTTGATCCCAATCCCTTTAATCAACAATATTAAACTGCTACTTTAAATTGTCCATCTAAATTAATCTAATCCTTTAATCCCATAAACAAATCCCAATTGTTTTCATTAGACAAAAACAAAACTTTTTCATCTCATTTTGTTTGTTTGTGTGTTAACCCAGGATTAACTGGATTAATCGTCTTAATCAACCAAATTACAGCTTTAAATCAACACTTAGCAACAAATTAAAATCTTATCATTAACTAATTAAACAACAACAAAACTTTTCATTGAATTATGGAACCCGGAAAAAAGTTACTAACCATAATATGGTTTAATTTAATTGTTTACCTTAACCTTAATTGTTTGGCAGAAAGTGATGTTAATAGGACATTAATGACAACTCAATCAACACCAATAACAGTAAATGATGATTTATCTACATCAACACCACCTTCAATCACCACAACCGCCTCTTCATCAACCTTTTCATCCTCATCACAATCAACATCTTCAACCTCCACATCAACACCAATCCCAACAACAATCAAATCAACAACAACACCACCATTACCATCAACACAATCATCTGAACCTCGAGGTATGATATTCAGATTTACCTTTGTTAATTTGTTGATCGTTGATCTTAATTTATGATTATTCATTTTCCTTTTCATTTGTGATCACAATTAACTCAAAAGCTCAACAAGCCTGTGGATATAATCAATATCGTAATGATAGTCCATTAACGGAACGTATCGTTGGTGGTAATAACTCAATTATCGGAGAATGGCCTTGGCAGGTAAGATTTATCATTATTCTAAGTTAATTGTTGAGAGAAATAATTAATTTAACTTTTTTTTCTCTCTAATTACAAAGGTATCACTTCGGCTGATCCATCCTCAAGTCGGTAAGATTGGCCATTGGTGCGGTGGGGTTTTAATTGATCGACAGTGGGTTATGACCGCAGCTCATTGTATGTTAAAGTAAGTGATTGTCAAAGAGACATTTTCACCATTGGAACAATCAACTAATTGTTATACTCTTTGTGTTTTCAGCCCCGTGTTTGCTTTACCTCAACCCATTTTCTGGGAAGTTCGTGTTGGTGAACATAATATGAAATTAACTGAAACTCATGAGAAAACTTATTCAGTAACTAAGCTTTTCCATTATCCATGGTACCGTGGATACGATAATGATATCGCCCTCATGAAATTAAGCGAACCCGTTGAAACAAATGAACATGTTTCGCCGATATGTTTACCTGAAGATCCACATTTTGACTTTTATAACGTTGAATGTGTTGCTACTGGTTGGGGAAAAGTTGATTACAGTTGAGTGATTAAAATTGATCAATCGATTGGGGAACAGATTATCTAATCCTGTTTATCCTTTTTTTTTCCTGGAAATTTAGATAAACGAGCCGCTGATGTATTACAGAAAGTGGAGATTAAGGTGTTCGACAATGAAGAATGTCAAAAAGCGTATTTTCCAAAATTCAAAATCTCAATTCGACATTGGCATCTATGCGCTGGAACCAAGGAAGGCGGAAAAGGAACTTGTCATGTAAGTCTTTCGAGCGTCCAATGATCTGTCAATCATGACTAATTAACTCTTATTAATTGTGTTCAGGGCGATTCTGGTGGACCACTTCAATGTAAAGTCGGCAATCAATGGCATCTCGCTGGAATCACTTCCTTTGGATCGGGTTGTGCTAAGCCAGGATTCCCCGATGTTTATACTCGAGTTACTCATTTCCTTGAATGGATCAATCAAATCAAGACACTTTACTAAAGAGACAATTAACTCTCAACTTAATTCTTTACCTCTTCTTAATCACGACTATTAATTTATTTCCAATTTTCTCTTTTATCTTTTTCTTGTGATTAAAAAACCTTTTTTTCTTCAATAAAAAAATCGACCTTAATTCTCAAAAACTAAATTAGTGAATTAATTAAATTTATCTCTATTAGAATCATGAACCAGTTTGATAATCAGCAAGTTAATCAATTGATTATTGAAAGAAAAATAATCAACTGATTTGAAGATGGCGGTGAGTTAATTGTTCCCCGATTAAGAAGCTGCGCTGATTTGATTTTTCTGCGAAAACTTTTCTCGTCTTAAATTTAAAATCTCTTTCAAATTCAAAAGAGTCTCCAATGTGATTTGATCCAATTAATCACCGTTAATCTTAATTGTTTACTGTTGATTTTTCTCCTCTTTTTAATCACCATGAGTTTTAATCCTTTTATTCCTTCTTTACATGGAAATCCCAATTTCAATCCAGTTAAAGTGGGGAAAAAAGTACCTGATGAATCGAAGGTAACAAAATTGGAAAACAAGGTGATAAGATCAACGTCCAAATCTCTTCTGATGTCCAACTCTCGTTATCCACGGAAAGGGTTACAATCAGCTCAGAATGATGGGAAAGTGTCAATTCAAAGTGTCGAGGAAGATAAAGGAAAAGAAAAAGAGAAAGATAAAGATAAAGATAAAGATGAAGGTGAAGATGAAAATGATGAAGTTTCGCTTAAAGATCTCGCTTTTGCCCGATTCAAACAGAATCATAAGTTAATCAATGAGATTTTTAGTGACACTGTAGTTCCTGATTTACGATCGGTTGTAACAACGGGAAAGATGACAACTTTAAAGAATCACGTGCAAGTTTTGATCAACCATCATAAAAGATTACAAGCCGAAATCCAGAGTATTGAAGATAAACATGAGGCAAAGAAGATGAAATTCTTGAATCTGTAGACAAAGAAAGTTAATTTTCTAACATTGATTATGTGTAAAAATTATTCCAAGACAAAATGTAAGATCAAGAAAATTTGAGCTTCATTAAAGGTGAAAAACTGTAATGATTACGAATTTATAAATTGGGTGAATTTGGTCAAATTCAATGGATTTACAGGTATGGAAACTATGGAAGATGAATGAATTGAATTTGAGAAATTTTTCTTTCTCTTTCCTCTTAAACGGGTAATGGAAGTGCGATGTCTTCTTGTGGTGGTTCCTCTCCTTTCGCGTCGACTTCGGCTTTGAATTGTTCTACTTTCTTTTCCAATTCGATTAGCATCTCCTTGGCTTTATCATTCTCGATTGGACAAGCAGTTAGTGTTTTTATCAATAAATCAAGACGATGGACGGGAAGGTGATTATATACATGGTGCATTAGTTTGATCAGATGATAGGGAACATTAAGTTGGTCAAGATTGGAAAGGAAAATCTCATCGAAAACAACGGTACAAAAATCTTCTAATGAAAATTCATCAGCCATTGGAATTAAAAATGAAACTAAACTGTGAAGGATACGATCATCTGATATACGATTATCGTGACAATTAGATAAACATCCTAATACTCTTACAACTGCGGTTCGATCTTTTTGTCGTAAAACTTGTAAAGTATAATAAATTGCTAATTCGGTTGCCAGTCTATCGTCAGTGATAAATTTCTGATAAAGATCAGGTGGAGGACCAGAATGTTCAATAATGGTTAAAGCTGATTCTCTATCATCGGGTGGTAATTTTGAGTTAACAGCTCGAACCTGATCATCAACAATTAACGACATTAGAACAGGTAAAAATCGAGTAACCAGATCAACATCTAATTTGGGTTCTCGGTAAACCTGAGAATTGAGTATATCCCATGAATGTAAACCTAAATTTAACATTCGCAAGATTAACGTTAAAACTGTATTTTCACGGGCAAGACTTTCATTGTTGATTAAATTGTTTGCGATTTTGATTGCTTTGTTTGCCAAAAAGTTAACAGCATATGGATCACACAGGGTCATTGATAAATCGCCGATAACTTGTTCTTGACCTCGTTTAACACCTTCAAGAAATCCTTGTAACTCTCGTGACCTTTTCTGGTCAACATTTTGCTCCCGAATACAAGCATCTAAACACCAAGCAAATTTATGACAAGGATCCATTGAGGTTATATCTTGAACATCGGCATCGTGTAAGGCCATCAATAGATCAACTCTTAATGTACAATAGTGACTATTTTTGGTTCGCAGAAAAAGTGTTCGTAAAAATTGTAAACATGTATCATAGAGTAAAACGTTTCGACCAATTATCTTGACCAAATTTTGAATTATTTCACTTTGTCGCCGTTGTTTGGGTGTTAAGGCGAAAAACGAACCCGATTGTAGGGAGAAAAGCATTGTATCCTTTTCTTTAATATATTTACTAAACAAAGGGGAAACTTCATCACCAAATAATCCTTGATGTTGCTGCCAAATTTGTCTCTTCACCGATATGTCACATTTTTCATATAAATCTTTTTCTGCGACAATTTGTTTCAAATATTTGTCATCGATACGTTCTAAAGAGAGTTTGGGAGAGAAAAGAAAAGAATACAAATCAATTAGATGATAATTATAGTCAATTCTTTCTTAAATATTTACCTAAATTTTTTAGCAAAGACATAACAATAGGTTGTAATGATTGAATTCTTATGACCGGGAAACTTTTCTCCAACAAATCTTTGATCTTTTTCTCTTTATCATTAGACTCTGATTTAGCCATTTTATCAATTTGCTTAAGTAATTTATCCTTTAATTCCTCTAAAACTGATTGGTGAAAATCGAATCGTCTAACTTCATGTAAATCCAACAAAGGTAAAATCGTTCGCAGTGAAGGTAATAGAATACCATTTTCCACTTGGAATTCTTGAATAGCTTGTAAAGGATCATTACAATTAGTTAATGCCTCACGGAGATATTCTCTTCCAGGAATACCAACTTCTTCAAGTCCATTCATCTACAAAAAGAACAATCAAAAAGAAAAGAAAAAAGCAAAACATTAGAAATGAGAAAAAAAAGTGTCAACATAAAGCAGAACATAATTGTTACCATAATCATAGACAAAAAAGAGAATAACAAGCAAACATAACATTACTTACCTTTTAAAGATTAATTGAACGATAATTAATTAATATAAAAAAAGAAAATAATCAAAGAGTATGAAAAAGAAAAGAAAAGAAATTTAATTTAATTGTTGACAATTTGAATTTTTGACAATCTATTTACTTTTAGAAAAACAAAAAAATTCAATTCAATGTTCTCGTTGCTAGGCAACCGTTTGAGCGGGAATTTTGAGGATGACAAATTAGAATAAGAAATTAGTAATTTTGAGAGATTTTACTTTTCAATTGGATGGAAACAATTAATTAATTGATTGAGTTTAAGAAAAATTCAATTGGAATAAAATTGAAAATCCATTTAATTAGAGAATTGATTGTTCTTCAAACTTGGCGGTTTCTTTTTCTTCCAAAAAGAAAGAGTTTCTTTCTTTTGGTGAGTCTGCGCAGATTCAACTTGGTTTTCATTGTTGGATTTTTGATTCTCTTGGATTTTATTTTCTTTTTTTTTCAATCAATTTAATTATTTAAATCAATTTTTCTTTTTTTGTTTCTTGTTTAAAAGTGACATTTTCTTTTACTCATTATGAGTAACAATCCATTTATTGTCTCGGCTCATGGTCATCCGAGTTTTAATCCGGTGAAAATTGGATCAAGAGGATCTTCTAGTTCGGAAAATAGGTTAGCCAAACCACCCAAACCTCCGGACAAACCTGTGGTTCCTTATGCAAGGTACGGTCGAAAAGGGTTTCAATCGCCTCAGAAACAGAATGATGGTAAAGTTTCAATACAAGGTATTGAAGAAGAGGAAGATGGCGATGAACTTTCGATTAAACATATTGCAAGTGCAAGATTCACTCGGAATCATAAGTTAATCAATGAGATTTTTAGTGACACTGTGGTACCTGATGTTAGATCTGTTGTAACAACTGCAAGGATGAAGGTTTTAAAAAATCAAGTTCAATCATTGACAACACATCAGAAAAAATTGGAAGCTGAATTACAACAGATTGAAGAGAAATTTGATTCAAAGAAGAGAAAATTTTTGGAAGCCAGTGAAACATTTCAAGAAGAAATGAAGAAACGTTGTTTAATTAAACCAGTTGATCCGGCATCTTTTCAGGCAATGGTTGATAAAGCTTTCCAACAAATAAAGAAAGAACAAGCTCAAAAGGAAGAAGCTCGTAAAAAGAAGGAGAGTGAGGAGAGACAAGCGGCACTTTTAGCCCAAGAAAAAGCGGCTACTATGGACATACGACCAGTCGACCCAAATCAACCCGCTCCTGGTCCTCGTTCATATCCACCACCTACTACCACTATTCATCCATCTGAGATGCCCAATAATGGGCAATCACCAATGAGTCAAACTCCTGTAACAAATACTGAGACAACCGTTGTTCCAGTTCCAGTGTCTGTCACCACAGCTCCTCCACCGGCTTCCTTACCACCGCCTCCACTTATAGCTCAACCACCAGTTTCTCATTCTCAAGTCCACGATCAATCTCAACTTGCCCAAGGTCAATATACACAAGCTGAGCTTAGACCTCAATTGCAACATCAGCATCAAATTCAAGCTGAACCGATTAATAAGATGCCTCCTCATCCATCATCTCACATGGACCCACACATGTCACACTTGAACCACCAAATACCATCATGGTCTCAACCAACGATTCCTGATGAACGCTCCGACTATCCACCTCAACCACCTCAATTGGTCCAGGCACCTCCACATCATCAACATTTGCCTCCAGTTGAACAACCATTACCACCATTCAATCAACAGTCAACATTACAATCTACTCTTTACTCTCAACACTTGAGTAATCCTGAGCATCCATCAGCTGTTTCTATCGCTGCTTCTGAAAGCTCTAATACCACTACTATTCAAATTGAAGCTGTTCCAGCTAATCAAGCCATGCAACAAACTAAACCGATTGATGATGATGATAAACATAAAATGGAAATAGAACCTGTAATTATGCCTGACCCTCCAAAGATCGATATGCTTAAATCAAAAGATGAGAAGATGGATATTGACGAATCAAAGGATCAAGATAACGAATCGTTTGAAGATAAAACTGAAATTGTCATCACCCCGGTTCCCGCTATTGAACCAAGGCCCGAAGAAAAGGATAAACACTTACAGCCTTCTCATTCTATGCATCAACCTCATCAGATGATTCCTCATCCTTCCATCCCAGAACCATCCGTTCAACCTCATCAAGAACCTCAACCAGTGGCCCAACAGGTTCATCCTGAAGCACAACCTGAGTTACAATCAACACCTCATCAGCATTTGCCGAATCCTGACCCACAACCACAACCACAAAATCAATTAGATCAAACTCACCAATTCCAAACAAACCACCCATCACAATTGCCACCACCACCACCACCGATTGCTCCACAGATACCACCTGAATTACCACCTCAGGTAACAACTGAACATGAGCCCCAGTTGCAATCTCAACCTTCCCAGCAAGAGTTTGTTCAAGAACAACAACAACAAGTTCAGCAGGCAGAACTTCAACAACCGCAACCACAACCACAACCTCAACCACAACCTCAACCACAACCTCAACCACAACCTCAACCTCAACCTCCACCTCCACCTCAACATCCACCACTTCAATCACCACCACAACCAGAACAAGATTCATCACTATCCCAACCTCAACCTGAACCACAGATCCAACTACAATCTGAACCGCATCCAGAACCAACTCCTACACCACAGGAACAACCTTCCCATCAATCGCCACCACCAGTTCCTCCTCAACAACCACAACCACAACCTCCAACATCAGCACCAACTTCAAGTGATGACAATGACCAAGCTCCAGCCCAGGAATCAGAGCCGACCCCATCTACTTGAAAATTCCCTCAAGTAAATCACAATTAGCACAATTAAATAATTTGACTTGATCCTTGTTCCAAATAGTTTTTCACCAACAATCAAATTAATTTGAAATAATGAATCACTTACGGTAACAATACAAGACAAGAAACAAAAAAAAGAAACAACCACAAATTAAATTTTTGATTTTTAAATGAGAATCAATTTTTTTTACTAAACCCAATTAACTGTAATCACATTAATTGAGAATCCCTTGTAATTTTAATGGATTGATTGGATTTTTTTCTTCATTAAAATTACATCGAAACAAAAGGAAAAACAAAGAATCAAAATGTCAACACAACCGAAGCAAAGAAATAGAAAAACATTGTTAGGTTGATTTTTTATTCTTCTCTCAACAATTAAGTTTAACTCTCGAATATTAATTGACAATCCAACTTAAATTTATGTCACAACCATTTTTAAAATTGTAATTACACTGAAACTTTTAATTACCACAAGGAAGAAGACGATTAACATGTAAATGGAAAAAAAGAAGCCATCGGAACCAGCGAACGGTACAAATGTACCCGAATATTGTGTCTGGTTGAAAATTGGTTCGATTACATTAACACAGTTCGATAAGATGGTCCTCGAAACCGAGAAAGAATGGATAACCGATTCTATAATTAACGCTTGTCAATATTTACTACAAAAAGAGTATCCGAACATCGGAGGATTTCAAGATGTCCTATTGACCCAAATTCAAGGATTCCAACCAGTGGAAGGAAAATTTGTCCAAATATTAAACGAAAATCAGAACCACTGGTTCACCGTATCAAATATTTACCGTTCTGAGCCTTCCCATGTTTCCATCTACGATTCAAAATGTAACGATCGTAAAGACTATACCGATGAGACCCTGAAGCCAGTGTTCGCCATGTTACCCAACGTTGGTGCGATTAAATTTTACCAAGAACAAGTTACCCAACAATGTGACAATTCTCAGTGTGGTTTATACGCGATCGCTTTCGCGAAGGCACTTTGTTCATCCCGTAATCCAGCTGATATCCTATTCTCAGACGATCCATCGGTACTGCGAAAACATCTAATTAACTGTCTACTTATCGGTCGAATCAGAAATTTCCCCCAAGGATCAAAATCACCAGTCGCTGAATTTATGAGACCAAAAAGTAACATAAAGGATTGATTGGAACAAAAAAAAAAGATTCTCCTAATTAAATCACTTCGAAAAGAGATTGAAAGACAAAAGTGTTTCTAATTGTTGATCCAATTTCCAATTCCCTATTAATCGCTATTCTAACAACACCCAATATTATAAATCGAAACCATTACAATTTAATTTCTTTCATTTCAATTTCTCTTCCAATTTAAATAAAAACAATTGATTGAAGTTACATTTTGTTTTATCATCATTGCCAACAGAATTGCGGAAAACAATCAGGTAACCATTTCCAACGGTTTACTAAATAACTGTAAGATTAGATTATTTATCTGTTGAGGTTAAGATAATTATCAAGATGAAAGTTAATTGCTAATCAAATGTTAAGAGTTTATGAGTTTCTAGTTGTTTGAAAATCTTTTGTCCATCCAACATGTTGACAGTTTTTGTTTACATTTCCATCTGACAACATAACCTTAACTCTGTGTCTATGTTTCTGTCTCTTTCTCTGTTGACAATTGACAGAATTAAAATAAATTAGTGTCCCTAACCAACCATTTAACTGTGCAACTAATCAGTTAATCAAAATTCGTATCAAATTGATGTTAATGAAGTAAATTGAATAAAAAACATTCCATTTTCATGTAAGTGATCAAATTTTTTTCTGTCTTTCTATTGACCAACTGATGGTTTGTTTACATTTCGATAATTGTTCATTTCTTTTTTATTACTGATTATTTTGGATATTTTCTAGATTCTAACCATGGATAATATTGTCAAATTAGAGGAATTGGGTGATGATTGTGTATCGAAGGACAATCACGGAGAAGCGGTGATTCATTATACACACGCGATTAAATTAAAGCCTCGAGAGTATCGACTGGTTGAGAAAAGGTGTACATCGTTTCTACAGGTTGGACAATTTTATTTCGCTTATCAAGATGCTAAAGATTTAATTCTAATGGCTCCGAATAATCCCTCAGGCTTCATTAAAAGAGCAACAATTGAATTTGAAACGGGAAACTATCGACTGGCCTTATCCAATTATCGGAAAGCTTATCATCTAACCCGAGATTCATCATTAAGTGAATTGATTCATAATTGTAAAGACAAAGCCATGAAACAAGAATCATCTGATCGTCATCTTCCTTGGGTCGGTGCTGCTTTAGGTCTGGTCATCGGAATGGCCTTAGTGGTGGCCGATTATATGATCTGGATGAATAAAGGTTTTCTCAAAAATCCAATGATTAAAGTTGCTTTAATCATTAGTAATTCTTACCTTTTTTACTCAACACTTAAATGGTATCGAGGTTACATTGGTTCGTGTCGTCGTAGTCTATTACAACCTCCGCCATTGTTATTTCCAGAGGATGGTGATGATGATTTATTCAAATCTAAAGATGATTAGATGAACAACAATTTAAATCGATGATCATCTAATAACTGCCAATCTCTTTGTGTCACCCCTTTGGACCAACAATAACAACAACAATCGGAAAAGATTTACAAAGACTTACACCTAAATCTAATTTACATCCATAATTTAGTGTCAACCTAAATCAATATTTTCAATTTGATTCAATTTATTTCATTAATTGATAAAATTATGTCAAAATGTAAAACAAATTGTGTAACCATTCAAGTGACAATTTCAAATAGTCAATCTTATTGTCTCCTCATCGTCAATCAATTAAACAATTGGATTAGCAATCTATCAACAAGGTAAACCTTATAACCCTTGATAACAATTAACCAGAACAATTAAGAAAAGGTTAATTGTGATCGAGAAATTGGTTAGGAATCGATTATGATTCGATAGAATCGGAGTTTACATGTGATGATATCGATTCCATTTTTTGTATGAATAGAAATGAACCAAAATATTGTCATATTGTTTTCGTTTGGTTTGTTTTCAATTGTTTAGTTTATTACTATTAGAATTTGTGTTTAAATTGTCAATAATGAAATTGGAAATTGATGGGCTTGAAGTTTTGTTCCCTTACGACTTCATCTACCCTGAACAATATGCTTACATGTGTGAGGTGAAAAAAGCAATTGACAGCAAAGGCCATGGACTATTGGAAATGCCCTCAGGCACCGGTAAAACTGCATCATTGTTGTCATTGATCATCGCCTACCAAAGAGCTCATCCTTACAACGTAAATAAGTTGATCTACTGTTCACGAACTGTTCCTGAGATTGAGAAGTGTGTTGAAGAATTGAAAAGATTGCGAAATTATTATAAACAGTATGGTAAAGGAAATGACTCTTTTGTTGGTCTTTGTTTAACCAGCCGAAAAAATTTATGTATCCATCCGGTGATCAGTAAGGAGAGAGATGGTAAAGTAATTGATGGTAAATGCTATGCAATTACTGCAAGCCACAAGAGGGAATTGGCTAAAACTGATAGCTCAATCGAAATCTGTAATTTCTTTGAAAAATTTGACGCTATTGGAAGAGAATCTCCTTTACCCGATGGTGTTTATTCAATTGATGATCTCAAAGAATTTGGAAAAGCCAAAGGATATTGCCCATATTTTACCGCTCGTTATGCTATGTCTTATGCCAATGTTATCGTTTACAGTTATTATTACCTTTTAGACCCAAAAATTGCCGATCTAGTCTCGAAAGAAATGTCCCGTAATTCAATTGTGGTCTTTGATGAAGCTCATAATATCGACAATGTTTGTATTGAATCTTTGTCGGTGACCATTACCAAGCGGACAATTGAACGAGGCCAAGCAAATGTCAATGCTCTTGCCTCAACTATCCAAGGAATTCGTGATGCTGATGAAGAGAGATTGAAAAATGAATATCAAAGATTGGTACAAGGATTAAGAGAGGCCAACATAGCCCGTGAGAATGATCAAATTTTGGCTAATCCAATTCTTCCCAGTGAAATATTGGAAGGAGCGATTCCAGGCAATATCAGAACAGCGGAACATTTTATTAATTTTCTCAAAAGACTATTGGAATATATTAAAACCCGATTAAGGACTCAACATGTTGTCCAGGAAAGTCCAGCGGGATTTTTACGTGACATCGCTGCCAAAGTTTGCATTGAAAGGAAACCCTTGAGATTTTGTGCCGAAAGACTAAGATCACTAATCAAGACCCTAGAGATAACCGAAATAACAGATTTTTCACCTTTAGTTACCATTTGTAATTTCGCAACTCTAATCAGTACTTACACCCAAGGTTTCAGTTTGATTATTGAACCTTTTGATGATCGTACGCCGACCATTTCCAATCCAATTCTTCACTTCAGCTGTATGGATGCATCTCTCGCTATTAAGCCCGTTTTCCAGCGTTTTCAAACGGTCATCATAACATCGGGAACACTATCACCTCTTGACATGTATCCAAAGATATTGAACTTCCGTCCAGTTACGATAACCTCCTAACGATGACTCTTGCACGTCCATGTATTTTCCCGATGATTGTGGCCAAAGGAAATGACCAAGTCTCAATGTCATCTAAATTTGAATCTCGTAATGACATCGCTGTTATCCGTAACTTTGGTATTCTTCTTGTTGAAATGTCGGGTATTGTTCCAGACGGCTTGGTAGCTTTCTTTCCCAGTTACGCTTATTTGGAGACGGTTGTTGCCTCTTGGTACGAACAAGGAATCATCGATTCACTATTACGGAAGAAATTGCTTTTCATCGAAACGACCGATGCAGCCGAAACCAGTCTAGCGCTTTACAATTACGTAAAAGCTTGTGAAAACGGCCGAGGAGCTGTCCTACTTTCCGTGGCTCGTGGTAAAGTTTCCGAGGGTGTTGATTTCGACCATCATCTTGGTAGAGCGGTCATTATGTTTGGCATTCCATATGTGTACACTCAATCGCGAATTTTAAAAGCTCGCCTCGAATATCTTAGAGACAATTATCAGATTCGTGAGAATGATTTTCTTACCTTTGATGCAATGAGACACGCAGCTCAATGTGTTGGACGAGCTCTTCGGGGTAAAACCGATTATGGTATTATGTGTTTCGCTGATAAGGTAACAATTAACGAGAAAATTAACTTATTACATTTGGTGAATGACATAAATTAATCTTTTCTTTTCTTGATTCTTTTCCTCATTATTAGAGATTTGCAAGGTTCGATAAAAGAGGAAAATTACCCAAATGGATTCAAGAACATCTTAAAGATTCTCTGTGTAATTTATCAATCGAAGAAGGAGTTCAACTGGCCAAGCGATTTTTACGTCAAATGGCTCAGCCGTTCACTCGAGAAGATCAACTTGGAATTTCACTATTAACATATGAACAACTTCAGGATGAAGAAATTAAGAAAAATATAATAGATAAAGTTGCATCTTAAAGTTACAAGTTAATCATTCAGTCTGATTATTTGTGATTCCATTCATCACCATCAATCATTAAGAATCAAAAATCAATTCAATTCGTGTCTTGGTTGATTGTTACCACCTCATTTATATTTGTATTCAACAGATTCTAATTTAATCATTCATGTTTTTTTTGTACACTTACAAGAGTTCAAATGTATTATATTTTCTGTAAAAAGATTCATTCTATTAACGTAACAAATTAGATTAACTTATTAATTATCCAATTATCTGACAATCTAATCTTGAATACAATTAGGTTGTTCATTGGTTTGTTTACATTTCCGAGAAAAGTTAATCTCATCGGGGAGTTTGACTCATTTTAATTATGATTGTTAATTGTAATAATCACTTTGGATTATGCTTAATGTTACAAGTTAATTATGATGTTATATATTTGAAAATAATTCTAATCACTTATTTATTGTTAATTGTTTTGTAGTTTATTTTATCAGTGATTCTCTGAACATGATTCTAACTACTTTGTTAACCAGTTTTTCTGAAACTTCACAATTAGTGTGGAATCTTGTTATTGGATTAATTGTATTCTTTATAATAACTTATGTAATTCCAGCAATTAAAAAGATCAGCTCATTACCACCAGGACCATGGGGACTTCCGTTTGTTGGATATTTACCTTTCATTGGAAAAACAGATCAATATAAGGACATTGATCGATTGGCCAAAAAGTATGGACCAGTTTATTCAGTTCGATTGGGAAATTTGATTTAATTGTTGTTAGTGATTGGAAACATGTGAAAGAATCATTTGCAAACGATGATCTACTCTATAGACCGGAAAATTTCTCGTCTAATCCTAAATCACCATCGCTCCTCGAAATGTCGGGTGACTCGTGGAAAGCCCATCGGCGATTATCTTTACACATACTTCGTGATGTTGGTATGGGAAAATCACAATTAGAGATGAAAGTAAAACAAGAAATTGAAAATTTTCTTCCAACTCTCAATTCTGGCCCAATCGATTTGTTCCCGAAGTTAATGTCCACAGTTGCGAACAACATCTCCAATCTTCTCATGGGCCATGGACTTGAATATGACGATCCAATCAGCGAAAAACTAAACAACGTTCTACTCACCCTCGGGGAATCTTCTTCGCTATTTCATGTATTCTCTGGATCTGTTCCTAAGCTGGTAAAAGATAATCCTCTTGAGAGTGAGTCGAAACTTCCCAAAATATTGAAATCACTCGCAGAATTTGCAAATTACATGGAAAAAGAGATTGAAATTCACAAATCGAGAGGTCGAAGATCACAAATTTTCGAGGATTATATCGGTGGTTACCTTGTAGAACAAGAAAAAGTGAGAAATCGAAATCGACTGATGGTATTCAATTTAATTTGGAAACTCTGAGACAAAATTTAGTTACATTCTACTCAGCCGGAACGGAGACCATATCGTCCACCTTGACATGGGCCATTTTGTACCTGCTCAAATATCCTGAATATTTCGATAAAATTCGTGAAGAGATTGAAAAAGTTATCGGTTATGAAAGACAACCAGATTATTCGGATAGAATTCACATGCCATGGACAATGTCCTTCATCTACGAAACCCACAGGATCGCGGCTCTTGTTCCGGTGAATCTGTTTCGTCGAGCTGCTCAAGATACAAACATTGGTAATTACCATGTACCAAAAGATTCCTTGGTCATGTTCAACTTTTATGCTCTTAATCGAGACCCTTTACTTTGGGTTAACCCGGAGCAATTTGATCCAAAGCGATTCTTAGCTGAACACGAAACGAAAGCGGTCAAGCCTCCGTTCCTTGTACCTTTCAGTGGTGGTCGACGAAATTGTCCAGGTGAAGGTTTAGCGAATGTCGAACTATTTTTATACTTAGTGAGCATTGTACAAAAATATCGCATTCGATTAGCTCCAGGCTCGACAATCTCACTTGAGACAGGATATACAACATTACGACGTCCGAAAAATATGCCCAAATTATTGTTCGAACCACTTGACCAGCAAAAAGATTGAATTGAAAAATCAAATTGCAATTAAAACTAATTGTGTACGTTCATGTTGATACAGATAATCAACTTAAAAAATAAGCTCAATGTTAACAGTTAATCATTTTCAATTAAACAACATGGTAACTTTTTCACGGAAATTTATCAAATGACATTCATTGATTATCAGATCATAACAGTAAATTGTTAAACTTTCATTGAAATGAGATTAGATTCCTTGAACTTGATTTATGATATAAATTATTGGATAATCAGTCATGATCAATGAGAATCAATTTTTATAAACATTTTTCAAAACAAAAAGTGAAGTGTCTTCCGATTGCCAATAACAAGTATGTGTCGCTAATGCAAAAATATAACCATTAAAAAATTCAATCGGAGCTTCTTGAAGGACATAATCAACTCGTCCTGATGAATTAAATTTGTAACAGGGATGATTTTGATCGGAAAGATCAACCATTTCGGTTTGATCGATATTTTGATTTTCTCTATCATCGGTTTCCATTGGATCGTTTTCACAATTAACTTGTGAATCCATTCGTTCATCTTGATTTTCTTTGACCAATGTTTCGTTTACTATTGATGATGATGATGTTGATGGAGAAGACGATTGATCTTCAGTCGAAGCGGTTATATTTCGTACTCGTTTAAGGCCATAAAGTGAGTCCCAAACGGGTTTTAATGAGTTGTAAACTTTTTCTTTCAGATCAGATCCCATTTTAATTAGATTTTCTTTTAGTTCGAGGTGCATTCGTTTACGGCCTTTGTGATGGGGTATTTGACATGGAGAAATTTGCTGGAAATTCTCATCAATCAATGGTTCTAAACGATAGGCTATCGGGTCGAAAGGATGGAAAATATTGAAAACTTGACCACAAGTTGGAAGGTGGAAATTGTCATTGGATAAATTCGTTATCCCTCTGACCGTTAGAAAAGCGGCAACGGGTGAACCAAGCGCGAAGAAACATTTTGTATTGAATGATAATAAAGGATAATTGATGTTCGGTTGGCCTATTCGAGCTTTCATCTTGCTGAAGATAATAGATTTCGATGGATCATCAGGATCGCTCTGAGTTTTCACCTGATTCTCGATGAATTTCAATAGTTTCACCCTAGGGCCCATTTCGAGTCCTAATTCAACCAAATGTTTATTTTCTAGATTCACTAAAGTTCGAGTGTCAATCTTTTCCTTCTTGAATAAGTCTATGTACTCGATGAGATCGATCGAAGTGAAAATTTCTTCCAGAGACTGAGAGGTCATTTTTTCCATATTTACAGTATCATTAGCGTTTTGTTGATTGATTGATGTTGATGATGATGATAGTTGATTGGATAAAATATCGAAAATAATCAAAGAGCCCAAACTGTGTCCCATTAGATTGACAGTTCCTTTGAACTTGGGATTCCTTTGAATGAACAGTTCATGAACTCGATTAAGCTCATTACCAACAGTATCGATGATAATTTGACAATAGATTGGACTTGTGTAGAAAAGAGCATCGAGAATTGTATCATTGCTAAAGTGTCGTAATTTAGGTATTCCATTGAGAGTAATTAAATTAAGTCTACTATCAATTCCAGTCTTTTCTCCATGAAGAGCTGCATGCCAAGAGATTGGAATAAATTCAATTCGTCCAGGAGATTTAATCTCTTCGGCAAGGTGAGTTTTCACCAGATTATTGGTTAATCTTCTGAAATCGTCAACAACCTCGATTAAACTTCGTAACCTTAAGTCGCAAATTTCACCGATTCCATGAACAACAAACACTAAATGATCAATTGAATCGATTTCACCTTCTTCAAAGACGAGATCATGAACTCCTCGCCAAACCTTTCCTGGTTTCGTTAAGTTATCGGTAATGTTACTCCAATCATCGGTAAATGGTACATGATCGGCCTCGTAATGGACGAAAACCTTGGAATTGTGAAAAATGACCGTATCTCCCGAAGAAAGATAAATCTTTTGATTCCAATTTCCAGTTTGAACACTTTCTTGATATGCTTTTTCCAATAAGGTGACAGCCTCTTCATTGAACGGTTTATAACTCATTCGACTTCCAGGTCGATAGAACCATGTTGCCCGAAGCACCAAACTATCAGGTTCCGGCCAATAAATTGACCTTCGACATCTTGACTTCAGGTGAACATCATATCGACCACCATTCGTTGATACAATATACTCATTGTTACCTTTGTTTTTGTCAATATTTTCCCCGGTGTTTACCGTTTTATCATTTGAATTTTGATTGTTGTGATTGGAATAATTGTTAGAAGACAATTTGTATTCATCAGTTGATTGATATGCTTCCTCTAAACGATTAGAATCAAATCTAGAAAATGGCTGCCAATCATCATCAGTTGATTCTGTTTTCCGATGAAACCAATGAACAGAATTGATTGTTGATGTCATGAGATGGAAAAGTTAAATTATAAGGTTATCCTATTTAACTTTAATTCTTAACAATTTACGATTAAATTGTTGTAGACAAATTTTAACAAGGATACTGATGATTAACATTAATAAAAGAAACAAATGATTCAACAATTAAACAGAAAAAATTAATCACAAAATGAGAGTAAAAAAAGTAAACAAACATTCAGATTGTTTTGATTTCTCATTTTTTCCCCTTTTCTTTTTTCCCTCTTCACCGGTAAATCTATTGAAACACAATTTGAATTGTTGATTGTCAATTAAGAATTAAACCAAATAAGAATCATGATAGTTCAGTATGTGTTAAATTCGTAAATTCTGCTTCTCAATTAATAATAGAAATTCACAAATTCCTATGGTTACCTGATGATGTTTATCTAACTAGAATTTTATTCCTCGGTCAAAGTTAATTGTCCACTCTAATTGTTATCAAGGGTTATAAGGTTTACTTTGTTGATAGATTGTTAATCCAATCGTTTAATTGATTGACGATGAGGAGACAATAAGATTGACTATTGAAATTGTCACTTGAATGGTTACACAATTTGTTTTACATTTTGACATAATTTTATCAATTAATGAAATAAATTGAATCAAATTGAAAATATTGATTTAGGTTGACACTAAATTATGGATGTAAATTAGATTTAGGTGTAAGTCTTTGTAAATCTTTTCCGATTGTTGTTGTTATTGTTGGTCCAAAGGGGTGACACAAAGAGATTGGCAGTTATTGAATGATCATCGATTTAAATTGTTGTTCATCTAATCATCTTTAGATTTGAATAAATCATCATCACCATCCTCTGGAAATAACAATGGCGGAGGTTGTAATAGACTACGACGACACGAACCAATGTAACCTCTGTACAATTCAAGGATTGAATTTTCTACTCAATCACTAACCACAATTAAATCAAATTTTCCCAACCAAATAAAATAAACTGGTCCATACTTTTTGGCCAATCGATCAATGTCCTTATATTGATCTGTTTTTCCAATGAAAGGTAAATATCCAACAAACGGAAGTCCTCATGGTCCTGGTGGTAATGAGCTGATCTTTATGATTGCTGGAATTACATATAATGTGATTGTACAATTCATCCATCAACAATTAATTCATCAAAAATATTCAATACTAATTGTCAAGTTTCAAAACTGGTTAACAATGTGTTCATAAGGGGGCGACCTTTGTGTTTATGTTTAAAGTTTTTTCGCATTTTTGGCGCGATTTTCAAATAGTGAGAAATTTAAAGGTTCCAACTGAGTTTCTCCCGTTCAGCTTACATGTAAATAAATTGTTCGGGATAAATTTCCCACAAGAGACAAGAATGTCAAGAATATCAATCTCTGATTTTATTATTGACAATTTGAATAAAAATCTACCGAAAAAACTAAATTAAAAGCTAATTAAGGAATCAAATCAATGAACAAGAAGCACATAAATGTAAGATTAAGAATCAGTAATTTCTTCAAACCGATGCTTTGATTGATTTGAAACAAAAGATCGATTTGAAATTCTTTAATCAAGTTGATCATGAAACTTTTATTCTTTAATTGTTGATAATAATTCAATTGTAACTCTTTGAGGAAAGTAGACTATTCAGTCTTGGTAAATGCGGATATTTAATGACATCAATAAGCCTTGAATCTTAATCACTTTTCTCGTTACCAATTGATAAACATAGAAACTGAATTAGAAAACCATTGATGAAATTGATTTGCTAATTTGAGACAATCTAAAATTTACATGTTTAAATATTTACGAAATTAAGGAAAAGGTAAATTCCCAATTTTTGAAAGGTAAGAAAATGAAACAATTAGGCCCAAGGGGTTTCAACCATCAACACACATTGATTATGAAAGATGATCATGATTTAGTTACCAAGCTAATCAATTAATCAGCTAATCAAAACTGCACAAATTCATCATTTAAACTTGCAAAAGTGGAAAGTAATTTCCTTTGAAATTAATAAACAATTAGATTAATATTTACTCCTCAATAAATTGATTCTTTTACCAGATTTAAATTAATGGTCACAAAGGGATAATCAATCCATAGATTTTGATTAATTGTTGATGATAAAACTAAAAAAATTGTACAATAATGATGAAGATAAAAAATATCTTATCTTCATCATCATCATCTTTCATTATTCGTATTAATTGTCATTCTAGATAAATAATAGTTTGAGATAGAAACAAGTGAAAGGATTGAAGAAGACATTAAACTGCCCGAGGGCATAATCTGGGGAATGTGATTTCGAACGATAAAAAAAAGATGAAGATGAAGATGCTAATCATTATCATCGTTATCATGCTAATAATAATGATGAAAAATAAAGGAAAATGATTAAGCTACTGTGTTCAAATCTAATCAATGATAATCATGGAGATAAAAGTAAGAAGAATAAGAAAAAAAGTTCTGTAATCATTTGAATAGTTGAAATGACTCGAAGGAGGTGTGACGATGGATCATCATTATCATCATCATTCCCATTCTCATCTTCATTATGATGATGATGATTATCATCTTGATTTGTAATTCTTTCTCAACAAATCATTTAGTTGACAATCCTTTAGTTACCTCCAACTCTAATAATGAAATAAGTCCAATGTAAAAAAGGATAGTCAAGAAAACTCATCAATGGATGAAGAGAGAGAGAGAGAGAGAAGAAGATTTAACAAAAATCATCATTATCTTCATCAGAGGCCTCATCATCATGATGATGATGATGATTATGATTACAGGTCTTCGTTAGCTCTTGATCATTTATTGGAAACCCTTTCCAACTACATAAATCTTTATCCCTACGGCGATTAGATTGAAACAAAACTTAACTCGATAACTCCAATTATGATTTACTATCATTATTATTATCATTATGATGATGATTATCATTTGCTGTTGTTAATTATATTAACAACATAACCCTTGATTTGAATTAGTCTTTAAATTCAGGTGAAAGGGATGAAAGTTTATCAATTTCAATCCATTAAAAAAGTTATACCTTGAAGACACAGTTCATCGGACTGACAGAGGAAAATGGCGACCATGATGATAATGGTGATTACGATAATGATGGAGACCGTTTAAATAATAATTGTAACCAAATCATAACAACAATTAAAAGTAAATTCATATGTAAAGGGTTAATAATAATCTTAATGATGATGATGTGAATTTCAATTTGAATGGGAACAATTAATTCAATCCAATTTAATCATTACAATTTACCACTGGCTACTTATATTTATATGTTATTATTAAATATCAATATTATTTTATTGGTTTAATGTTAATTAAACTAATCATTACCATTATGATAATAAGTATGTTCAATTTGCCTCAGGGTAAAATCATCTATTAGCTGCTTGTTTAAATTGTTGTATTCAAAGGGCGTAGTTTTCAATGGTTTAATTTTTGTTTTTCCAGCAATTAGAATAATTAATTTCCTATCTAATATTTAACAATTAACATTGCAACTTTTAAATCAACTTTTAATTCATAAAATTTGATTATCATCACAATTAAATGTCATCAGAAAATCAGATTCAATGATATTTGTTGTAATAATTTTTGTTTGTATCAAATTGTTGTAAACTTTTATTCAGTCAGTTAATTATTGGAACAATCAACTGATTAATTTACCATTAATTTGCTATACTGTTGTTGATTGATAAACTGGTTAACTTACAATCAAGTGGTAAATCAATTTAATCAAATTAACAACAGTTTCCGATGATAAAGCAAAAAGATTGTCAATTGTAACATTAATTACTAAATCAATTGTCATTGTTAATTGTTTAACTAATTACTAAATTGTGTTACTCATAATTTTTACCTATCAAAAATAATAATCAAAATTGTCACCAAATTGTTAATTCCTAATGATTGTATCATATTAAAAACGAGAGAGAAAGTTAATTGTTACCGATTTAAACAATTATTGATTTTCGCGTTTTAAAATAAAGTCAAACCTAATTGTCTTCATCTAAGTCTTAGCCAGTTAATTGCAAGGAGATTTAAATGCAATCTAATTTTTCTGTGATCATTAAAGCCTATTAATTGTGTAATCATTTCACCATCAGAATAACTGTAATCAATTGTAAAAAAGTAATCAAATTGTTTGCAATCAAAAGGGATAAATGATCAACACATTATGATGATTCTGTTAAAGGGAATGTTATTTTTTATAATCATTATTATCATAGAACACAAGTGAAAAGTGGGTTGGGTGGAGGAGGATGAGGATGAGGATGAGGAGAAGATGATGATGATGATGATGATGATGATGATAGTAATGAGAAAAGAGATTAACACAGATTAGTAAAGGCAATTAAGGAAGAGAAGAAAAAAAAGAGAAGAAGAAAATATAAATTGTGATAAATATGGAAAAAAGATGAAGATGAAGATGGAGAGAGAGAGAGAGAGAGAGAGGGAGAAAATATAAAGAAGGAAAGTAAACTAATCAAGAAGGACAATCGATTTTACAGATTGATTGATTGATTATCGACGATTAAAAAAACAAGTTGATTTGTTGGTTAATCCATTGGATTGATTATCAGGACGTTGTTGGTGTTTTTTTTTGTATTAATCATCCGTTTTAAAGTCCATGTTGATGTGTTGGTGTTTTTCATGACGATGATGATTTAGGAGGAAAGTAGGAGGAAAGGACAATCAAATTAAACAAAAATGATTAACAATACGAAACAAAAAAACTGAATCAACTGATTGCTGTAACAATCAACCAGAATTGAACAGTTTCTCTTGCCTAGACTAGTAATATGTATAATATTTATAATATGTATGTTGTTGTTGTTGTTTTTGTGTATTCAATGTTGTTTAAGTTGCTTGTTGGTCAATTGTTGTTGATTTGCAACAGAAAAAAAAATCAAGATTAATTAATGGAAAGAAATTAAGGAAAAAAAGATGAAAACAAAACTAAACAGTTTTACAATACAAATTGATTTTGGTGGGAAATTTGTGTAATTTAGTTAATTGTTTAAGGAATGATTAAATGGGAATGATGTTGATTGTTGATAGCCTCAGGATGGTTTTAATTATCATCTCTATTTGTTGATGGATTGTTGTGTTTTCTTGATGTGTGTATGTATATATATTGTTATGTATACATATTTATATATTTATAATATATAAGGTGTGCATATTGTTGTTGTTGATGTTGTTGGCTGGTTGTCAAAGACCATGATGATTATGATGGTTTGGATTGTTGGGTCAAGGGTGAAAGGTTAACACGTTTAGGTTGATTGGTTTGATCCAATCAATTACAATTTGATAACAATTTTGTGTTAATTAACTAAGATGAAAACAAAAGAGAGAGAGAGAGAGAGAGGAATGATGAAGAAATTGATTAATATGAGAAAGCACAGTTTTTGTTTGTTGTCTGATTGCTATGAGCTCGCACTTGATTATAACAATTTAAAGTTAATTAGAATAGTTAATTGGATAGAGAGCTTTTTGTAAAACAATACAATTGATTATTGGACAAAAGTTGATTATTAAATTTAAAACAATTGGGAGATAGAAGAGAGAGAGAGAGAGCAAAGTTAATTGTAATCAAAGATTTGGAAATCGTTGATTGTTGATATTATTAAGTTAGAATGTGAAAGTTAATGCTGTTAATCAAATGTTTGTTTCTTTTTTGTTTCCTTATTCCAAGTTGATGATCGAAAGTGTGATGATGGAAATGAGGTCCATTGATGTGTATTGATTAGTAAATTGTGATAAGTCTTTGTCTTTCAGTTATTAAATAATAACAATTAACGAAACAGTTGATATCGTTATTATTGCCATTCGCAAGCCATTGGTATCTTATAGTTGATAATAAGCTTCGTGTTGATTATTTGATAACTTGTTGGTGGGCTTACAATATAATATATTGATTGTTTATTATTATCATCGGTGGTGTGATTGCTTCGCTCAGTTGATTGGTTGTTAATTGTTGTAAATCATCAGTTTATCATCAGTAAGTGACCACGAATATAAAAAAATGCGATTAGTGAAAGTGATGAAAAGGAGGAAGACGATTGCAGTGTAAAGATAAAGAGAGAGCCTGAAAAAAAAAGAAGAGACAATTTAATTAGTAAATTAACTTCGATTGTGTGTGTGTGTAATGATAACTTGTTTTACTTGTTGAACATTAATGATTGCAATTAATGATTTAATTGTTAATGTAATTTGAAGTTATTGATGTAATAATGGAAACAACAACAACAGAAAACAGGTTAAATTGTAACCATCAACAGATTTTCATCTGGGAGGCCTAATAAATCAGTTTAATAATCAACTAGGCGCGACTCTTAATTCATGAGAATCAAATATGATGATGATGATGATCCTCAGGATTCCCTGTTTATCATCACCATCACCATCATCATGTTCATGACTGGATCATCAGGGAAAAATATTCGAAAAGGCTAAACCCTGAGGGCTGAAATTTTTATCCACCGAAGTAACTTAAAGGGTTACTAATAATTTAGAAAAAGATAATGATGATAATGAGTGAGTAAGAGAGAGAGAGAAAATTATCTTTTCTTGCTGATACTTGCTGACAATTTACATGAAAAGATGATGAGAGAGAGAGAGAGAGAGAGAGAGAGAGAGAAATGTATCTGATTGCTAAGGGGAGAAAGGGATTAATACTTGTAGTTGTTAATTGTTGCTGTTAAAACGATGACTGATTGATGTATTAACAGAAAAACTAATACCAACAATTAACTAATCATCTTAGTTTAGTGATTATCAAAATTCATCATCAAATTGATAATATATCAAGTTAATGTTCAATTGAAAAACAAAGTAGATTAAAAGTTTAATATCCAAATGATTAACATACCTTTTTGTTTAATTGCCTTTAACATCATGGATTAAATAACCATTGGAAAAAGGATCCACCAAATATTGTTAGTTAATTGTTACAAGGTAACAAAGTTTAATTTCTGTTTGTTTGATGGGCTTGTTGATAGTTGATTGATTGATCATTGATAGTTAAGCTAATTTTTTTGGCATTTTTATGAAGTAAAAAAGAAAACAAAAAAAAACAATAATAACTAAAAACATTGGAAAAGGTAAAAGAGAGTAACTATTTATACTATGTAAAGTGTTTAGTGTCTTAACATGATGCTAATTTGATAGTTGATTACAATTAATTAACTATCATGTTAAATGATTTACTAATCATTGATTAATCATCACCGGGGAAAAAAGATCAGTCAAAGAGAAAGGGAAAAAAGGTGAAAGATAAGTTATCTCTTTTGGAAAGGAATAGGAAAAGAAGAAACTTTGGTCAACAACAATTAGTTAATCATTTAAAACAATTGAATGATGTGTTTGGAGTGTCTATGTATGTGTATGTGTGTGTGTTGATTAGTTGATTAAATCAATGACCAATTAGTCGATCAATGGTTAATGCAGATGATGAAACTGATGTTGAAACTGGTCCGGTTGATGTTGCAAGGGATAATGAGGATACACTGCAATTAGATGCAAGTGATGGTGATAAAGATGATGAGGATGAGGATGATGTTGTTGTTGTGGTGACTGGAGCAAGTGGACCGCTAGTTGAAGATGAAGAGGATGATGATGATGGTGGATTATTGTTTGGTCCACCCGAGGTTCCTGTTGATCCGGTAGCAGTTGATGCTAATGGAGATGTATTTGAACTAGACATTGGAACATTTTGTCGCTTCGATTTGGCTCTTCTATTTTTGAACCAGAATTGGATATTTTTTGGCTCCAATTTTGGATATTTCAGTCTATAGGGTGAACTATTCAGTTCATCGGTGTATTGAACAATCTGTGGATGGGTTGGGTGAGTACACTGATGAAACCATTGTTCCAATTTGGGTACTTCGGTTGTGGGATCGATAAAAGTTCTAGAGCGACGAGCTCGACGTCCCTCTTCCGGTGAATCTGGTTGACCATGAGATCCGCCATTGTTAAGATTAGAAGATGACTGGTGATGACGTTCATGGGAGGAAGATGAAGATGAATGATGCCTACCACTTGATAGATCACCTATTCCACCATTAATACCATCAGATCCAAGGTAATTTGCACCAGAACTTAAATTATGAGCATCACCTGATGATCTACCAGAGATACTACTGTTTACTTGCTGTAAATTTAATCCATGTCTTCCGGTTGCAACGGGATAATAATCTCTTTCATCCATATCATCATCATAATCATCATCATCTTCATCTGAAGGTGGTTCATCTTTAACATTAAAATTTGAATGGCACGAAGATGCTGATGCCACGGTATGAGGTGGTGTCCCTCTAATTAAATCGGATAAAGATGAAGGTCCTGATATCGGTGAACCAGGGGGAGATGAATCTGACCTTTGGCGTTTCACAGGTCGAACCGATAAGTCAAGAGTCTGAGATATTTGAGATGAACAATCATCGTCCATCATCATATCATCACCATCATAATCACCGCCATCGGAACCCTCATCATCGTACATTTGACCTAACAGATCTTCGTTACCATTGGAATCGGGATAAGATTCACTTTCTCCGCCATTACCATTTCCCCCTCGACCAGAACCAAGACTACCCATTCCTCCCATACGATCACCAATCAGACCAGGAATTAAACCAGCACTCAAACGGGATCGTGAACCTAAACCAAGTCGCCCATCAAATGGATCACGTAAATGACTGGGTAGGCCACTATTCAACAAATTGCTACTATTATTGGTGCTATTATTGTTACCATTGTTATTGCTTAAAGTTGGACTTTGAGAACCATTAACAAGTTTTAATTCGTGACGTTTATGAGCTGCTCGAGCGTTTTTGAACCAATAGACTACATTATTTACGTCTAACGGTTTTCGACCTCTTCGTGATTCAAGACTATTCAATTCTTTGACAAATTGTTGAATTTGAGGTCGAGTTGGATGTTGATTCTCACTAAACCATTTATGTAACTTGGGAAGCTCCATTTCCGGGTCGAATGAAGTTCTTATTCGAGTTCGAACATATTGTCCAGGCGCATTCGGTGAGGTTCTATTACTAGAATTATTATTACCATTGTCTTTAGAACTGTTATTCAAATTATTGTTACTATTGGTACTACCAGAAGATGAATTATTAGAAGATGATAAATTAATTCCCTCTGATTTAATTCTATCTCCAGCAATACCTCCTCCTCTCTCACCTGAACTTGAATCGGATGATCTTCCGGTTGAAATTAAGGGAAGATGAGATGAAGAGGAAGAGGCAAGACTTGGTCCCCTAGAGTGATGGTGTTCATGTTGTTGTTGATGATGTTTTGAAGGATGATGATGATGATTATCTTTTAAATGATTGGAATGACCTGAAGCACTTGCACTGGAAGCTAAACTTGATGCATCCAAATCAAGGTTTAACAACGATTGACAATTTGCTGCCGCTGCAACGGCCGCGGCTGCTGCTGCGGCTGCCGCTGCTGCACCACGATTACGATCAGTTACCGAACCATCAACAGCTCCACCTGAACCACCACCAGCTCCAGCTGATGCTGCAGCAGCATTAACCGCCGCTGCTAAAGCTGCTGCGGCTGCTTGATGTTTCTGTTGTTGACCTGAGCAATAATAATAATAATAATAAAAAAGAGTAATCATAAAAATCAATTTAAAATGATTTATGCAACAATTTTTACAATCAAATTAAATTAAATATTAAATTGCAAGAGAGAGTAAGTGAGAGAGGCTCTTTCATCATCTAAAATGAGATCAGATTGAGTACTCATCATCTTAACAATCATAATCAATGGAATCAAATGAATTATATATAAATGAGAAGGTAAAAAAAAATCAAGATTCACGAAAAACCTTTCAACAATCAACAGAAAATGAAATAATGATATTATTATCATCTATTATTGCTAATTCTGTGGGTGGATTAAATTGGATTTCCCGATGAAAACCCCTTGGAGTGAACATCCCAATCAATTTTATCATCTTTCATTGAGGTAACCAAAAACTATCAACAATCAACAACAATAAAGTAACTAACTGTAAGGAAAGAGTCAAGCATGATATTGATCAAGATGATGAGGAGATGGCGATGGTGTTGCATTCAATAAGTTTCAAGGGTTTTAAAGATGCTCTCGGTAAGTCACGAAATATTGTTTCATTACAGGGTGAGGGGGTGGTAAGAAAGTAAAGTGAGTGAGAGAGAGAGAGAGAGAGATATACAAATCAAGATGAGAGGGAGGTGGAAATTATTCTTGAGAAAATTTTTTTTCTTCTTCATCTTTTTGTTTGATTCTGTAAATATTATATTATTGACAGGTAAAAATCTATACACACACACAAATGAATAAACTTGAAAAGCTTTCAAAAAGATAAAGGTAATAATATAAGTGAGAGAAATAATAATAATGAAGAGAAGTGAGCATCTTAATCAAATCCTTCTCTTTTTTTTCATCATCATCATTATCATCATCAGCTTCTTTATCATGTCTCTATCTCTCTGCATCTCTCTCACTTAGTTAGCTCTCTTAAGTTAGTTAGTTTTGTTTCCAAATGATGATGAGCATATTGTAAGCTTTTTATAAAATAGATTTGAACAAATCTATTAAGAAGCTGAAGAAGATGAAGATGATAAGAAAAAAATGATGATAATAATAATGAAGAAGAGAGAGAGAGAGAGAGATGGAGATAAGGTTAGTTAGAGAGTAAAAGAAAGAGGAGGAGGAAGATGATAAGGGGGTGGAGAGGATCATCAAGAGATGAATGAGATAAAGATGATGAAAAAAAGGTAAAGGTACTTTTTTTGTTGTCTTTATAGTTTTGAAAGGTTGTTATTATTATCATTTTTGATTATTTATCTATTGTTATTATCACTTTCTTGCTCTCTAATTTGTTAACTTACTTGTTGCTGCCATAACTGCCGCTGCCGCAGCGGCTGCTTGTTGATGGTGGGCTTGAGCTGCAGCCAAAGTTGCCATTTGACGATATTGATTGAATACTTGCTGCATGTACCATTGGTCAAATTTACCACGAGTCTCCTCGTTAAGTTCAGCTTCTAATCCCGATCTGTTATTACGACCTATTAAAGCTGCCAATAAACTCTAAGGCAAATAAAAAGTAAACAAATTAACAATTAGAAAAGTTTGTTAATAAATCAACAAGTTATCAAAATGAGAATCATTTTTCTTATTCTTTTTCTATTGTTGAAAATCAGTTAATATCCATTGGGATATTATGAATACAATTAAATTTCATCATTTTTTTTTAAGTCTTATTTTCATCTCGTATATGTTGAAGGTTAAGTGATTTTCTTGTTTTATTTTTCCCTGTTCACCTTAATCAGGTTCATTTGGATAAAGTAGCAACCTAATAACATGTAACAATAGGTTGGGTAATACAAAGATTTAAATGTTTGCCTGCTAATCCGTTTTACCTTGAGAAAAACAAGCTTTTTCCACCTTTGGGAGATGATAATGTTGGGTCAATGAGAGAGAATAAGAAAGAAAGATAAAGAAGATGATCAAGATTAAGATAGGGATTAAGATGAAAATGGTGAATGGATATTTTATAATATAATCGAAGGTAAAAAAGTTCTTGAAAATGATTATTTACAAATTCTGGTGCTGATTAGATTTCATATCAATTTGTGTTTCAATTATTTCCAATACTTATTAATAATTAAATTCAAATTACACATGTTGAAAAATTAATCCATCCATTAGAGAAAATGATGGATTAATGGGATCAAGCAACGTGGTCAATTTGATTATCATTGATATTGGTATTTAATCACTAATTGTGAACGAAAAAAGAAATTAATTGAAAAAAAAAACTAATCACATTTAGCTGATATATAAGTTTCATGTTGACTTTGCAAAGGTAACAATTTATATTTGTATAATGTTACATAAATAGATAGTCACTAAAACTGAAACTAAAATGGTAAACGGATTAGTAGTTGTAAAGATGAAGATGATAATGATGATGATGATGATGATGATAAAGAAGAAGAAGAGTAAGAAAGAATCTGAAGAAGATAAGCTGAAAAAGATGATGTAAAAGAGAGAAAGGAAGATAATTCCTATGAGAGATTAAGATGTTAGCTAATCTCAGCAGTAAGCCAACAGAAGAAAAAGCAAACTGAGCAAACGAAAATATATAAAACAGGTAGAGAGAGAGAGAGAGAAAAGATTAAACCAGGATAAGGATAAAGAATAAGAATCACGTGAAAGTAAAACGTTTGATGGTGTCAAGATTAACTGAGCATCATATCAGGTAAGACAACAGCGATAACAACAGTGATCGTTATCAAGATGAAGGAAAAACTTAAAATAAGTGATAATACAGATTTGGAAAGAAAAACATGAAAAAGAAGCTAAAATGTGAAAGAAAATCGTTTATCCTAATCAAGTAAGAGATTAAAGATCAACAACAATCAATAATTTAAAAAGTTAATCATTAATAACAATAAGATGATTGAAAATGTTACTCAAATGACTAACATTCGCTAAGCTATTTCATGGTACATGTAAGAGTAACGTTGTAACGTTAATCTTGAACGAAAAGTGTTGACGATTTTGCGTGAAAACGAAAAAAAATATTAAGAAAAGAATCTTAAATTTAGATAAACGGATAAAGTTTGGATGAAGTTTGTTATTAGTGAAGAAAAAAGCATATTGAAAAGATTATAAGACGATGGAGGTAATTAGTTGGGGGTGAAGAGCAAATTGGAGTCACAAGAAGATGGAAAATGATGGAGACGAGGATAAAGATGATAATAATGATGATGATGATGATGAAAAGTCATGTAAAGACAAAATGAGTTGATGAAAAAAGAGAGTAAGGAAAGAAAAGAAAGAGTAAAGAAGATGATGACTACATGATTGGATGATCTTGATCCCTTCCAATTTAAAATTTGCTTCTATTAATGAGGCAACCAAAGAAAAGACAGAGAGAATGGAGAGAGAATAAAAAACCAAGGAGAAATGATGATAAGAATGATGATGAAGAAAAACTTGCAAAGGAGATCAGCTTTATAAGAAGGATTAAAAACCAGCATCTTCAAGCTAAATACACCCAAAAGTAACTTCAGTCTCCCCTTTTGCATTTCTTTCTCTCATCATCATCATCATCATAATCTTAATTCTTTGTCTTTGTCTCTTTTTTTCCATCTTCTTCCTCCTCCGCCTCCCTTTTCCCTCTCATCTTCCATTCTTATTCTGTAGAAAAGAAAACATCTTCAACTCATTTTCGAGGTCTTATTGATTGTCTCAACAATTGCTTCCAATCTAAAGAAGCAAAAGAAAAATATATTATTACATTCATCAGTTTAGAAGATGAAGTTCAATCTGTTTTCTTTACAATGGTAGCATCATCCCCATGTTACTCTCTCATTCACTTCATCTGATTATCATCTTCATCTCCTTCTCTCTCTCTCTCTCTCTCTTTCTCTGTCTCCCTCTCACTCTTTCTCTCCCATTCTTCATCAGATATACATTAAAACTTGTTAAAAACAAGCAAAGAAAAAGAAGATGAAAAAGTCCAACGAAAAGGAGAGATGATGAAATTCAACTGATGCAGTTTGTTGTTTGTTATCATGTTGATAATTTTTTAAGACTTGATGCTATTCACCTGAGCAACACAAAAAGATGTGAAAAAAGGGATGAGAAGAAGATAAGATGATGATGAGCCGCGGATTAAGTAGAAGATATTTAATTATCTTCATCTTGCTTTGCTCTCTCTCTCTCTCCTAAGGTAATTAGGTTATTCTCACTTAATGGGTAACATTGATGATAATGATTAAATTTTCAGTGATAATCAGTTGAAAACAGAAACTAAACTTACACAGAATGTAAACAAAACTCAGTAAATCAGAAGCATCAACAAAATCTCAAGGTTGTTTATTCCCACCCACAAAAGCAACAACATCATGTATAATAGTCACAATAATCAACATAATTAGTCTCATTGTGTTAGGTAATTAAATCAAGATTGGGTGTTGATTAACCGTCTTGAGTTAGTTTGCCCTCAGGCTAATATAAAGAAGGCAAAAAAACTTTTACTCTCAAAAACTGTTGATGATAATGATGATAACCGCCAACAGAGCAGTTATTATGACCATTATCATCCTCATCACTTCATCATCTTCAATAGACTCAACGGATTTTCATCAATTCTTATTTGTAATGAATTAATTGTTAACATGATTTAGTATCCAATCAACAAATCAATTAGTTAATTGATACAATCAACTGGGATAACATTATGGTTGGAAACAATCAACTATCATCAGAATATAATAAAACATTAACATTGTTATCGGTAACAATTAATTGTGAAGAATAAAAAAAAAATTAACAATCACATAAAAGGAAAATCAATTAACAGTCAATTTATCAACTAATCATCATAATCAACATGAGAAATTAACCTTCATCAATATTATTAAATTAATGTTAACTTTCATTTCCGGTAAAATCAACAAAGTAACATATGAAAATTATATTGAATTCATCATGTTGATGATGATTATCATGATAAAAATAAGCCAATTAGCTGATAAATTATCATGAATATTAAATCTTGAAGGATTTTTTCCTCTTCCTTTTCAGAATCAGAATCACCATGATAACACCATGAAGAAACAGCGAAATGACCTAGCAGAGTCTTTGAGATAATTGTCATGATAATCATGACGAAAAAAACAAAACAAAACAAAGTTAATTACAATTAGAATAGAGTATCTGATTAAATGTCTACACAATTTGAATTAAATTGACATCGTTCTGTTTAAATCTAAATCAGTTCATGTCAATTTTTTTGTACAATGTATTTTTTTTCCTTCTCATCTTCTTATATAATTGAATATGATGCTAATCATTTCCTTCTTGCAGAAAGTGATGAAGATGATGATGTTAATAATGATGATTTTTTTCCATCTTCATCATAATCATTATCTTCTCTATTTAAGTGTACGAGGTATCATCTTTTTTTCACCTTATGTCAAAGTGTTAATAACAAGTGAATTCAATGTAATAATAATGTCGCTTCCCATGTAACCATTACATGTAAAGAAAGTCAAAGGTAAATTGAAAATTAGAGCACAAGATAAATAACGAAACATGATTATGATGAAAATGATGACAAGAGAGAGAGAGAGAGAGAGAGAGACAGAATAAGTGAGTTGAGGGAGTGATTTTTTTATCGCAACTAATTATATGACCAAGTTACAGATGATGATAGGAAGATGTAATTCCCGTCAACGTCATAATCATCATCTAGTATATTTTTTATCCACTTTCTTATATCTTCCTCATCATCTTATATACTTCAATTTAACTTTAGTATGTTAACCCAAAAGTGTATTATAAAAAATTGCGCAAAGTCAAATGATGATGACAACAAAAGAGGGAGATGAGATGAGACAAGATGAAGATAAAACAAAAAATAATACAGTAAATGAAAGTAACCCTGTTGGAGGAAGAGAGAGAGAGAGAAAGATGAAGATATTTGTTTCTACCAATCTGATGAAGATAATGATGATGATGATGATGATGAAAAAAAAGCAAACAGAAAACGTCGAGTTTATTAAGAAAAACTGAGCATGACATTTTTTTTTCTTCATCTTCTCACTTTTTCTTCATTCAATTTACAGGGTGACACCGGGAAATAATTCATTGAAATAATGATGATAACACTGAACTCACTCAACTAAATATCATCATCACAACTGATATATAAAAACTCATAACTGGCTAATAATTTTTTATCATCTCTCTTACACTGTTGAGTAAATTTTTACATAGACTTGTCCAATTTGTAATATAAATATAAAGATAAATTCACAGCTTCCGACTTGGTGGAGGAAAAGGGAGGAGTGGGAGTATGAGAGAGTCTTTGTTTCCATCACAATATTGTATCATTGAAAATGATGATGATGAAGATAAAAGATGAAGAAAGCAAAGTGTGATGAAGACAAGGGAAGGAGAAGAAGAAGAAATGAAAAAAAAATACTCAATGAAATGAACTCTTTTTTTTATTATTATTATGAATCTTACATCTTCCTCTGTTCTGCTTCATTTATATCAATGTTGATCCTGCTGCTGTATCAATCATGAAGATGATACATTCCGACTTTCATCCTCATCATTATCATCATTTTCATCTTCTCCCATGTAAATTAATTTCCATTTCTTCTGCCAGTCACAAATGCTTATTATACTCTCAATAGTGACTTCATCTTTTTCTCTCTCTCTCTCTCCATCATCAAGTTCACTCCTTTTTTTTCACACTCTTCCTCTTCCTACTCCACCCACCCCACCACCATCACCATCACCACCATTATCATCACCACTCTCACCTTCATCTGTCTCATAACTGGGAAAAAAATGAATAAACACCGAGAAAAAAAATATATAAAACAAACTTTGAGAAAAGTTCATTTCTGTTAACTAACTGACAACAATTTATTTAATATAAATGAATATGTTTATTTGCTATTGTCAAACTGAATTAAGTCAAAGGTAAAGTTATCAGGTTATTAAAAAGTTATCATGATTAAGACTTGATTCTGATTAAGAAATTTTCTCCAACAATTAGACTTGAGTTCGTTACTGACTTGACGGAAGAGATTAACAGTGATTAAGATTTACAATATATAGAGAAAGTAATTCTAATCATAATCAAAATGGAATAAAAAAATTATAAAGAGAATTAAAAAAACTAATGTAAACCG